ATTATTGAACCACACTTTTGATATATTTCCTTTTGTTCCTATTACTCCTGTCGCTGCTGTTTCTATAGAATCTTTGACACTATTCCATATTTCATTCACATCACTGGTATGCTTTATTTGCTTTTCTTTAAAAATCTTCTTGATTGTGTTGTTATAATCCTTGAGAATACTCTTATCTTCCAACTTCTCCACGTCATATCTTTTCATGGATGTTATATTACATTTATTATGCTTTTTTAGCTATATATGTACCCAAAAACCCACTAGTAAATGATCAGAATCAGAGTCTGCCCCACGTAATGTTGGAACATTAGTAATTCCATTTCTAAACCTCCCATTTACCAGAACGTGGTCTATCTGATTCTTATATTTTCCATCAGGTGATACCAATGTGTACTTAGGAATCTCCTTGCGAGGGAACATAGTCCTTTTCCTACTGCAAAATTAATCAGTTTCATACCGTTGTCATTCGAAACCTCATATAGGCTATGTGTCCCAATTACCGCTCTATACAGCGCTTCCTTACCGATTTTAGCGTTAAAATCCCCTAGAACTATTTTAACATCACCAACTGCTGTATCCATTGTCTTCTAGTGTAGAGTAGAACTCTTCCTTCTCTTCATTGTCTTTTTCTTCGGTTGGTGCATGAGCATTAATTAGAACTATTCGGAAATCTCTGGTCCTTAGTGTTAGCGTGGAGATTCTTGGATTAATACCCCTGAAGTCCTTGATGTAAATGAAATCCAATGATGTAAACGTTCAGAAATATATTTACTTTCTAATATNGTATGAGCATTAATTAGAACTATTCAAAAATCTCTGGTCTTTAGTGTTAGCATGGAGATTCTTGGACTAATATCCCTGAAGTCCTTCACCATGTAGATTATTGATTCATGTATCGCGAAACCAATCCCTAATCTATGTCCTTGTTCACTATTTCCGTTAATGATGGTTTATTTTAGAAATTTTACTAGATCCTGCATCTTCCCATCTCACTTCTTGCAGGGCAATACATCTTATTTTATATTTCTCTGCTGCTCCTTGTTTAAATAAAGTTTGTAAATTCCAAGTACCACAAAATAAATCCGATTTCCAGTTGCCAGTCTTTTTTCCAAATAATCTATCCCGAGGCTTGGTGTTAGGGTCCTGAACAAAACTTGTTTTACTAGGCAAGGTTGTTAACCCTGCGCTAAACCCCCAACCTGGAGGACCAGACTACCCCAACCACTTAAGGTCAGGGTAGGGCTATTGCAGTGTACTTATTAAGGTACACTGAGCGATGGGCACGCCACTTTCCACACAAAATAAATTAAATAACAACGTCATAAATAATAATTATAAATAAACAATTAGTATATTATATTTATTATTTACTTAAATAATATTAAACAAGTTATTAAACATATTTGATATTTTTTAAATTAATAAATATTTTTGACTAAAAACCAACAAGAAAAAAAATTGAAGATAATAAAAGCATTATGGTACTTTAGGGAGGTAATTTTTTGATTTCCCAAGCACTTTTCATAATGTCTGAGAAAACTGATGTACAGATATACATTAAATTCTCCTCTATATCTTACCTTTCAAACTTTTCATCTACAACGGTGATCCACCTACTATGTCATACTTGGGTTTGTCCTTTTTTTTTTTCTGAGGTTTCACAATTATTATTTAAAAAACTACTTGGAAAATCAAAAAAAGACCTCTATGCATCAATTAAATATAAAAGGGTTCTTGTCATGTTTTAATTGGAGTAAGATTTTTATAAATAAAGTTGCTTGTAGATAAAAAAATGAAAAAAATAATTTAGAACAGATTAAGTAAAGCATAAATAGATCAAATGTGCATTTTGGTTTTCGGTGGTTATGCCAAATAACCTGTAAACATTCATCGTATTTTAATAATCTCCCTATGTTTTTTTTTTTTTAGAACACAGTTAAATTTGTTGAACATGGTTATGAATGTATTAAGTTATGTAATTAAAAAACAAAATCAATTAATTACAAACATAAATACATTTGCAAAAAACAAGAATCCCATACTAGATTTATTTTATAGAGTATTACAAATTTTTATTAGAAAATTAAAACAGTTTCAAATTTTTTATTTACCACAACTGGATTGGTAACTTTTTTTTACATTAAACTTCAATAAAATGTTCGATTTTCATTGATTATTTATTTTATTTTATGTTATTATTTTAGGAGTAGTCTTTCTCAAGATGAAGGAAAAGAAAACATGATGTCCATTATAAAAGGTATAAAATATTAAATTAATTAACTACAGGATGTAACATGACTATTTAACAAATGTAATAAGTATTTTTTAGTAATAATTACTTAAGCTATAATTTTATTATTTACAATTAAAAATAAAAACATTAAAAAGACACTAGGAAAGTAGAATATGAAAAAGAAGTTTAAGCAAAGTTCTGGTTTTCCTATTTTTTGGGGGGTTTTCCTGATTATGAAAACCACCTGAAAAATCAAACAATTACCATTTTTCAGTACCAACTAGATAAAATTTCCTTCCAGAGAAGGTATTACATTTGATACATCGGAGAAATATTTCTGATAGAAAAGTTGTTCAAAGAAAAACAAAAAAATAAATATTGTAAAACCATTACATGCTATGCTTAAAATTTAAAATTTAGATATTTTTTATAATTGTTTATAATTGTTGATATTTAAAACTGTCAACTAGATTAAACTATTAATTTTTAAACAATTCTCAAAGTTTGATAAAATTTAAAATTTATTTTTTGCTAATTTTACTTATGGACAACTATATTTGATCAAGGATAAATGATAAGTGTTTATCAGACACACTCACATTCTTAGAGTATTTGGGTTAGCAAATGTAAAAACAAGTGTTTAACTTAGATTATTTATACTTATAATTAAATATATTGTGTTAGATGGTTGCAAAATTCCATACAGAATTCACTATCAATATGCTGGTAGCAAATAATTTTTTGTTTATTGTTCAGTGATATTACTTGTCCAGTTATACATGTTTTGAATTTCTGTCAAAATTTCAAGTGTCTATGAATATTTTTAAATTTGCCTGGTCTTTCTATATTTTTTTCTGGTTTCCCCATTTTTTTGACAACTGCTTGAAAGTTAATAAATAATTTCCTCAGCAACTAAATCCAAAATTCAACAAAAAATGTCTTGTTATATTTTGATTAAAGCAATATTTAAGGTATACAAGTTGCTCATAGACACAATAATAAAAATTTATAGTAAAATCAATAGATCCCAGAATATGCTTAAAGTCTAAAATGTTGAACAAAACAAAATTAGTTTAATTTTTTTTAATTTGTCATATTTTCTTTGTGAGGACAATATGTTTATTTATAATCATGTAAACCTGTATTTTAGTAATGTTTACATTTTTATTTTGTTCACAATTTTAGTTAAAAATAGTTGAGATTCACATTTGTATATTTAATTTATATTTTAGAATACCAATCTGATAGAAATCAGGAGTTTATGTATGGTTATCATTCATCACAAATACAAGTTTATACTGTATATGACAGCAAGCGATTTATCAAGATTGTTATTCCAGCAATAAGAACAATTTTCCAATTTATTGTAATGGTTTTATTTTGCATACATAAAATATCAAAATAAATAAAAATAAAATAAGATTTAAATTTTTAGGTCAAGATTGAAGGAACTAGATTTACAATTGAGCTATTTTTTAATAAACTATTAAACAAATTTTTGAAACATTCATTGTTATCATTAAAACTTTGTAATTGCCCTAATCAAAAAAAAGATATGGTCAAAGAAATACTCACTGCAGTAAGTTATCTCTTAATTTTTATAGTATTATGAAATCTCCATTGGCAGACATTGAAGAAATTTTAACATCTAAAAGTTCCTTTTATAGAAATGCCACTGTTATATCTTAAGTTATAATTATATTTATTATCTAATATCTTTGTTTTGTAGCAATGTTTTATTTGTATTGTACATATATTTTCAGCTATCCTGTGTTAATCCCATCCACTTAAAAATATGCATTACTACAAAATATGATATTATTAAACTGATTTATGCTGAAAGCCTAGAAACATTAATTTTTGATATGGCTCTGAATGATGAAGTTTTAGTTTTAACCTTTAGTAGCCTAATGTTTGAATTTATTTTAAACAACTTGGTTAATGAAATTGAACAAAAATGCATTGTTGATTTGGTTCATAGGCTTCAGTTAAATTTTAAACTCAGTACAAGTGATGAAATTGCTAATGAATATATTTACAAAATTATAAAAACGTAATTTATTTATTAAATATTTAATTTAATAACTGTTTAAAACAAATTATTTATTTTTAATATTTGAAAATTGTTTTTATAATTAAAATATAAATTATTTATGTTAGGTTAATGAATAATTTACAAAATACAAATCATGTTATGTTCAATATTGAAGTATTAAAAACAATATTTGCTATTGTTGAATCTGCTCATTATGAACTCGGAGAAAATATGAATTCATTATTAAAACATTTGTTTACTGGTAATATTTTGTTTATTTTTATTTTATTATTCATTTACATTTTTGGTATGTGAATGGTTAAATGATCAATTACGTTAATTTAATTATTCTTGATAATAAATGATTTGTTTTATTAATAGGTACTTTTTTTTTTTATTACAGATTTACTTTCATACCAAATTAGTTTACCAAATTCCTTGGGTTTAACTAAAATTGCACTTTCAGAGCTTTGTTTAGCTGAATGTATGTTAAAAGTGGTTCCTCCTACTCAAATAATAGATTTATTTCCCATAATAGCATATTCACTTCAAATAGAAAAATTAATTTCTCAGGTATATAAATATATTTAATTTATGTTATTCTTAAACAAATTATTTGTTTGTATTATTTAACCTAGTAATTGAATTTCAACATCCTATTTATTAATGTTAATTTATTTTTATTTTTAAGGGACTTTTTATCTTAAAAAAATGTGTAGCTATACTGCCTGGCAATTTTTTCAATGATCTTGATCTTAATATTCGAAATGAAATTCTAATGGGATTGTATTATTGTTTGAATAACCCATCAGAATCTATATCTCAACCTGTTGTGAGGTGAACTACTTTAATCTATTTTATTGTTTTTACAAAATTACTATTAATGTTTATTTGTTAAAGTTTACTTGGCAAATTTGGAGGGCTCAACCGAAGTTTACTTAAACCTTATCAACTTGATTTAAAAACCAAGTATCATCAAAATGAAAAGAAACCTAAAATATTGATATCATTTGAACATTTCGAACATAATTTAATAGAATTAGATATTGAACCAGTAAGTAATTATATATATGACTAGGAAATATAAACCTGATATGAATATTTATCATAGTATATATATATATAATAAAACCTCATTAAGATGTTGAGTGAGAAATGGGGTTACCGGTAACTTAATCTTAAATCCCTGTACTAGATTTTACCTAAATATAGAAGCATGGTCATTAGTTTATCATCCTTTAGACCATCTTGTTTATCTTTAATTTTAGCCCATTTGATATTTTTTTCAAGATTCAAGATGGTCGTAGGTAGATTTGTAGCTTGGATTCAAAATGTGTGGATTTTCAAATAAACTTTGTTGAAACAGTTTTTATTCACTTTGAAATTTATCTCATCCCACATGATTGAAACATAGTAAATGACATTTAAAAAATTGATTTTGGAAATTTCTTTGTTGATTCCATTTCCTGTAAATACCATTGTACCAATTAAGCGAGAACATATTAATGTGGTTTTACTGTATATATATATATATTTAAATATTTCAAAAATTAAGTAATTAGTCTTATTAAAAAGGTATATCATAATATATTCAATTTAAAGTATTGAACATATTTTGTTTTTCTATTTTTCTAAGTATTAAATAGGAAAATAATAAAAACAAAAAAATGTATTATTTTAAAATTATATTTGGTTTTTTTTTAGTTATCTATACTATTCATATACAGGGCTCTGACTTTTAGCACTTAAAATCCATAAAAAAAGCCATGAAAAAAATATTTTAAAACTTCTTATATCTTATATAAAATAAAAATTTTTAATACTATAAAATTCCTTATTTTGAATTGTTTTTTAAGGATCTTTTTGGCATTTTTAAGTGCTTGTTTGTTGATTATAAGTGCTTAAGGTTCCGAGCCTTATTTATAAGTATATGATTCAAGAAGAAGAAAAATCACAATCATTAAGCATAGTCATTAATCTGCATTGATTAGTGATATTGGATAAAAAATTTAGCCTAAAATATATATGTGTATATTAATAATGTAATTTATTAAATTGTTTAATATATTTGTTCTGCTGGTTTTAATAATTTATACATTTTATTTAATAAACTATGTATAATTTTTAATTTTTTATAGAGCATTAATACTGCAGTTGAAATATTAATGTCAAATTTTGATCGATTCAATAGAGTACATAGTTGGAATGTCATAAAAGGGTTTTTAGTAGTATCATTGGATTGTGATACTAGTGGAATTACAAATATATTATCAAATGTCAAGTATGAAAATTAAGTGTAAAATGTATATATCTAATTAGCATTGTTTCTGAAATATTAGGTTAAATATTTGTATGAATATCACATAAAACAAATTTTAATTTTAATATTTGATTCACAAAAGATTATTAAGCAGATTATTAGTGATTACTGTTAATGTATATGTAGAAATGTTCCATATAATTTAATAATATGATTCATTTAATACTAAACATACATTTATTTCAGAAAGTATTAATTTTTGGAAAATTTATATTTACTATGTATTAGAATACATGGTATTTTAACACTATAATCCAGTGTTTATACAAATTTTTTCCTGCAAAATGGTTCTGTTTGAAAATCAAATTTAGTACCATAAATTGTCATTTCAAATTATAACAAAAACAAGGTGTCATCAATACATAATGAATAATTTGATTTTTATTTTCAGCTGGGAAACATTCATAGATATATTTGAAAATAATTATACACATAATGTTAAAACTAGTATTGATGAGACATATATTAAGGCTTTAACTGGTAATTATAACAATTTTTTTTTTTTTATCAAGTATATTTGTAATGTTTATTTAATAGGTTTAATGATATGCTGTAATGATGAGTACTTAAAGACTGATGCTTTACAGTATTTTAATGAGTTTACCAAACTTATTGTTCATATTTCAATATGTCACTTCAGTAGTATTCTATATGGGCGTTCTTCAAACATCAACCCATACACTTTGATTGATGCTATTATTATAGTGTTATCACATGAAAAAGAAATAATTTCTAGTTTCGGTGCATTAGCTACAGAATTGGTCATGAAAGAATTAAATATTATTTTAGGATGTAATGTATGTACTAATTATTCTACATTTAAAATCCTATTATAATTATAGGAGAATTTAAAAAAAAAATTTTTTTCTTTAGATGGTTTATTTTCCTTTAATTACTTACATGATAAGACAATGTTGTGAACTTTGTTATGATACAAATTGGATTCATAAGCGTGGAGGTTGTTTTGGACTACAAATTTTGTTTTCAATTTTATTAAAAGAAGACACTATTACAGAAACATTTTCCAATTGGTTTATTCAACATTTTCTATCTATATTTAAGGCTATGGTGTTCATATTTTCTGATTTAAATGAACAAGTGTGTATTATGTTACAAATATATAATACATGTTCTGAATAAATAAATGTTTTAGCTGACATTTGGTGCACTGGAAATAGCTAAAAATAATTTGGACGTTATGATAAACTGGCTTTACTGGACTAACCCAAATAAATCATCGCATAATTTAATAAAAGAAACAATTTTAAAGGATATTGCTGATAACATTATTGGTCCAAATGATTTGCTGAGAGAATTGGTAAAAATTGATGGATTTTATTATTTATTATTAAACTGTAAAATTAATTAATACAAAAAATCACAGTTTAAAACAATGGAAATTTAAAAATCAATATTTATTATGTGGGAAATGTGTAGTTATGTGGAATGTAAGAATTTATTTTGAGAAAAGTGTATGAATAACTTATTTAATTTATGTGTGCCAGAGATCAAAAATAAGATATTTTTAAGATTATAAGATTTATTATTGCTATATATTAGGGTATTTCAGGATTTTATTCTTTATATCAAATATTCTTTTCATGGTATTGTGTTTCCTATAGTTTAAAGAACCATTTAACTCAACAAATTTAACATTGTGCATGACATGGATGGTGGGGGGCATTTATAATATACAACAATGGTTGAATGTAAGCTTGTTGTTGAATTTATTTTTTTCCAAATGACCTAATCAAATCTATTTAAGAGTATTCTATAATCGTATTATTCCTATAATTATATCATATTTTGGTTTAATATTAATAAAATATCACTTATACACCACTGTCATAAGAGTATTTCTATGAGTTTATTTTTAATTTTATGTATCAGGTTTATAATTGGGTCTTTATTTAATAATAATATGTTAACATGGATGTTTATTTTTCATAACAATATAATCTTATTGGTATATTAAAGTAATAACTTTATAAACATCTTTATGATAATAATAATATCCTTTATATTTTATTATTAGTAACAGTGTGAAATGTAAATGTAATGTCATGATAGTACATAATAATATTATACATATTCACAGTGAATTGTAAATTGTATGATTATTTTTTCTTCAATATCAAATTGAAATGTGACATAATTATATGAATAGAAAGATTATCAGGTACTCTTAAATTCATTTAATTAGGCCATTCCAAAAAAAAAAATAAGTTCATTAGCATTGCTCTGACATGACATGCAATGATAAAGATCTTCATGATTAGGGAAAGAAGCAAATGTTAGATATTTTATTATGGTTATTGTATTCTATTTATATAGTAGTATAATAATTATTGATTTTTTGAGTCCTATATTTGCTTTGGATTTTTTTAAATAATTAATTAATGTAGGGGCATAGTTTTTATATAAAAATATTGGAAGCTTTTATATGTTAATAATTTTTAGAGTAAGATAATTTATTAAAAATTATTAGAAAAAGAAAAAAAATACTACTATTTTTTAGATTCTGTGCTAAGTGAGATTGTATTGTTTTTTTTTATCTGTGAATTACTTTTCTACCAGAAATATTGTAGTTACATAAATGTAGTACATTTTTTGAAAGGTAATTTCATCCAGTTGGTACTTAGTGAAGTAATTTTTTGATTTTTCAAATGGTTTTCATAATAAATCGAAAAAACAACAAAATTTATGCAATTTATTGTTTTACATTTTTTTTTTCTTGTTGTTGTGATTCAGTTAAAAATATTTGTAAAAAATTTGGATATTTGTATATTTAATCTGTATAAAATCTATATTTGGACAGAAAACTTATATTTGCTTTAAATGACATCTGTGGATGAAATAGTTAGACCTAACAGAAATGCTTGAAAATTTAATAGGATATTCATTATGTAATGTAAAATTTCTTTTTATAGGAATTTCGATAAATATTACAGTCTTTTAAAATGTGTATAACTGAACTCCACTCAAAATAATTTTTCTTAAGCAATGATTAATATCATACATTACATACATTGATATACAAGGTGTGGCAAAATATCCTCCCTAGTTTTAAAAGTTAATAAAAAAAAAAAAACAATTTTAGTTATACATTTTTGTTTTACATATATTATTGTTTAATATTAAAAATTCTAATTTTTGCAGTTTTAAATAAAATGTTGGTCAAGTGGTGTCCTTTACTGTCCATACATAGCTTCAAGCAAAATGAGAAGTTATAATTTTTAACTTAAGCATACATTTTTCTAGGATTTCTGTAATAATTGCTTCCTTTAAATTCCAGATTCCTTGAACGATAATTATAAACCTGAGATTTAACATGACCTCTACAGAAATAAAAAGCACATGTTGTTAAATCCAGAAAGCATGTAGGCTATAGATGTGATACTTCTAATGGAAATCAAGCGCCCCTCCTGGAAACATTTCACTCAATACTTGCATTGTTGTGTGAGCTGAGGCTCCATCCTGTTGAAACCAAATATTCTGTATATTGATTTCTTTAAGGTCTCTAAGAGCTGGTGCAAAAAAATCTTAAAGCATGTTGACATAATGCTCAGAATTAATGGTAACTGCTTGATTTTGTTTATTGAAAAAGTAAGATGAAATAATCTGTGAAATTACACACCACACTGTGGTCACTATGCAGAGAGACTTCTGGTGTATTTCCCATGTGTTTTTATTACTCTATTTTTGATTTGGAATTACCTGATGAGAAGAATTTTCAACAGAGTATGAAACACACTCTGGACAACAGCTACACACTCATATTTATGAAAATAAGTTTCCACAGGTTGTCTACAATGTGTTTATTCCAGTCCTACATAAATAGACTCAATTTCCACCATTCTATAATTATAAATAACTGTTTATTGCCATGCTGAAACTAGGGATGATGTTTTGCTGCACTTTGTACATTAAATTCCCATCTTCTACAACAGTGGCTACAATCTGTCTTTTTTCAAATTAATTGTTCTACATTCTACCACTCAACAGGCCTTTAAAAGTCAATTTTGTATAATTTTGATAAATGGTCCCTTTTATTCCTTTTAATAGTTATTTTTGTATAGTAACTCATATTTGAAATAAAAATTATTATACAATTATTATGGAATAGAAATGAAGAAAATAAATTTTATATCCTAAATTGATTTATGATATTTATATAATTTCCTACTATGATAAACTTAGCTTAACTTTATAATTGTAAACAGCAAAAAAGCTGTAGTAAATAATACAGTCACATTAATTGACAAAGAGATCAGTTGGCTTATCAGTAAATGAAGAAAAAACTAAAGTTATGGAACTATTGAGAAACAATCATGAATTATTTGCCATGAATGAGCTCTGGTTTTTGTAAAAATAAACCAGTTTAAATACCTTGGAGTTACCATCAAGTGCAATAATGCTGATAATGGCAATAATGACTGGAGTTTAGAAGTAGCCAACCCCATACACAAAGCAGAAAAGGCCTATTATACATTACTAAAGTTTTTCAAATCTAAATTATTCCTGAGAAGGATGAAATTAAGACTGTATATGGCTATAGTAAGACCAGTATTGCCATATGGTTGTGAGGTGTGGATGATAACAGCGCAAGTGGAGAAAAGGTTACTCTCTTTCGAGAACAAGATTTTAAGAAAGATCTGCGGTGCAATATATGATAATGAGTTGGGATGCTGACAAAGGAGGACAAACATCAAAATTCAAAAAAAATTACATAAAGCCCAACTACTTAAAGGCACAACCATTGCAATGGTTTGGTCACCCTATGCGAATAGAGAAATCAAAGGCTGTGAGGGCTGTTTCCTAGTGAGAAAAAATCCAGGAAAGACCAAGGAAGTGATTGTTCAATAGGACAAGTCAGAACTTAAAATCACTGGATATAGAAGACTGGGAGGACACTATTCAGGATAGAGAAAAATGGAAGGCTCTGATGGTGGAAGCGAAGACTCTTGGAAAGTCATAAAGCTAGAAAGAAGAAGAAGAAAATAATTTAAAAATAACATTGGGAAATTTGTTGGCATAATTGGTTTATATTTGATGATTATTAGCGTTATAGAGACCTCAATGAAAAACCTGGATAACCAATAAAATTGTATAGGTTATAATAATGTTGAATAATTTAGGATTTTTTATATAGGTCACTATTTCAAATAGTATACAGAGTGATTTCCAGCTAATATATAATATTATAAGGCACAATCCAATAATAGCATTAGTATAAAGTATGAGATACAACACAATGAGAGATAATTCATTCTCTAGGCCAATTTGACAGGTGATAGTTGTTTAGTGCCAAACCTATTCTCCCCCTATAAATGGAATATTTCATTAATGTGTTCAAGAAAATTTAAAATTTTAACACCAAAATGTATTGCACTCAAAATTTCCAAAAATCAGAATTTGAATATTTGCAAAATTTAACTAAAAAAATGGGGTGAGCACTCTATATATATTAGCAGTGGCATGATAAAATTGACTCAGCTGCGCATGAAAAAAAAGATGTGTGGGCGGGTGTTAAATATTGATGTTTATGCTTGAGTAGTTAGCTACTTATTTATATTTTGTGTTTATATAAAAAAAAAAGGTGGGTGTTGACAAATTTTACTATCAATAAAAAGTTAAAATTAAAAATTAAAAACTGTATATTAGTGTATAAAAAGTACAAAAAAACAGATATACTTCGAACAATTGGTGGGTCATCATTTAGGTGAGAGGTTGGCAAGTATAGATATAGAGAAAATTTGATGTATATCTATGCAATGTCTGTACATTGCAAACAAAAAACAATTCTGAGCGAAATTCAGTTGTATTTTTTTTAAGAGGCCTTAATATTTACATATTTTTTTCAAAGTTAAAATTCTTCTAAAAAAAATGTACAGCATTAAACTCGACTTTTTCTTGTTGCCACTTAAGTACAACTTATAATAAGTTTTCTGTTAAATTTTCAAGCATTTCTTTTTGGTCCAACAATTTCATCCATACAGTACCTATTGAATGAAAATTACATAAAAACTCATAAAATTAAAATACCTATAAAAAGCTTAAACATTTTTCAAATGTTTTAAAAATTTTATCACATCTAGAAAAGCAATTTTTAATTTTTTCCGTCAAATTTCAATTACGAATATTTTAAATTGATTCACAAAAAAAAAATCAAAATTCAAAATTATATATTTAGTATATTTTCCAGTTTTGCGTACCTTTCCCCCACCTAGGGTTTTACCAATTATTATGAAAACTGCTTGGAAAATCAAAAAATAACCCTCCTAAACTACCAATTAGATAAAATTCCCTTTCAGAAAAGGTACTACAATTGATACTTGAGTATGAAAAAAAATTTCCTTGCTCCACTGCTAATCTATTACTATTTTTATGTACAAAAAAAAAAATTGCAATTTTTCCTAAAACTGATACTAAAATAACTAATGGGACCTTTAATAATAATTTCAAAAATCTGATCAAATTTAAAGAATATTATTAAGCTCTAAGGAACACGGTACCATTGAAAGAATATCTGAAAAATAAATTGGAACACCCTTCTATATTAATATAATGATATTATTAAATTAAATTAATCCAGGACAATACCTTAAATTTAATTTGTCCTATATTTTAGATTCTGAGTTGAGCAAAAAGTTTCACAAAAGTTTTTATTTTTTTTTTCCTGTGGACAACTTTACTATCTGAAATCTCAGTCCACACATTTTCTGAAAGAAAATCTGTTTGGGAAAATACTTTATAAAAGTCATCTTTTGATTTTCCCAGGAGTTTTACCAATAAATGGGAAAAACCGGGAAAATAGGTACAATATATAATAAGTGTTCATTATTATATAATTTTTCAATGAATTTTTGGACTAATGAATAAATAAATAATGCCTATTTAATTATTTTATCATAATATAACATATATATGTTGTTAACAAAGCATCACTATCAACTGAATTCCACTCGGAATTGTTTTATAATTGCAGATATACATTAAATTTCTTACTGTATTCTACTATCCCAACTTCTCACCTACAACAGTGGCTGCAACTGTCCCCATTAATCTAGGACAGCTTTTTTTGTTATTTTTATTATATAGTTAATAAAATATTATGGTTTTAATTTGTACAGTTTTACTCATTAATAATTTGTTAATGTTTTATTTATAGTCCATAAGAATGGTCACTTGTATAGCAGAAAAACAACAAAAATTAGTTTCCGATATTTTAATACCATACCATGAACATTTTAACTTAGCAATTCCTGGATACCGATTATTTAATACATATACTTATAAATCTCAAATGGGAATAATGAAAGGACATATATTTTGTATGCTATTTTCTATCCCTCTCATAGAATTGGGTAAGCCATTTATATGTTTTCTCTAGGAATAAAATAAACAAATTATGTTTAAGTATTATTAATTTATATTTTAATTATATATATTATATGTATTCAAATTGCAGACTTTTCAAAAAAAGAACATGAATATTATTTTAATTTTCTATGTATGATATGTAGAAAAAATGATAAACAAATTAAAAAAATACATATGTTTATGGGTCACACATCTAAAGAGTTGTATGAATATCGTAAAACAGTAATTCAAGTATTAGTAAATTGTATTAGTTTTTTTAAATACAATGAGAAAAAAGTATTAAAATTGTTTTTGAATATGTTGATAAATTCTGATGATCAAAAATTGCAAGAAATGGTTTACCAGTGTTTAAAACTTCATACACATAGAACTATTTTAATGGAAATGGTAAATTTAAATGATTCAAAATAAATTGTAAATTTGTAATGTTTAACTAAAATGAAATATGTATGCAGGTAGACAAATTATTAATTCATTATAATAAATTATATGGGAACAATTCCAAAATAACATTGGTAAATACTCGGCGTATTATGTATTTATCAAAATTATTTCCATCTCGTCCAAGTATAATTTTGTCGAGCATACTATTGAAATCATTTAAATATTTTTGGAATAAAAAATATAATTGTAAAAATAGTAAGCCTATTTATTATGTATATATATTTTAATATTAAAATATATACACATATAATAAAATTGCTAAATTTATTTAGAACAATCCAATTGTGAACTTGAAAATACTTTGAAGAACATATTAGAAATAATGTCTTTAATAAAAGCAACACAGTTTTTTCAAGTACAAGAAATCTGTGAAATTATTTTGAATGCAGATATATTGTTATATAGAGATTTATGTAATCAATTGCATCCATTGTTGATTAAATGTTTATCAAAATTTCCTGAAGATTGTGTAAAGATGTTTTTTAAAGATATAAATATAAAGGTTTGACATGTTTAAAAATACCTTTCTTGTTATTTCACATTTTATTATTGTTTAATCTAATCACTATAAAGAATTTGAAAATCAAATTTTTTTTTAGAACTCAATTTGGACATCATTTTTTAATTCAATGATACGCAATGAAAATGATGAATCTTTGAGAATTAAATTAAAGACAAGCCCTTCATTACTTGAAAATTTATTGTTATTATCTAAAATTGGTTAGTATTTTTTCATTTAATAAGTGTTTAACTTTTATAATGTTAGACATTATTGACATTTAAAATATACTCAATTTTTGTTTGCCCATTAAATATGTATTTAAATTATTTTGAATTATTAAATTTTTTTTCTTAGAACATATGTATATTACCAATTTAAAAACAATGGTGAAGTCAGAATTAAGTGAACTGACATAGTTTCGAAATTATAGCTTTTTGAAGTTATGTTATTATGTTAAATAACTATATATTGTCAAACATTAAATATGTTTGTCAAGTTTAATCATAATACATGTTTATTGGCATCCTACCCTAGGGTAGCAGGGTTCGAGAGTTTAAACTGGAGTTTCAAAACAAATTCTGTTTAGGTGTACCTAGAGAAAGTAATCGCCCACTCGGACTATTTTAATTGCAAAATACCCATAGATTTGTTGTGCAAACTTTGCTACCAGAAATATTGCTCCAAGTGTACCTTATTGTTTGAAAGGAAATTTTATCCACATGATACTTTATGGAAGTTATTTTTTGATTTTTCAATCAGTTTTCTTAATATCTGGGTATAAATGTAGGTATTAGTAAAAAAATATTATGGCCTTTTTTTCTGTGTACAACTTTTCTACCAGCAATTTCACTCCAATTTAAAATGATTCCACTTTTTCTGTAAGGAAATCTAACTGGGAGTAAACTTGGAGAGAGGGAATTTTTTGATTTTCCCAAGAGTTTTTTCAGCAAATGTAAAAAAATGATAAAAAAACATGGCTAAATCTGTATTATATTAAACAAAAATTAATGAAAATATATAATGTCCATTTAATTATTTTACCATAATATGAAATATATATTTTTGACAAAGTATTATTATCAACTGAACTGTACTCGGACTCATTTTTGCATTAGCAATAGTTTATCATTGCTTACAGGTATATATTAAATTACCTATAACAGTGGATGCATTAGTTCCATTATCCTAAGACAGCTTTTTTTATAATAATTTAATTTATAATTGATTTATATTCGTATTTATTTTGGGCCATAGATCTTAGATATGTCTTTTTTAAGTATTGTATTATATTTTTTAAACAATTAGGATAACTTTAAGATTAATAGGAATAAGAAAACACCAAGAAAATTATTAATATAAATTCTGTTTCTTTTACTGGTTGTTATTAAAAATTGTCTATTGATTATTGTTAAATGATAAGATAAATATTGTTAAAGTGTAAATAATTATAAATATATTATCAAGGAGGGTTAATTTTAAATTTATAATCACTACACATAATGTTGATTAGATGTGAAGGGTTGTGAAGGTCTTTTAGTGCAAGTTATGATTGAAGTTTTAGTTTTAGTATTATTGTTAGTAATATATTAGCATCTAATATAACAAGCTCTTGTGTACTGCCACCAAGTTAAGCCCTACGATCCTAGGTCTTTAAAGCTTGGGAGTTTTTTGGTACATTTTGATCAGATCCCAGTGTTTCCTATTCAGTAATGCCACACATCTGATTGGTTTTTACAGTTACACACCAAATAACTACATTATACACTGTGTTATAGTCATTAAAGTAGGTGTTTATTTTCTTGGGTGTTATTGGTTTACTTAAAAAAAAATTAATATAATATATACTATTTGTATGGTGTATACAATTAATGCACTTATTGTATAATTAATATTTGTTTGAACTATGCCATATAGGAGGGGGGTGATGAAATAGGCTCCTCCTACATGTGTACCTGGGTCATGATGTTCAGTTTTTAAATTTACATAATAATACACTCAGAATCCAAAAGTTCATAACCATACAAAACCAATAAATTTCTTTTTCAGAATTTAAAATTGGTTAGGCTATTGAATATTTAAATCCTTTTTTATAATATTATTGTTTTATAGACCCATCAAGAACTATTCAATATGAGTGTATCAAAATGATTTACAACATGGCAAAAATGGATAAACAGTGGATTATTGAAACTAAACTGATCAACACTTTATTAAATATTTGGTCCGATATTCAGTATAAAGTGAGTATTTTTTACATTTTATAAAATAGACAAAGGAATCAATCTTAATGGTTATTTGTTTACATGTCAATATATTCTTATAAATTCCTCTGTAATCATTTTTTTCAATGTATACATATGTATTAGCAACTGCATATTTTTTTAATTGTGATTAAATGTATTTTGTATTTTTGGGTCTGTATTTTGGTCTTAGAACTTATCTACATTTAAAAGATTTTAAATTAGTCTAGTATAAATGTTTTTTCTAATAATATCTTGTCACTAATACACCTATATCTAGTAATTCATGCAAAAGCTTTTAGTTATCAATTGGTTTGAATTTGATAGACCTAAGAAGACAACTTTCTGGTATTTCATTTATATATGAACTTTTAAAAAGCTTTTTTTATTAGTTTTATTAGAAATCAAGGTTTCCATATAAAGATTTCTATACTTTTCCAGAGTAAGAGTTATGGTATTCTTTTTTTCCTCAGGTTTTATTGTTATATAATAAAATATCCACATCAATAGACCTTTTTGGTTCTATTCATCATACATTTAAGTTGAATGTTATATTGATATTAAGATGTATAATTGGTATATAAAATATTTAAATACTCTTAATAAGTTTTAGTACTGTGTATTTGTACTTTAGACAAATTAAGTAAAGGTTGTCTATTCTTTTAATCGTCTTGTTAATCCAAAGGGCTCAATTAAAAAGGGCCCTTATTATAAATAAATATAATGTATTATATGAATACAAATACAGTAGAATGCCCAATTAATGTCATGGGTGAACGTAATAAGCAAATATCTATATGATTGACCAGAACTCTTTTGCATAAACCAAGTAAACATAGCATCTTCTAGTAATGCTGTTTTAGGTTTTTTCATTGTTTTATGTGTTAAAGAACCTTTTTCATTATGGAGATTATTCACATACTTGTTGATAGAGTCCTCATTTTCTTTATATCTGAAAACATGGATGTTCCAGCACCATATTTTTCAATCAATTCTCAGCCTGTTTCACATTTTTTCAATCACACAATGATATCTACTTTTTCTTTCCTAGTAACCACCTCCCCTTAGAAGACATTGTAACAGAAATTCATTAACTAAACTGTTTGACAATTTGATGATTAGACAACAACTGACTTACTAAGAATAAATAATAATAATATTAATAATAGCTGATATTTATCAGGTTTCTATAATTTTAAGGAATCATTTTTATCTATACATACATATATATGTATGTAATATAATAAACTGGTGGATATCTAATCTATGATTTTGAAATATGATCACAATTTAAGAGTTATTGAAAGACCAAATTTCTTTTCATCTAATTCTAGTCTGGATAATTGGATGTCTGGTTGATTGATGATTCATATAATAAGTAAAATTAAACACTTCTCTCCATTTTGATTAATAATATTTGAATCTATATTTTACATCCTTATGAAAGCCAGTTTTTCATACAAAAGATCATAGATCTTTAAACACTCAACCTCCCCTATAAACACTTATTGTCATTAGTAGTTGTCTTATTCTGTTCTTTCAAACACATACTCTGTTTTACTTCTACTTATCATTAGTACTTTTTCTTTAAGTGCTGCTCACTATACTTCAAGCCTATTGTAATCTTTTTACTGATTTTCTCCTATCAAAATTATATCATCAGCAAAAAAAAACAAATACCCTTCTATTAATGATAATTTATATTTTACTATCCAATAATAATGAAATATTAACAACTGGGCTAAGAAAAATGTAAAATTTTAAAATTGAGAGGCCAGGGAAATGTATATTCAAGATTTATTAACCCCTATTAATAATTCTTATTCTCCATAAGCTTAATCTGATGATATCCTAAGTAGATTTTTGAAATGCTCGCAACTTCAAATTTTTCCTAAGCTCATCTCTGGTTCCATAAATTCTCCCTCCCTCCCTCTCTTCTTGTCAGCAATTTTAAAATACCAACTTTTAAAACAATCATAATTCAAGCACATTTTTTATTTCCCTTCATTTTGCTAATTATCTATGTAATGAGCTTTTAGGGTGTTGAGAACTCTTTTTTAATTTCATTTGACATTATTGTATTCTATATGTACTCATTTACTTTTGTTTAATATTTTTATACTTGGCTATAATTTATTCATACCTATTGCATTTACCACATTATTTTATTGTTAGGTTAGGTTTTATTATTGCTTACAAGCCTATATCTATATTATAAATACATTAATTAATTTGGTTTAATATTTTTAAGGACCGATACAAAAATTTGGCCGCTATTAAATTGACTGAATGGGATGAGCCTAAAATGTTATTAAAAATAATATTGATATATTTTAAAAGTAATGTTGATCAAATTTTTATACTTTTTCAATTGCTTCCAGCATTTACTTCTAGATTTCCTATAGATATAAATGTAAGTAAAATAGATTAATAATTTTTTTATAATTATTATTATTTTAGGTGTTTATTATGCCTATTAATTATTTTGTTTTGATTGAGTAGTTTTTCAGAAAATTTGTAGAAAATGAAATGATTAGTTCATATAGTGTAAAGTGGATTCGGAAAATTGTTTTTAAATTTATTGATTTATACCACAATAAAGGTGCAAATAGTGATCTGTTAGGAAGAACACTGCAATATTTAATATTACCAAGTCTTTCAATGTGTTATAAAAAGGGAGAAAATGAAAAACTATGTAAATTTACTAATCCAGATGAAAATATACTTGGAATCATTTTAAACAAAGTATGTTTTCATTTTACATATATTTAGTGAGAAATATCAAGCAGAAACAATAAATAAATATATATAATACATGCAAATATAAATACAGAGTGTGTAAATTGTTAGTTGGAAATGCTACAACTTAACTCATATTAAATATATTTGAATTAAGAATTAACTATTTTTATAAAAATGTTATTTTTTAATTGGAAACTACCCCTTTATAAGGTAATCATTTTTAATCATATTGTTTTATGAATTTTATTTGATAAACCCACTTCCTAAGTTCATAAATAACAAGTTATGGATATTTAAATGTTACATATTATTTTTCAGAGTTGAATTATTCACTTATTTGGTAACTTAAATTAATGATTTTTTCACAGTATGAAGAAAAATCAGTGTTATGGTAGAGGAAAAGGGTTATACCTGCCTCTAAAGTACTAAAAATGTTGAACCATTAAAATAACTAAAAATGCACTGAAAATAATTATCACATAAAGAGGAGTTTACATTTAATAAAAAAAACTTGTTATGCACATGGACAAAATTAAATGTGATAAATACAGTTTAATTAATTTTATTTGTATATCAAAGTTTGTTTGGTAATTAAATAAACAAAATACAAATATATATTATTTAATATGAGTAGAGTTATGGTGTTTCCAACTAATAATTACACGCTGTATTGTTATAATACATAAAATGTATTTAATAGTGGCTTTTATTATTCATTTTTTTTTTTTTTTGCCCCCCCCCCCTCTTCCCCCAACATTTAGTGTTAATACCTAGCAAATAAATTATGCAAAAATTAGTAGTTTTGTCATTTTTTAATGAAATTGTTTATAATGATAGGTTAAAACTTTTTTTTTTTAACCAAAATATTTGAAGATTTCAAAAATGTCACTTTTGACTATATAACATAATTTATTACTGATAATTTGTGGTGAACCACTGTTGTAGATGAGAATTTGGAAGGTAGAATACATAGGAGAATATAATGTATATCTGTAAACAAAGATGAACCATTGCTAATGAAAAACGATTCTGAGTATTAGTTGATGGTATTGCTTTTTCTAACACTATTAATATTAAATTTTTTAAATTTTTTTTTATTTATTCACTTTATTAAATGTTTAAAACATCTATTTGTAAAAATTATTGTTCTAAACATTTTAATGTACTATATATTAATTTCCAAATAATAGTTTTTTAATGATAGCTCTTTCAATTTCTAGAAAATAGGACTAAAAACAAATAATATTCAATAGAGGCTAAAAAACTACCTTGCTGATTATAATTCTGTATTGCAAAATGTGTTATTTTATTTAATATTAATCGTTTTCATACCTATTTAAAACTGCTATAACTATTAAATTAGTTAAAAATTATTGAATATTTTTTACAAAATGGTTATCTTGAAAATGTTCTAAAGTGAAAAAGGGAAGTTATTTAAGATTTTGAATGAATCCAAGAAGCTTAAAGTTTTACAATGATATTTTTTGTTTTTCTATGAATCTTGATTTGTTTTTCTAAGTGTAGCAATTTTTCTGAAAGGATCTCTGTTTGGAGAGATACTTTAGAGAGGTGATTTTTTGATTTTCCCAGGAGTTTTTTCATTAAATTTAAAAAACCAAAAAAATAAAGAAAAAACAGGGGGGGGGATGTTAGGAAAAATTGGTACAATTTTAAACAAATACTATTCAAAAAATATATAATGCCTATTTTACCATAATATAGGACATATAAATTGTTGGCAAAGCATCACTGAATAATTGTTTCCTTAGCAATGGTTTATTGTTGCTTACAGGTAAATATTAAATTACCTATAACAGTACCATCTAGACAAAATTCCTTTCAGAAAAGATGCTACAGTTACATATGGAAACAAGATTTCTGGTAAAAGTTTTTGTAACAGTGTAAAAAAAAAAAAAAAAAAAAAAATTGTAAAATGTATTGGACATTCTTAATTTTAGACTCTGAAAATCTGGTTAAGGAGATTGTAAGTTGTGATTTTTGTCTTTGTATTGCACATATACAGCTTAAAAATTTGGATGTGTTCTTTATTCAATGTAGTGATTAGTCTAATCAAGCAATAAGAATTTTAAAAACATATATGACTTTGTTATCATCTACTTTGAAATTGCATTTCCCACATATTTTATTTTATCCTCCTAAGATCAAAAAAATGTATAATAAAAATGGAATACCTTAAATTAAATTAAAAATTTAAATCAAAAATAAACTTGATAACAAACCCAAAATGGTTTTTAGAATTTTTTATCACTTTTTACCACTAGACCAATTGGTATGTTGGAAATAGAACACATATAAATTCTCACATTGCAATTGTGTCAGAAAATTAGGGGTCAGTGACAATTGGTTGATATTCAATTGGTGGACACAACATTTAGTCAACAAATATTTGATCAATAAGAAAATAAATGCAAATACAATTTTCAGAGGCACATCAGCTTATCACAGGGTACCCATCTTGGTGGTGGATTTTAGGAGGTGATGTGGCTTACCCCATAAAATGAAAAAAGGGTTTTACAAAACACTTAATTACACCTATTAAAAAATCATGGCAGTAGTAGGGTATTAATGTAAAAAATTGATCCCCCACTATTGTGGGTTAATTGGAGAAAAAAAATATATTTCTTGGTGGTGGATTTTCTGTATGTTTGTATCAAAAATGTGTGAAATAAATATGTACCATGTCTAGGACCAGTTTTAAATTTTTTGTTTAAGATCCTGAGTGTAGCAAAGAATTTATTGGTTTTACAAAGATGTTTTTTGATAAAAAAAATTGTTTTTGCTGTGAAAAACTTAACTTTTAAGTTGGGGTTGGAGTAGTGGTGCATTATATCACACTGCACATCTTACCACCATACCAATGATACTCCACTACTCTCTTCCATCCTAAACTTTAAATTGTAATATCTTGTCAACAGCTTATGAATAATTATTTTTTTCGTATGTTTTTAGATTTTTGGCAATATTCGTACTGCATTAACTGGGTGTGATTTTGATGGGATCAAATTATTTTTATGTCAATTACTGTGTTTATTATTTCATGATTTAATAAGTTATAATGAAAATATTTCTCGTGTTATACACAATGGTATACTAAGTTGTAAAACAGCTAAATGTTCAATGGATTTAAATGTTAAATACCATTGCAATTTGATTTTAATATTTTTAATGCTTTCTGGAAAAACTCCAAAAAATGAAAAACAATATCAAGGTTAGGAAGTTTTTTATTGAATATTAAATCATTTTAATGAATGATTCTTTAGAATATTAACAAAATAATTATGATCAAAACAAATGTTTTTAGTGATATATGATGAACTTTTGAAATGTAGCAGTCCTGAAGCTCTACCAGTAATACAATATTCATTGAGCTTTATCGTGACAGCTGCCCTTGAAAATAGTGTAGAAGTAAATACTTTAATTGCATGTGTAAAGAACTCGATAATGTCTGAATCACATAATTTTCATACATTACATCATATTCTATTTTTTGTAAAAAAATATAATACAGTAAGATATATTATAGTTATTAAATAATTTGTTGGTTTTTATATTTACTAATAATGTACTTTATTTTAGTTGTTTTATCCTTACAAAGAGGATATGTCTCCTCTCATTTTAAAATCTTTACTTCCAGTTGCAAAGAATAACAATATGGCAGATTATAAAAAAACAGCAATGGAATTAGCATGTTTAATTGTTGAATGGGATCTTGGCAATCCAAATATGGTATTATATTAAATAAAATATTTAATAATTATTACTTTAATTACTTTATTTATTATATAGGATGTAGCATGTTCTCTTAAAACTAATGAAGAGCAATTAGAGTGTAATAATTCATCATCACAATTAAAGAAATCATCAGCATACATTGAGGACGCACTAAACTTTTTGGCAAAGGTTGCATGTCAGGTGCTGTAGAATAACTGATTTAAGTTTTTAATAATAATTTAAAGTTTTATAAATATTTATATATTTATCACAATATAGACTTATGATGATAAACATGATAGCAAAATTAGTAGACTTGCAAAACACAGTGACATATTTTTTAAAAATATACTGTCTACAAAGACACTTGATACTAAGGATGTGAAATTAAAACTTAAGTGGATTGAAAAAGTTTTAGAAACATTTCTGAAAAAAGAAAACCTTTCTAAACAAAACCCAAATGTAAATGGTAATACAAACTCTAATGTATTGAGTTTAGTAGCCATATTTGAGATGATATCTTTCTTACTAAAAGTTCTGTCTCAACAATTTATGTTAGAAGTTATTTCATCACTTCAAGATTATTTAATACAATTTCTACAATTGGTATTTAATGATGTAATTTTCATTATTCTCAAATAATTAATAAGTTATTTTTGTGCTTAATTTAATAAAGTATGTTTTTTTAAGGTATTAAGTAACAATCAAAATCCTCATAATCCAAAAGAAACGTTGGCAAATCGTTTATCTGTATCACAAGTTAAACAAGTTAGTTAATTTTTAGTCATTAACAAATTATATGTTATGTAATGCAATAGTATAATAATTATATTATTTTATGTTTAATTAATGAAAGTTTCACTGACATTTCTTTAAAATTTTCAATTTTTAGTGTAATGAAGGAACTTTAAAAGTCATAACAGACATTTTAAAAGCTTTTCCATCAATTGATGGTTTGGAAAAGTTACACACATCTATCCAAACGGTATGGTTTAAGTTTAAATATAATATTAATTTTCATGATTAAATTAATATTATAAATTAATATTTTAGATAATTTCTGAGGGTTTAAATAGTAATTCTTTACACAAATTGGATGTCAGTTTGACACTATTAAATGCATCATTATTGTATTTTTCCAACTATTTGGATAATGAAATAGTCAATACTATTGGAGATATATTGTTTAAATTTAATACAAGTTAGTATATCATTAAAAAGTAGTATTATTAAAGTATCATCTTATTTTGTACACAACTATTTAATGAATTAGAAATCAACATAATCAACATTATTTTAAAATTGTTAATGTATGTTTTACTTTTGATTTAAATTTTTTTTTAGACAATAGCAATCCTTCAATAAAAGTAAAAAGTTTAGACATATTAAAAACCCATGTTGACACATTGTCACGTAATGGCAAACAAGTATTCATTGAAAAAGTGGTTTTAGAAAATTTGAATAAAGCAAGAGATTCAGAAAACAATATACCATTTGAAGTACAAATAAAATGTTTTGAACTTATTATTACTTACATAAAAGACATACCGGAAGCCACAGAAGGAATAATATTAAACTCAACAATTCTAGAGTATATCAAAACCACAACCGATGAGCGAATTATGACAATAATTTTAAATGTAATTAACTTAATGATAAACAATTTTAATTATAAAATAATTGTTAAACTTCACCTTTTTAAAATTATATTATACATTTGCAGGTCATAACTAAATGGATTGAAATTTGTAGAGATGAATCAGTATTGTTTAACTGCCAAATCATTAACATTTTAAAATCCATAACTATTATTAATCGGTTCCCTAGGTTATCAGATTATTGTTATACATTGAATCTCGAAATTTTTAAGTAAATTTTTTTTAACTCGTATTTCTTTATATTTAAAAATATTTATTTCAATATTTTTTATTTTTGAATAATTTTCAGAAATTGGTTCTTTCGTGAATGTATTGAATTTGGTCTTAACTGTAAATCATCACCAATTAGATATGATTTTTTACATTTTCTTGATACATTATGGATTGATGGTGGATTATGTATGAGATTGAGTTCAATAATGTCTGATGAGTTTAATTATGATTTAGAGAATGCACTTGCATTTTATATCCAATTATTATTTGTAAAAATAACTAGAAATACTAAACTTCAAGGAGATTTTCCGATATTAAGAAAATTAGCCATCACCAATGAAACTGTAAGTTTTAATTATTTTGTGATTATTATCTAATTAATTATATTTATTGTACTTTTAATATTTATTTTTAGCTTGTCTGCTCTGAAAATAATAATTTTTTAGAATTATATCCAGTGAATGGTGTTCATACATTTGATGTATGCTCCTCTTTAGCTCAGTTGTGTTTTGTTAATGTAAATTTAGCTAAAATCATATGGACATCAGTACTTCCTAGTGTTTGGAATATGTTTAATGATGAACAAAAAAAATTACTTACCCAAAAAGCAGTAAACTTTTTAGTAAATAGCAAATTAAACAAAAATTCCATGGCAGCATTTTATGAAGCTATTATTCTATGTCTACCGAAAATTAAATTTGAACCGTATGCTATTTATCATAATTAATAAAACAAATCTCAGGGTTTTATTATGTATTTGGTGTAATATAAGTAAATACATATTTATTTTAGGCATCAAATGGTATACATTGGAAAAACATATAGTTTATGGTATAAAGTCATTGAGCAGTTAGAAGAAATCTGTGATTATTTTCAACACGAAAAAAAAAATGTAAATTGTTTTTATAAAATTTACATTTTTAATTACATCTTCATTTATGTGAATTTACTATTTGTTAGGAAGCTGTTGAAGGATTAATTCAAATGTATTCTTTGCTACATGAAGAAGATATTTTAGAAAGTTTATTTCAAAAAACTATAAAATGTGAAGAAACCAAAATAGCACTATCTCTTGAGCAACTAGGATGTTACAAAAGAGCTTCAACAATATATATGGAGCTATTAAATCGTAAAATAAATGAATTAGAAGATAACCATACTAATATTTTCAATAAAGAAATTGAATTCAGAAAGATTCATTTAACTAAGTAACTAAATCTACACTCTAGTCATATTAAAAATATTAACCGATATATATTCCATGTTACTTTTGTAGATGTTTGAGAGAGTTAAATGATTGGAATTATTTATCAGAACATTTATTAGAAAATAATTGTGTGTTAAATATTGAATATACATGGAAAAAATCAATTGGAAAGACTTCTAATATTAATTTAAGGTGGGATTTAGAACACAAACAACAAATTTGGCCTTCTAAATCCATTTGGAAGGTATTTTTTAAATATATATTAGTATATTACTCATAAGTTATATTTATAATGTATTGGTTTATTCTGATTTTTATTTTATTTTATTTTTTTTAACTAAACATCTTTTTTATCAGAATGTATTAATTTAATATAGAGATATTTTACCTTTCCAACTTCTAACCTACAAAAGTCCACCCATATTGCGCAGTTTGTCTGTATTTTTTCTATACAGGTTTTATTTAATAATGAACATTTTTTTTTTTTTTCAGTATCATTTTTATCTGGCAATGTTAGGTTTAAATGAATTAGATCAACAAGGCATGTCTATTGTCCAAGAACATATTGTACTTGCTATCAAAGAAATTGTAGATAAATGGAAAGCACTACCTAAATACTTGTGCAACGCCCATATTCCTTTACTTCAAGCAACTCAATTGGTTTGTTTGATTAAATTCTTATTGAGCTTTTCATGTTATGATAATGTTTTGTTTAATACAGATTGTCGAAATACAAGAAGCACATGACTATCAAAAAAGTTTGTTACAATCCCCAAAAAACATAAATAATATTTGTTCAATAAATGATAACTGGAATAATAGAAAACCGTGGATTGGAGATAATTTAAATTTTTGGAATGATTTGATTTCATGGCGAAAAACTTATTATTCATTTTTAATCTCAAGAAATTTAAATACAAAAATACTAAATATCAAATCTGCTGTGGTAAATATTTACACATTTTATAATCTTAAAAAAAAAAACAGTATTTATGAATGTTGTTGTTTTATCTATCAAATTTGGGGTGAATGCTTTATGAGCAAAATAAACTAAGTCTAGAGTTATCTCTTATAAAGTTTATTTTGACAGTAACAAATTTGGTATGAAAACTAATTAGAGATCACTATTATAGAATATTGTTTAAAATGTCACTAGAACTTTATAATATAAAATATGTACAATATTTTAGAGTATTGACAGAGTTTTGACAATTTAAGAAACAAGAAGCTCTAAAATATTTTATTTCCATTATTTTTTTTGTACATGATAGTAGGAAACTATCCAGTGATCAATAGATCCCTTGGTTTTATTATGCATGTTTCTATTTTTATTTATATATTTTTGTGTCTGTGAGCAAGTTTTTTTTAGCCGAAATCTTGCTCCAAGCAAAACATGACAAATGACTTTTTTAGTGACCTTTTTAATTGAATTTTAGATCATTGGAAAATTGGTGTATTAGGAAGGTTATATTTTCATTTTCCAACTAGTTTTATAATAATCAGGAAACTCAAAAAATATAGGAAAATCAAAAAAGTTAATGGCATTAAAACATTTTATCTTTTTAGCTACATATAGACATTTCTTTGATAGGTACTATATGGTTACAATTATTTGATTAAACAGAGCACTTGAAAATTTAATATAAGGTTCATTATAAGATCAAATAAAAGAAGACATCCTAGGATAGTAGGTTCGATGCAGCCACTGTTTTAAATAATTTAATTAAAATAATTACCTGTAAGTAATGATAAACCATTGCTAAAGAAAAGGTGATTTATAGCCGAGTTCAGTTGATAGTGTTGCTTTGTCAACAATATATATATCGCTCAAAATCTAAAAGTAGAGTGTAATGTAGTTGTTTTATTTTATATAAAAGTTTTGAGTTACAATGTTGACAAAAATCATAAATATTACAATCTTTCAAACATGTATAATAGAACTTGGTTCATCATTATGTTTAATTAGGAATGTTTTTATCATTACTTACAAATGTAAATTAAACAACTTAATGTATTCTACTTTTCTAACTTCCTACTTATAATAATGGCGCACCCATCTGCAGTAACAGCTCTTATTTTTAAGATAAAGTTACTGCCTACTTTTGATTTTAAAATAGCAACCTATATTTAAAAATCCCTTACTTAGATTAATTATATATTTAAGATTAAATTATTTTTGGTTTTTGATTTCGTTCAGCCTATTGTTTTTCAATTTCAAGTTTGATAAGGTGGAGAGTAAATCTAGACTAAAAGGTTAGACTTTTGATTGGTGTTCCAATACTCTCTGCCTACCAAAATTTAAAAGTAGGAAGTATTTCTTTAATGGATTGATAGAAATCTAAAATTACAACATCAAAACATATTTAAACTAATACTCTATCTATTTTTGGAATTTTCAATATAGGTTACTATTTGACAATCAAAATTTTGTGGTGGTTTCATCCCCAAAATAAAATGAACAAAATTAAAATAAATGTACAATTGCAAAGATGCTTGTTTTTTTTTTTAAATTGTCAAACAAATTTATTTAAAAAAAAGTCAACACTATTTGATACTTAAATACTTATTTTTTACAGGATCAATCAAATTTAATGTTTGGGAAAATAGCACTTAAACATAATATGACCGATGTATGCTTAAATACATTACAAACTCTAGACTCAGATAATGTTAATACATCTAATTGGTTGTATAAGATGTTCTTGGAAGCAAAATGCATACAGAAATTTAAAAAATACAAAGTATGTTATATTATTATTCAAGAAATTAAATAAAAATATATACTTTTAATTGAATTTAAAATATTTATTTTATAAATAGTAAAAGCCTGTTTATTTTAGATTCTGAGGGAAACAAGGAATATATTAGTTTTAAAATAATGATAATTATTTTTGTTTTTTTTTTTATCTGTAATCAACTTTTTTACCAGAAACCTTGCTCAGCTTTTTAAGTAACAAGTTTTAGGTCAAAATATCTATATTATAAAAAATTTGTAACAACTTCTTTAATTTTAACTGAGTGTACAGATACTTTTATTATTTCGCCTACAATTAAATAAATAATATAAATAAAAAAAAAGATTGACATACTTTGTACAATAGATAGACCACAGTTGTAAGGGAGGATATAGAAGAGGAGAACTTAATGTATTTCTATGGTGACCAGTTATAAAAATCCTAAAAGAAATACATTTGAAATTTAGATCTTTCATTGTAAAAAAAAAAACCCTCCCTTGAAACAATTGGCCAATGTATATTATGTATACTATTTTACCTATTTTGCTCATAGCTTATCTCCATCTATATACATTTTTTTCTATTACAACTATAAAAACTAATTATTTGAAATCATTATGTCAACTCATTTGGTTTGTGTCTTTATGATGAAAATACTTTGAAATTTAAATAATTTTAATTTTAATGGTAAACATTTAAATATATAAATACAAAGCTTCATTAGTAAATATTTACTACATTTTTATATTTATTTATTTATTATTCATAATTTTTGAAAAAAGAGTACTGTCCTACAAACAATTGTGGTCCAAATTTCAAGTTTCTACAAATATTTGGAACTGAATTATAACAGGAAAATAAAATTAAAAATTATTTAATTATTTAATAACTTAAAATAATATGCATATTATATAATTGTAAAAATTGTCTAGTTCTTGTTGAGCAGTTGTATTACATGTATATTTGTATTTTTTGTACTTAGTACAATGCCAAATACATTTGTCCATCATTTTGGCTTATATTACAATAAACTGTAAAGGCGTTCTTATATTTGTTTAAACTAAATATCAAACAAAAATTGATGACTCGTAATCAATATTATTGGCATGTTGATAAAGTTGTTTTTCATCATATTTATTGTCTGCAGGAAAATTTAGTTATATTTTTGTAAAAGACTCATTATATACAACCCTACTGCAGGAACTCATAATTATGAAAAATATTTCAGATAATACTATACAATATTAATATGGTGATTGGTTATTATTTCCTGTGTGATATTTTTATTACAGATATTTTTTACTCCAGATATTCTAAAATGTTTGACTAGTCAGCCCTTAAAAGAAGTTATTTTTAGATTTTACAAGCAGTTTCATAATAATTTCATAAAAACTTAGGAAACCTGAGAAAATTTACGAAATGTATTATTATTTGTTTTAATTCAGTTAAAAATATTCTTAAAGGCTTTAAATTTTGACATAAAACTTATATTTGCCTATTTTAGACACTAAAAATTTTATTAATTTTGATTTTAATTTACATAATAATTTTAGAGATTTTCTTAAATTCTGAATGGAACGAAGAAGCTTATGGTTTTACAAAGATTTTTTTTTTTACTATGATAAGAATTTCTACCAGAAACCTTGCTTCAATATGTACCATTTCTGAAAGGAAATATTGTCTAGATCAGTGATTCTCAACCACTAGTGTGTTAGGTATTACTTTGATTTGTGTTGCCAAAAAAGTTGTTGATTTATGGTTTTTTATATTTTTTATAGTTTTTTACTGTATAGTTTCAAAGTATAAATATATAACATTATTATTAAGGTATGATAAACCCATAAGAAAAACTAGGAAATTTGCATTATGCGTATGTATGTAAACAAGCATGTCCTCAGTCATCATAGTCCTTGTGTTATAAACATTGTGTTTGTCATTTTAATTTCATTAATTGTATTAAATGTGTCGTCATTTTTGTGGATCTAAATTAGGGTTGAGAACTACTGGTCAAAATATCTAGATTTTTTTTTATCTGTGTGCAACTTTTCTACTAGAAATTTAAGTTTATTCTATTACATCTTTTAGCACTTTTTCTCAAAGCATATCAGTGCCAAGAGGTATTTTGAAAAAGTTATTTTTTGATTTTCTTAGGAGTTTTCTCATAAAATGTGAAATACCAAAAAAATGTAGAAAAACAAAAATATTGGTATAATATTAAACAAATGTTTTTAAAGAAAATATATAATGCCTGTAATAATTTAATTATTTTACTATAATATGACATTTATTAAATTGTTGACAAAGCATCACTAATGTCTGAACTCCCTAGAATTGTTTTTCCTTAGCAATTGTTTATTGTTGCTTACAGGTATACACTATATTACTTTTGACAGTGGTTGCACCTGTAGTTTTTTTATATAATTTACATAATAATTTTTATCTATATTCTGTAGATAAAAAGGCTAACCCAAACAGAAATTTAAAATTGAACAAGAGATTCGTTTTAAGTCATACTTTGTGGTAAAAAAAAAATGAGTGAAATGTAGTATTTTAAAAGAATTTATTTTTTTACGATTTACATAATATTTTCATAATTATTAGAATAATTACATCACTTAATTATTTTTTCCAGAAATACAATTATTTACCCAAAACTTGCTTTTTGTTAAACAAAGATTTTAAGGATGACATGAAACCTCTGTTATTCATAATCAAAGGGATTTTTTATGACTATGGTGGTAGTAGAGATACAGCATTTAGTTATTTCGCTAATGGGTTTTTTAATGGAACAAGTACCAGAAAGCCTAATGATGTTATTGAATGGGAATATGTCATACACAATTATAATACATATTCTTCAAGTATTTATAAACGCTCAGATGACAACTATGTTACAACTTTGAATAACACTGAAATATTAGAACATGCTTGGATACAATGGGCAACATTAATTGAAAATTATTTAAACCAGTCCACTGCTAAAGATATTAAAATTGTATTAGCAGCTATGAAATGCTATATCATAGCATCTGAATTAGCTAATAACAAGAACAATAATATTTTAATAGCTAAAGTAAGTGTAAACTGTTGTAAGGTATGAAATTATTAAATAATCATTTTAATATTATTATTTAGATTTTATTACTCTTAACATACGATGATAAAAATTGTACATTGTTACACGTACTTGAAAATTGTAATATTACATATTCTGATTTATGGCTTCCTCAGATCCTAAATATTTTTGTTGAAAAGACTGAAACAGTCATTGAAAAAATAATTTTGAAGGTAATAGTCAAACTACTACTTTTTGTATTTTATCTTAAAAAGTTTTACACAAAATTAAGTTATACCAAATTTATTATTAATATTAATTTTATTTAATTATTTTCTATGTATTGTGTATAATTTTAGATTAGAAAATTACACCCACAAAAAATGTATTTAATACTTTATAGAATGTATCTCATTGAACAAATTAACCAAACAAAAAAAATGGTAAAAATTTGTTATTTAAAGTTTAAATTAAGTTATGCATATATTATTTTTCTAATGTAAATTCTTATCATTTTTTTTTTCAGGAACCACCATTTAATTACAATAAATGTATGTATATTTAAAATTGTTCAGTTCAAATTATTGAATATAATTAATTTGTTACAATGTTTAATATTTAAAATAGATGGTGTTCAAAATGACAATTACAAAGTCAAAAAAATCAAAAGAATGATGAATTTATTACAAAAATATAATTTTGATACTATTCAATTGGACTATTTTATAAATGAAGTTGGTTTTTTAGAATAAATGCTTTTTTTTAGATTCTAAGTGGAGTGAAAAAGCTTATAATAAGATGGAATAAGACTCTGAGTAAAAATGTTGAAATAAATTAAATTTCAACTCGAGTTTACAAATAATTAATATTTCCTTACAAAAATATTACAAGTCCAATAATAAAATTTTCACAAATATACTAAGTACAAATAATTTAATTCAAAAAATATTCTAAGTCCAAATTAAAAAAATTCACAAAAATATTACAAGTCCGAAAGATATTCATATAAATATCATAAACAAAGTGACAAAGTGATCAGTAATTTCCCGAATATTAGGGTGCTATTTAGTTTATTGCATTTTAATATTACCTTGGTTCTCCGTTATTTTGATTCGGTTGGCACTCAAAAGCATTGTCGTTGTTATAATCCTTATTAAATTCTTAGCCCCCCAACCCACCCCCGGTTTTGGTTGTGTTCTGTGGAATGGTCCCTTTTTTTTTTAATAATTCAATTTTACTACGGGTTCACGCCCGTATACCTGTAATGGCATGTGGGCACATAACTCAACTTAACTCCGCTCAGAATCGTTTTTCGTTAACAATGGTTTATTGTTACTTACATGTATACATTAAATTATCTGTAACAGTGGCTGCACCCTTGCTCATTATCCTAAGACTTCTTTTTTTTAAGTACCTTTTTTGCTCCACTGATTGGCTACTTATATAATATTTATTTATTTATTTATTTATTTATTATTTATAATACAATATTGTTTCATTTACTAAGCCTTCAGTTGTGCATGGCACTGTGTTTAGAGGGAATATTAGTAGTCACAGTCTACAGTTCCTGTATTGTATCTCCATTTATACAGGTTTCTCTTTGTTCAGGTAACTCCTAATCTTAATCTATTCAGTGTTTTCCATGTGTTCAATTTGTTGCTTAATCTACGTGGGAGTTGTTCTTTTAGTCTTATTTTGAAGTTTTTACATCGCTGGCCATGCTTTTTATATCAGGAAGAGGGTACTATTCTAGCTAAAACTTGAACCAAAGGTATAAGTGTGGGTTATGGACATCCCGTAATTAGGCGGCATGCCCCTTTTAAGGCCACATCCTCTTTTTTTGCATGATATGATCTACTCCATACTGGACATGCATACTCTCCAGCTGAAAAACATAGACCAAGGGCTGTAGTTTGTAGCAGCTGCGGGTTGGCTCCCCGTATTGTTTAGGTTAATTTCCTTAATAGGTTGTTTCTTTCTGCAATTTTCATTTTAATTTTGTCACAATTACTCATATATGTTAATTCATAATTAATAAATAATTACTAAAGTATTTATTTATTTTATTAATATAGTAATATAATAGTAGTATTGAAATATATATTTAAAATTAAAATTGTATGTATTTATTTAAATACATTATTTTTAATTTGTATTAATAAACAATATTAAGATATATTACAATATAGGTATGTTTTCTGAATAAAGTATTCAAAATGTAACATTTACATTAATTATCTACCTTATATTTTAAATATAGATAAATGCATTAGATGAAAGTTGGGATGAAGAATTACGCCGGCAGTTATATGAATGTTTATATTTGTGTTATGGTTATGCCTTTGAAAATAAAAATTTGAAAGTTCGAGTTCCCAGAGAAATTACAAATTTTATTAAAACCATAGTTATATCATTTGTTGCTCAAGATGTAAACATGGGTGTGTATTTTTAAATAAAAAGCCAGTACATTGTGTGATTAGAAAATTATAATTTTTTAACTTTTTTCATTATCTAAAAATATTTTATGGTTCATTCAAAATTTAATTTAATATTTGTAACTAAAATGTATTTTATTGTAGACAAATTTAAAAAGAAAAAAACTTTTTTGATTCCGGATAATTTATCACAATATTATCAATTCCTCAAGGAAAAGTTCCCATTGGATTTTAGCTTCAATTCAGTGCCTACTATCAAATTGATGGTGATTCAACTAAGGAAATGGATACATTATATAGAACAAAAATCTTTTTATCCATCAAAAATATTTCATAGTTTAAGATGTCCCACAATACTTAACATTGATTGGACCGTAATAATGTTGCCCAGTGACAATTATATCAATGTAATATTTTATTAACATATGAATAAATATTTTATACTTTGTTATTCAAGATATGTTTAACCACTTATGTTGTACAATTTTTTTTATTTTAGGATTCTTCAAAAGCAGTCAGAATACACAATTTGGGTGGTTATATATATTTGAAAGACAAATCTGGAGCTGTTGTCAAACAATTAAGTATTCGTGGAACTGATGGTTTAATATACACCTATCATATTTCCAAAGGAAAAAGTATTGACTCTGAAGAAAGAATTTTTCAATTATTCCACATAGCAAATAGTTATTTACAGGATTATAAAGTAATTTGTAATGTTATTTATTCATAAGTATGTTTTTTAAAAAAAAATTACAATTTGCATTACTTCAGGAAACAGCTAAACGATTTTTGAAATTTTCTATACCAAGAACTTTTACAGTTACACCTTATTTGCGTATGGTAGAAAATAGTAGTTCAGTGACTTCACTTATGGAAATTTATGAAAAAATGACTAAATCACATTTCATTGGCGAGGATATTAACTTTTGGTTTTCAGTATTAGATACATGCATAATTGTATGTTAATCATTCTATTATTTTACCCTTAGTTAACTGTAACCTTTTTTTTTAAAATGTATATTATAGACTGAGAGATCTAATCCTTTAAAAGAAGCATTCCTTGCAACATCTATAAAATATGGTTCAGATAAAGTGCTAAAGAATTGGGTTTTATTAAGATATCCATTGCACTCTGATTATTATATATTTCGTAAAACTGTAAGTTGTTTTTTACAATTGTGAACCTACTTATTTATGACCTATGTAATTAACAATTTTATAGAAATTTAAAACAATTTATAATAAATATTATTTTTAGTTTATTGAACATTATACACTGCTTTGTTTCTTTGAGTATGCATTCAATCTGATTAAATTAAAGCCTGAAATGCTGAATATAGATGAAAACAATGGTTCAGTTATTGCTCTGTATTATAAATTTTCTATAAGTGAAGTTCATGGTAAGTATTTTATATTTATTTTTAAAAAAAATTATTTATTTATTTGTTATTTAATTTATGGAATAGTTTACAAATAATAAAATGTTTACAGGAGACTTGTTTCAAAGTCATGTCATACCTTTTCGATTTACACCAAACATAGCATCATTTATTACACCATATCGAAAACATCAATTAGTTAATATTTTAACTACAACTGGTCGATGTTTAACTGGCAGTCGTAATGATATTAATGTTGTATTAAAATTGTTGTTGAAGGATGAATTCAATGTAAGTAATTCATAATTAATTAAATATGAATGGATATATATACTCTGTCTCATGAGAGCACGGAAACCAGAATTCAACCCACTCCTTACTTGGATGTATGTGAACAGGCAAAAATAGTGGGATATGCGCATGAAAAACATGTATCTTCTCTCATGAGACAGAGTATAGTTAATAAATGATAATAATCATAAAAACCTGAAATTTTCACCCAATAAAATATAATAACTTATCTTTATAATATTAATTATAGATTAAATTCATTTAAACAATCACATTTAAATAATATAACTGATTTGTTACTAAAACCACAATAATAATTAAAAATTAGTTAACTTAATAATAATAAATTTGTTATCTGTAATTAATTTTGTTATAGAAAAAGGAAAAGAACAAAAACCTCAAAAACCAGCATATTGATGAAGTAGTTAATAGAAACTTGAGTTATGTAATGAAAAATTTTGATAAAATCAAACATCTTTCAACAACCAATCCGGTAATGAACTGTTAAAGAAACACTATACCAGCATTAACTGTCTCAGTCTAACAGATTTAATGGTATAATAAAAAAATATGCACTATTTTAGAACATAAATTGTGGCCTTTAGGTTGAAAATAAAATTAAAATACAAATAAAACAAAAAAAAATTATTTCAAGACAAGAATATTTTCAATATTTACCTTTTAATTAAAAAAAAAAAGCTGACATAACACAAATTGACACAACAAAAAAATTACAAACAACTTTTTTGTATAACAATATTTATAATAATAAAAAAAAAAAAAAATAGGAATACAGTGGCCTTGTTAAAAATATTTTACTGTTAATTATACTGAGACAGTAAATAAAGCGGTACATGCAGCCTATAAATGAAGAAGAATTTATTAATTAAGAAAAATTATATTTTCAGTTTCCTGATCTTCTTCTTCAAGCTTTGAATACAGATTTGTTATGTCATGAATGTCCAACATGGCGGCCATGGTTGTAATTTGTTATTATTATTGATCTTTTAATTTTTTTTTTTTTTTAAGACTGATTATTAAATTTTAACTTTGACAGTAACTTGGAAAGTATTTAGTTGTAATTTTGTATCATACATTTTTTTTAAAACTTTATTATCTTTATAATATGTATCATATGCTTAATCATTACATTATATTTTTATTTTATTAAAGTTAAAGGTAATCATAGAATGGTTATTAATACATTTAAAATTATTATTAACAGTAATATTATCTTTATTATATTTAATTAATATTATTATTCTGTTCTGGTTCCCAATATTTTAAGAGTTTTTGGCTTCCAGAACTGTTTATTTTCAATTCGGTTCAAATCCCTGATTTATACATACATTCATCCACATATAAATGACTTCGTGCTAGTGTTATACATCTTATACACAAAGAATATTATTTTAGAACACTACAAATTATACCTAATGTACCCTGCATCCCTGCTGATCTATGATCCATAAAACTCTCTTTTTCATTATACGAGTACAATCTACTGCATACCTTCTATTCGACTCTTTTCTTCTAATCTTCATACTGACATATTTTCCTAATTTTATCACTCATCTTTCTATTTTTACTACCTATATCTGTATAGTACAACTACCTACCAACCCTTTTACTTTCAATTTTACTACATAGAAATTTTATATTGGCAAGTTTTTACATAGTTTTTAAACAGATGGTTTATTATAAGTTATTAATAATGATCGAAAAAAAATTAAAGTGTAATGAATAGTCTTTTTATAATGGTTTTAAGATCAAATTTCTGTAAAAATCTTAAATATTTCTGTCTTTCAAATAATGTATAAATTAACTTCACTCGGAATCATTTTTCATTATCCATTAGTAATGTTTTTTTGTTGCTTACAGATATAAATTAAATAATTGGTGTTAGCCCCCAATTTTGGACTTTTAATTCCAAACCATGAACATAAATCAAATTTGTAGCTGACATAGCTTCTTTTTAGAGTAATAGGAAAAAAAAAAGCAAAGCCTTTAAATCCGTACTTTACTCATGAGTTATACCTACTTAGTAATAATTATAATTATTACCCTATGGAAATGTACTTTGTGAAATATAGGGATCCCATATGTCCTATATTATATGGGATTGTCCCATATTTAAGACAATCATCTTGGTGATCAAATGTTCTAAACAATATTTACCCTGTATTTTGAATCACCCATTCCATATGTCTCTTAATTTGCCTTTTTTCTTAAATTATATAATTCAAATTTTTTTGATTAATAATATCTAGTTATGACATTTATGTCAAATAATTTTATCTGCAAAATATATTTTGATTAAATTAATTGACTCTATAAGACTAGCTATCTATCTGCGAAATGGATGGTTACAAAATTCACTAATCACCAATCTGTTTACCACAATATGGTGTTTACTAAAAAAAGTAATCACTAATCAGATAACACCAACTAACTAAAGAAAAATAAACAAAATAAACATTTTATCAAAGTATTCCTATTTATAATATTTTCCACAAGTTTATATTGTTCCAATTTATTTCTGTTATCATAGAGCCTTAACATAATAAAATCTGTTGTGAGAACTTGTGATTTAGTCCATTAATAATTTAATATAATAAAAGAAAACTATAATGAGTAAATGCTTATTCCTTAAAGATTGGCTTTGAAGAATTTTGAATATGTATTACCTATGTTCCCATAATTTCTATTATTACTTTTGTTAAGTTATTTTATTAAAATCTATTATTTAATAATAGATATTAAAGATAAGTGTAAAAAACTGTGGTAAAAAAAATCCTAACATTGATCATAAATATTATTCTATTTTATATTAATTTAAAATTGTATGATTTAATTATGAGTTATTCAAATCTGTGTTTATTATAATGATAATTTTTTTAAATTTTTACAAGTAAGTAATAATCATTTAAATTATATTTAGACTTTAGAAATTCAAAGAAAAAATGCTTATACTAATAATTTGTTTGAAAACATATTAGTATAAGTGACTTTTTGCAGTGTTCGGAAGATTTACTAAAAAAATGAATTCATTCCCATTCACATTCAGTCCTTAAAAAAGGAACTCGTTCACGTTCACATTCTTTGAAAAAATTAATGCTTTCATTTAATTTTTTTTTTATGGATAGTTTACCTTCACAGTAGATACACGTTTTACAACAATCACAACTATACATAAATTGCGTGCGTGTTCGCGCGTGTCTGTCATTTTGTTATTACCATAATTTTAATTTTAATTCCAAGGTGCAGATGATAAACAATAAAGCTTATTATAACCCATACGACCGCGAAATACCACTATAAGTTTACACTTTATTCATTTTTATTATAATTATTCGACTAAATTAGGTATACCAATTAAAATAAGGAAAGATGCATAATAATATGGGGTAAACATTGTATATACAGTGTGATTCATTAAGCTTACTCCACTTTTTAGTTTCTTGGTTACATTTTGTATATATTTAAATTTTGATTTTTGAAATTTTCAAGTATCGTATCCTGTGGTTATACCAACTTTGGTTTTTCAAATGAGAACCTATTTTAAAAATTTCATAAATAGACCGATTATTACTTTAAATAAATTTTGGTATCAAAATTTCCATCAACCCGTTAACGAGATATTCCACTTTTAAGTTTAGGCCAAGGGAGAGTATTGATACAAATTTGAAACATAATGTTGTAACATCGTGTATAAATAAGTGAAAACAGCTACGGCGTGGTTCTATTGTCAATAGAAATATCAGAATAACTAAATATTATAAATTATAAGTTATCAGTTAAATGTTTCAATTTAGTTATTAATTTTGAATTTCGCAACTTATTAAGTTATAAATTATTATTATTATACTACGAGTTATGAATTAAGTATATTTAAATACATAATTAATTAATTATTTATACTCTAAATTGTTTTCCAATATGCGTTGTCTATAATTGAAAGTTAAAAAATTTAAAGATTTTACTCATGAACCTAACTTAACATTTTTCAATGATCCATCTTAATCATATATTTATAGGTATTCCCTTAATAATTAATTTTTATTAAAACTACTACTAAATTATCATTGATTATTAATATTACTAATAAATCATGTTTGTTATCAAATTATTAAATTATTATCGAAATTATCCCTTAATAATAGGTTTAATTTTTAATTTTAAAGATATAAAAAGTCTCTAAAGGTCAAAGTTACTCAAAGTGTATTTATATGTTCTGTACGGGGTAAAAAATCTAATCAAATTCAAGGTCATGTATTCAAAATATTTCCTGTTACCTTTAAAATTGAACACATGGTATAAATTAACATGAATGTATACTTATATTGATAAATAAAATACTTTTTATTTTACAGGTAGATATTTAAAAATGCCTAAAACCCGCTGTTCTCAAAACGTGGTTATAAATTTATTGCACTACTAACGTTTTGATAATGCAATATAATTAACTCGATTATCTGGTTTTAATACTTATCGTTTGTTACGAAATTTGTATAAATAAAATAAAGAAATAAACAATAGAACCAACAAATTTAATACTCTAAATAGTTTAATTATAATATTTTTGTTTTTTAAAATTAAAAGCCAAATTAAAGCTTTCAAATTAATTAATTTTAAAACTAAAAAGGTAGTAAAATAAGCAGAAATGACGAAGGATTGGCGTTGGACAAAAACTTTAAAATGTGATATAATTAAAAATATTACAAGACTTGGAAATGCTGAGAAATGCGCTCGTCTTGTAGGAATGGATATGATTTTAAAAAATGAAGACAAATATCACGAAGATCTTAAAAGGGATATTCAACAATTTAAAGATGAGACAAAAAAAATAAACACCGGTAATTTAACAGGCATTGAGAGTCGAACACGAAAAGAAAGGTACGGACGTTTAAAGCCTAAAGAAATCAAGTTAAGTATTTGGCATTCATTGAACCGCATTAATAATGAATCGAATTTGTTAATAAATCGAATTAGTAAAATAAAAAAAAAACTCAAAAATACACAAAAACGCTGGTCTGAATTACAGTTTAACAATCAACATGGTACAGACGAAAAGACAAAGGTAGCCATGGGAAAGATGGCAGTCGTGGATAAAAAACTTGCATTGGTTGATTTAAATAATAGAAAGACTTCCGAAATGGTGAACTACGCGAGACAAAATTTAATCGTATACGATACGCTTATAGAACAATTACAAGTTGAAGTGGCAAATATGGCTACAGCCATAATGAAAGAAATCGAAATCGGTACAATGTTTAAAGAAGATGCTGCGAATTATACGCAAAGCTATATTGATCAGAAATTGGAAAATGAAATATACGTAAATAAAGAAATGTTTCGGGTAGATCAACTAAATTCCATAATGGATTCGTTGGAACACAACAGGTAAATATTGTATTATTTGACATAATCGAAAATTTTTAAATAGAATCATTCAATTCTAAAAGTGTATAGGTTGCTACACAGAAAGAGCGAGATTGAAGATTGTATTAATTGCACACTTGCACTGAGCCCCACATTTTAGAGGTACCCTCGTCTAGTTGCAATCATAGCTGGATAGTAATTGCACATCACGATTGTTTAGGAAAATAGAAATTAAAATTAATGAACAAAGAAAAATTATATTTTAAAAATTTACTTGCACTTAGTATTAGAAGGGGTAAGAGCAAAAAAACAAAATAAGCTTATTGAAGCCCTGCAAAAATTACTGCACGGGAACTCGATATTTTTCAAGCAGGTACTGTACGTACAGTATACAGAGATGATTAAAATATAATTGCTTAGTTAAGATAGTGAAGTAATCAGTAGGGCTATAGACATATTAATAAATGGACCGCGCTTAGAGAAGAAAACGCAGAACTTATAATAAGTGAGAGAGATAGTGCTAGTTAGGGGGAAAGAATGATTGAATATTTTAATTTACACTATGAAATTATTATTATTTATCAGTTTATCATATCAATTTAATTTATTACAATGGAAATAATAATCATTTTCATAGCGAAATAAAAATTTAAAAGTATTTCTTCCGTGATTGCTCCTAACTATCACTATCTTTCTCACTCAATATTGTTCACGAACACCATAGATGGGGGGTGAGAAAAGATCCATTTATTAATATGTCTATGAATAGGGCAAAAGTCAGTATAACCATTATAAAATAAAAATGTCCTGGTAAACGATTGATTAAAATACAAATACAATTTATATATTCTATATATAAAATAACATGTCCTGCCTGACTGACTGATTCATTATCACCTAGCCCAAACCACTGGACGGATCGAGCTGTAATTTGGAATACAGATAGCTATTATGACGCAGGTATCCGCTAAGAAAGGTTTTTCTAAAATTCAACCCCTAAGATTGTAAAATAGTAGGTTTTAGGTATTTTTGGTACAAATATCTAATTGTTCATATTTTCATTTTTGTTTATTCATGGGTTATCTGAGTGACATGGATGACAATTTAGTTGTTAGGTTTTATTATTGTTACTGTTATTTACACTATTATCTAGCAATATCAAAGCATAGAACACTTTTAGTCTGTCAAAGGTGGACTACCTACTTTCCACTTATTTGTTTTTATTTATTCTGACATGTTCAAAACCAAAAATGAATATGGGTAAAAAAAATAATAAAAATTAACACGGCTAACGACGGGCGCGGGACATCTAGTTTAAATGAAATATGAAAATTAAACTCCAAACTTAAATTTTCAATACTGTAGTTCAATATTATATTTGTCACGTCCTTACATTTAATGCTTAAAAAAAACCAACTTTAATTGAAAACTATTCTCTTTAGTCTTTTTATTAAATACTAAAAACAAGACTGAATACACGGACTTAAGCATATCAAAAAAAAAGTATTTTCGTTTTTTATTGATAAGAGATAGGAGTAACTAACATCACACCCCTTCTTGCATAATTAATGCATTACAAATTTGATAAAAAAAAATACATAATAAAAAAAAAAAAATTATACAATGCAAATTATATAGTACTTATATACTAGTAAACAAATAGTGACTTAAATAACATAAATAACATCTGTTCAGCTAAACAATAGCTATGACTTTTTTTTATGGTTTTTAATGATACATATATTTATACAAAGTATAATACTATCTAATTATAGACATTTTAAAACTTATTTAAAACCATTTATTGTACTTTATTATACTTAAAAGAAGTGATTTTTGATTATCGACGCCATTTTTTAAATAAAAATGCTTAAGTGGGGAAATAACGTAGAAAAACGTACAATTTCACGATTTCATTATTTTATAAAAACCCGGAATACGTTTTCTACAAAAAAAAAAATGAATTGATCGAAAAATCACAAGATACGTGTTTTTTTGGCTTTTTGATTTAATTTCTTATGGTATCATCGCCGAAACTTTTGAGCCACTTTTGAGCTTTTTAGGAATTTAAATTTTTGGGACTTTTTTTGCTGTTACTCCATTATAAATACAAGTAGAGACTTGAAACTTGGTAATAATACTTATATTAGACTTACCCAGATACGGTAAAATTTCCAAAATCATCGAACGATTTTTTTTTTTTAATAAACGTGTTTTGAAATCAAATTTAAACGAAAATCGCAAAAAAAATTACACATTGTCTTCCATAGACTGAAGTGTATGGAGAACAACATGTGGATGAATGTTCAATGGAATTATAAATGAAAAATGCATAAGGTAAATAAATATTGGTCGCAATCGTTTAAATGTTTGTCTGCTTAGTATTCGGTCACCGTTCTATGTACTCATTCTAGACTCCCGTTAATTTGTAGATGTAAATGGCTAATATTTACTTCATTTATTCACATTAATTTGCACATTTCCTTGAAAATATTACTCAGAAAATCTGTTCTATGTAAATATATCTCGGATATACCGTGTATGCACACAAACTGTGTATCGAAAGCCTCTGTCACTGTATTAGCCTGATGATTAGATAATGTGACCTCAGACAAATATTTCGTTAGATCGTCCTACATGGTCAACACATCAGTGTTATCCGACAATGTTGTTACTATAAATGGTCCCACTATATTGAGAAATATTTTTTTTTATTGTGTCCGTCGTTGTAAAAACATCAATAACATGACGTCTTATGAATTTAGTAAACTGAACTTGTGCTAACATCTATCGTGTTAGTATTGGAGGAGAAGAAACAAAAATAACTATTAAAAATATGCTGTACATCCAATAGACAGAAAGAGAAGGATTTTCAGTAAATTTCGATAAATTTATAGTGATTTACAGTGCCAATCTTGAATTTTTTTGTCTATAAAGATTTTACTGTTTACGAAAAGTGTTTCAATTACATGGCTTCATTAAATGTCCATAATAAGTCTCTCATTATCAATACCCATACACTTCTGTTAAAACTTTAAATAACTTAACAATAACAACTAACAAGACATATATAGCAATGAAACTAATAATATACTAATAACCAAGGCTTAAAATCGGTAACCGTTTTGTAACGAAAATCGGTAATAAATCGATAATTTTATAAATTATAACCGATAACCACTTTTATTTTAATAATGTTGGAAATGCTTAGGTATCGGTATCAAGATAATTATTTAAGTATTAATATCAAAGAGGCTACCTCCTATTTTCAAACCCGGTTTTATAACCAAAATAATTAACAGTTTTTGGTATATGTATTTTATAATTTAAATAATATATATTTAAGTTTTAATTATAATGGCTTCTATATTTTTATAATTGAATTAATTTTCCAGTCATTTTTAAGTTATTTACTATTATTATGATATAATAATTAAAAAGATAAGTATATTAACTTCGAATTCTGTATTTATTGGTTCCCTAATTATTTATGGTTAAATTTAGAAAAAAGTTAATGGAAGAAGATCCAATCACAGAATTAGAGGAAACATTTTATGCCAAAATGCCATGGACAATAGACAATGAAGATGAATTGGACGAAACTGGTAGTAATCCAACAAAAATTCAAGAAGAAACTTACAATTGGACTAGTAAATTATTACAATTCGGATTGATGTATTTCGTTGATAAAAATCAAAAATTAGAATTACTAAATGGGTTGAAAAAATGTACTTCGGTTATCGATTATCAGTTTCCTGAAAATATTGCAGATTATATCATGTTTAGTGATAGTTCGTTCACGAAAGATGAATTGGCCACTAACTACGTTTTAAAAAGAACAGAGTTTAGTACTATAGAAGATATGACAAACTATGTTGAATGTACTAAAAACGATTTAATCAAGCTTAATAAATTAAATTCTGTAAGAAAAATGTTATGGAGTGTGTTGTTCAAAACGAATAGATACATGAAAGAAACGTCTGATACTTTAAACCTTGTGACCATCAAAGAAATAGAGCTCCAGAAACAAATAGACATGTTGAAATCATATTTGGATGTCCAAACAAATATAATGTCTGATTTATGCGAAACTAAATACGATCACTATTTGACATTGCTTAATGATAGACATTTTTATATGAACAATTTAAGAAGTATATTTAACAAAATTAAAGTAAGTGATATACTAACATATAACTGAAATAATGGGTAGGTAATTCATTAATATATTAAAATAGTATTATTAACAATTTAGTTTTCAGAAGAAGATACGAAACGATATTCAAATCTTAATACCCCACAAAATGAAATATTGGGAGCTCCAAATGCAGAAATATTGGCATATCTACTGGAATTAAAATCTATGATAAGCAAATCTGAAGGAAAAATTCGATGGTGTAATTTAATAATTTTAAATGATTTTAATTCTGCTAAATTGAATTTGTCTCGTGCAATATTCGATTTTAAAGTTCAGACACATATTCAAGGTGATTTATTAGAGAAACAGATTAAATTTGAAAGTGATGCGCGGCGAAAAGTTATCCCAGAAATTACTAGAAAATCTGATGTAATCTTGACTAGAGAAGATACAAAAAAACAAGCAGAACTGATTTTAAAATATTTTGCTGAAAAAGATACGGACAGCTCAAAAAACAGAAGAAAGCCAATGACATTTAGAAGAGAATTTTTATAATAGTATTAAATGCAATTTAAGAAACAATAAAATTAGGGAGGCTAGCAGTACCTTGCCTTGATAAATAATGTTTATACAGAAAATTCAACAACTTGTACAGAATATTTTTGGTACAATAAGCTGAAAATATTACATGTAAAATAAGCATTTTATTGATACCTAGTCTTCTAGTTGGATTTACCGGAAGTACAATTGAAGATAAATTGGCTATAAGAAGGTTCAGGTGATTGAGGTGGTATTTGTGGAATTGTGAATAGTATTGTGGCAACTGTTAAACACTAAGTTCCAGACAGAGACATATTCAGAAATTTGGCACCCAGCCGTTAAAGTTATGTTTTTTGGTGCTTTCAAATATATTTGTTTTTAATGTATGTACTTTTTGTAATCTCTGGTGGGAAATTGATTATTTAATCTACATTGAAATCTATAATATAAGAGTGACTAAATAATTAAATGATTTATTTATGGTTATATATCAACGGAAATTTGACACTTAACATACTGCAATACATTTAAATTACAATTGCACTTAGGGCTTTATACATAAAAGGACTTGCTTCTACAAGGAGTTGAACAAAATAAAAAAAGAAAGCAAATTTTAAATTTTAACATTATATTATCTTTATAAATTAGTCATAATTAATATAAAGTAGGTGGTTTAGTTGTTATCCACTAATTATAAAGCAATAAATATTTATAATTTACATTGTTTTTTTTTTTGCGAGCTTTAAAGTAACTATATTCATTGATTATGTCATCATACTCCAAACTTTTTATAATGTCGGATTCAATATTTATTATAGCGATACTGTTTAGTTCTTCATAAGCCATCCTCGCAAATAACTTTTAATTTGTTTTAGTGCACTAAATGATCGCTTTGAAGAACAGTTTGTTTCAAGACAACATATAGATACATTCGTAGAACAATATTTAAATAAGTGTATATGTGTAAATTCTTCATTTTTAAATGTTAGACACATATTAGTAATTGTTCCTTAAGTAAAGTAAGTAAATGGCTACGGAAGTGTATATATTTGTTTAAAAATGATAAATCCAGATCTATTGGATAGTGTTTTCTTAACCATTCAACTTCACTAATGCTTAATTCAGTTACATTAAAGAAGAATGAAAAATGTTCATTTACAAATTGTTCTTTTTCTCAACTCATTAATTAAGGAGTCCATGATTACAATATAAGTATTAATTTTAAATTTTTAAAGAATTTTTTAAAATTTAAATCAACTTTTCCAATTGTGTGTTTTTTTCTCTCTTAGTTTTTTATTGATTGATTTCATATTTTGTTTTCCAAATTTATACATAGTAATCGAAACAGTCTCTTAGATCATTGATATATTGGGTAAGAGAGTTATACATTAATATCACAGTTTCTAAATAAATTGTAACTTTTTGAAGTACTTTGTTTACTTTATTAAATCGTTGCAATATATCTCTCAAACTGTTCTTAAAATTCATCTTGCCTCACACTTAGTTTGTGTTTTTTCTGATGGATCTTCAATAATTTGTTTTAATGCTTTAATGATTTATTCCCAATTTTGTTATATACTTAAACAAGCATCATGTCGAGATGACCACGAGATATCAGTCTTTTTATTGATACATTACCAGTTTCCTTAAAAATGTAGATAAGATATTCCATCTGTGAGTAGAAACTGAGAAAAAAGCATGTATATTTTGAATCAAATTAAAAATAGTATTTTCTTAAGTACAACTTTCTGCCAACCAGATTAAACGAGTAGGCAAAATAAGGAATTTAAACTGCATACGTGCATGCTTTTTAAATTTGAGCTTGAAGTCCAGAATATATTCCAGACATTCATAGCATTATTGTTGTAAAATCCGGGACAATTTTTAATGTCCAATCCATTTGAATCAACTTTAAAATACCCATTTTACATTTACAATCTTAGAATATTATTGATAAAAAAAAAATATTCATCTGTAAATAAATATTAAATTATATTAATATTATAATAAAATTTAATGGAATAGTTCTAGTGGACTTGATAGGATCATTAAAAGTATTATAGATATAGCTTTTTCAACAATATATATGTCATATAATAAAATAATTAAACAAGCTTCATGTTTTCTTTAATAATATTTGTTTAATGTTGTACCAATTTTCCCAGTTTTCCTACTTTTCCTTAGGTTTTTCAAATTTGATGAGAAAACTTGAGAAAATTGAAAAAAAACATTTCTACAGTACCTCCCTACACTGATTTTTACTTTTAAGTTTAAGTTAGACGAGAGTGGTGATACATTATTAACATGCTGGGCACCATACCGCCACACTAATGATATTCCACTACTCCCTTCCAACCCAAACTTAAAAATGGAATATCTTGTCGATGGGAAAAAATGTGAACACTCAAGTTTATTTTAATTAATATTCCATCTATTTTTGGAATTTTTTATATAGGTTGCCATTTTAAAATCAAAAGTAGGTAGTGGTTTTACCACCGAAATAAGGGTGCCGATAAAATAACATAAATATAAACTTTAAGCGCTGCTTGTTTCTTAAATGTTATAGAAAATAAATTCCGAAAAAAGTTAATACTTTCTGAGATAATGAGTGTACCCACTTAAATGAATCACCGGGTATTCCTTCATTTAATTTTTTATATTCAGTCTTGTTTCATTAACAGTTTTGACATAATTTAAAGTCAGTATACTTTCCCCTATAAAACAACAGTAAAATGCCAATAATTTATGTTAAAAATGTAGGATACATTAATTAGGATACGTTAATTAATTATCTGTACTCAACTGTAAAATGCTACTACATCACACTCAAATTTTTATTTTTCGCCACTATATACCACTTATAATAAACCTTATATTATAATTTCAAGCATTCCTGGCTGGTTCAACAGTTTTTTCATATAGTACCAATCAAATAATTAATATAAATACTTGAAAATGGCTTAAAAATCTCCAAAATATTTTGATAATGTTACTACCTTTAAAGAAGGCTTAAATTAGTATTAAAGTATTTTATATAATTTTCAGTTTCTATAATTTTGTTAAACAAAAAAACCTAAATTGAAAATAATAATTATTAATGCTGTAAACTTTTTGGTATATCAATTACAATAAATTTTTATTTTCATAAAATGCCACTTTTAAATTTTGAAGCAATATTTTTTGGTAGAAAAACAAAATAAAATAAAATTTAAAATGAAATCATTAGCATCATAAAATTGTTAGTTTTATATTTAACTTTTTTTTTTTCTTTTTTTTTTTTTAGTTTTTCACAATCTTATGAAAATCGCCAAGAAATCAAATAACTCCCTTTTAGTACCAACTAGATCCAAAATGCAACAGAAAAATATCTAACTAGTTTTCTGGTACTAATGTTGTTTACAGACACAAATTATTTTTAAAAAAAAGAACATAGCAAAATCAATAGATTCTTTGCTATACTCCAAAACTCATTCACCACAAAAAAATGGATATACTGTACAACATCATTTTTAAGAAGTTAAGAAAATAACTTATGATGAACTTTAAATGATATTTTTATTTTAATTATTTTTAATATTAAACAGCTTTGTAAAAATATATTTAAAAATTGAGTACAATTTAGTCATTTGTTGAGTAGAATTTAACGGAATTTACAATTTTTATCTCAAGATTTTCCATAAAAAGAAATAATAAAAATTAATAAACTGGTGATTTTTTTCTACTACTGGAATCATATGTTTTTTTCTTTTTTGATGGTGGTTCATCCTCAGTCCCACTTGGTCCATCATGAACAGCAATTTCTTCATCACTTGCCTGTGTAATTAAAACAAAATTAAAATATGTAATATATAGTTTAAAATAATATCTAATAAATTATAATGGTTTATTTTAAACATACATCTGAATCGGTTTGTTTGCTGAGCATATCCTGAAGTTTTTGTACATTCAGCCTGAAGTCACGGCTCGAAGTTAGTTTGAGATTATTAATCAAATTCTTGTCCTAAACAACAAAAAAAATAAAATTGTACAAAATCGTATACTATAAAATAATTAAATGAAAAAATGTTCTTTGGTAATAATAACCTTGCATTTTTTCCCTAATTTTGTAATCAGATTCACAAACAGTTCTAATTCAGTAACTACTCTGGGAATGTAATTTGCTTGACGGCGTGTTTGATTTTTCAACTGTATTGATTTTTTTTCTTTATCTGTCAAAGGTCTATCGTGCTAAAAAATATAACATTTGATATTATTTGAGTAATATCATTACAAAATAGTTTAACCAAATACATACTTCAACAAACATGATAAATTTAGAAACATTTGGTGACAGTTGATCATTGACAATTTCAGATAATTTAACCAATCTAAAATCATTTGTTTAATAATTAAAACAATAAATTATAAAATCGCAAAAATGTAAGTATACTCAACAAAGCTTGTTTATAAACAGGTTCGTGGTAGGATGACCGGGCCAAAAAATGTTTTGTCACTATATTGATGGTGTGATATAAGTGATACAATAAATTAAAAACAGACTCTGTACACTGACCCAACGGGATCACTGATTTTGTGAATGAAGTTGTAGCCAAAATTACTAAAACGATACGGTGACAAATTGCCTTTTCTCTAACTTTCAATCGGTCTTGACATATAGTTTTTATTTTTCTTTGAGATACATTTAACTCTGATTTTATTCTTTGTAAACATGACAAGACATAATGCAACTCATTGCACAAACACTGACATAACACAGGACACACCATTGTTCTATTCCAGTTTGTTATAATCTTTAGTAATTTCAATTGTGAACCATCAGTACTATGAGACTAAAAATATAAAAACAGAAGTGGTGAATATTCAAGTTGATTATCATACTTATTTTAAAAATCTTTATTAAATGTTGTAATTGAATATTATCAATAGAATGAAAAACTGTTATTTTCATAAAATGTATTGTTAGAAATTTAATAAAATAATTTATTAAAATGTTTTCTTTGTTAGAATATTAATAAAAATTACATTATATTTTAATTATATATTTTAAAAACATTGCATAATATAATAAAAATAATACTACCCTAAACAGTAGAAAATTTTAGATAAAATCAGTGCTTTAGATTGACTTATTATGTCTATTATAATATAGATTATAGATAATATGATATACTCCTATGTAATTGCAGTGTAACAACGATAACTAAGGTTATATTATGTACGCAACATATTATTATTATTAAATGTTTTTAAAATGTGATTTAAAAATGAACAATATTTAATTAAAAAAATTATGCAAGTTTAATTAATATTGACTTTTCAAACAGGTTTATTTCTTTTTAAATAACCATGGGTTTTATTATTTAAACAACTTGAAAGTATTTAAAAGTATATTTACTAAGGAATATCCAACATACTAGTTGTTAATATATACTTTACAAGTCCCACTTCTTATGAAGTGGCGCCTTAATTTAAATTCTTAAACAAAGTCCTACGGTCTAAAGTTTATGCTAGAATACCATGTCAATTTATTGGCCATTCTAGTATTAGATTACACCAAAGACTTTAGACTTTTTGTATTTAGACAAAACGGCTTAAGTCTAAAGTTGTCTAATACTTTAATGGATTGACATGGTAATCTAGTCCAGTCTCATATTTGTGAGCAAACTTTTGGATTTCATTAGCTATTAGTTATAGACAATATCATATTGCGGTGAATGACATTCAATGTCTAGTAGGCTGTATTGAAGGTTCGAAGATCCATATTTTGGTAGTGTTGTATTATATCAATGTTAGACTTACTGGAACAAACTCATAGTTGAATGGCATATTTTCAAATTTGTTTTATGATAGCTACATATAGTAAATATTTGTTTTCTATAGTTAACTCTGAACAGGTTAAGACAGGTTTTAAAAAAAAAGTTTATTAAGTTATTTTGACCTTGGAAATTTACAAGATATTTTGCCTGTTAATATTTATTCCCAATACCATATGACTTATAACAAAATAATATCATTAGATATAATGAAATATTTTTTATATAGATAACTAACTTTACTTATTGGACCAAATGAATGACATAAATTCTTAATTGCAGTAGCTAACATTATAGGATCTTCTTGATTTGCAGTGTACATTTCTAGCATCAGGGTTAAAAATTCTTTAGAGTTGTACAAATTTGAAAAAGAATACTTCTCAGCCACTGTTGATAACCAAGCTAATATCTATTTAAAATACATATACATAATTTATTTAATGAATATCATTATTTTAATTAATTATAGTTACAGTTTTAACTCTTGGATGGTGATTATTTTTTATAACGTGACATATAACAGACACACACCCGATTAGAAGACATTCAATTTTTTCATAAATAATTTTATCTTCATTGTCCTCTTCATTGACATTTACATCAACTTGATTCATTTCTAGTATTTCATTTAGTTTAGATTTAATATTGCAAAACACTTCAAATATTTCTTCAGGTTTGTCACTTGAATCTTGTTAGTTTAATTATAAATAATATAAATTATAAACACAAATAAATTTAAATAATTTTTTTTACTTACTGGAGTCTGATAAAAATGTATCCAATTTTTTATAATGAGAATTTACCAGTTTAATAACTTGTAGATAAGTTTCTAACCCAAGTTCAACCGCAATCTGACTGAATGATATTTTTTCACATAAATCAAATAGAAAATAATTATAAAGCAATCTATGAAAAAAATGCAAAAAATACATTATAAGTAATGTGGGAATAAGTGAAAAAAAAAATATATAATTTTTACTTTGTCAATTTACACAGATTTTTATATAAATTATGAGGTTTTACATCATGTGACAATAAATTTTGTACTTTAGTCAAATATGTTTGTATTAGTTTCAAAACAAATTCCCAGAGCCTTGCATTTTGTTTTAATGGTGTAACAACAATTTTAGAATTCCAATTAACATTTTCACTGAAAAATAAATTTAAATTATCCAAGACACAATTATGCAAGACACATTTTAGTTAATGAAAAAATATCTTACGCAAGTAAAGAAAGACATTTATAAAGTACATCAAAATCTAGTAGTATAAAGGGTTCAATAAATTTAGTGGATGCAGCATTAGTTTCAGTTTTATTATTTTTATTATTTCCTTTATCTTTTTTTTTGGAGGTTTTGTCGGATGCCTTAGAATACAAAAATAAAAATAAAAATTTGTTACATTTCAATAGTTATAACAATTTATATTACCACAATAGCATCTATAATATGGTTATATTTAAAAAATAACTTTTGCAACTTTCCACAACATTCTTTATCTTGTTCTGGATTACACCATGAGTTAATTGTATACACAATAAGGGCTTGGTAAACACACAAAATTTGTTTAATTACTTCTGGGTAAAATGTTACATTTGAAATAATATCCAGTAGGCTATCACTTTCATTCTAAATACATTTAAAATAAAATAAAACAAATTTCTAATCAATCATTTGTCATAAATAAACTCCAATTACTTACTACTTTTATTTCATCTGTATTGCATTCAGAATAAAAATTTACCAATTGACTCAATATATTTTTTAATTCGTATGCATTTAGTTCTTCATTACTATCAAACGGTATACTTGTAATTACTACATGCTGTGCTAATAAAATCAACTCATCCAGTGGCTCCTAAAATCACCATTTCAGACATATAAATATATACCTAATTAAAAAATAATAATCATTTATTTTTAACAAACTTACATGCACTATAAATTGATTATCTTTGTCTGTGACTATGGATTTTTCGAATTTTAATGACTTTTTGTCATCTACTGTGACTCTATTACACCATGAACTTATGTGGTCCAATACTAAACTATTTATACACACACACAATTCTTTGTTATGAGAAGTGACTCTTATTAGTCCTCTGTAAAGTGTTCTTTTAATTTCTGATTTTTGGAAAAAGCAAGTTTTTAGTATATCTAAAATTTCTAAACAAATATTTTTATTGTTTTCTTTAGAATCTTCAGAATCGATAGCTGAATGGATATCAACAGAATTTCGATCTAGAAGGATCTATCAAAACAAAAAACAAAAAAATATGCATTTAAAATAAATATTACAAATATTAATATGAATTATATGAAAAATAAATAAGTATTATTAGTTGTATTCACTTTATATACATTATGTTCTAAAATGTTTTTAGATGTCAATAACTTTCTTAATGTTTTAATTTTCAATTTTAATACCGGATAAGTGTACAAACAAATACATGTGTCACACTAAAATGGACACGGTAATCCAAAAATAGGGTAATAATGATTATTTTTGGAAAAATAGAGTGACCCATTATTTTGTAATAGAATTTTACAATAAATTCACTGATTTGATTATTTTTATTTTGTATGGATATTTTACAAATAAAATCAGTAATACCAAAGTTTTCACATTAAAAAAAATAAAACCTAAGATAATGACCAATATTATAGATAATTTAATGTATACCTGTAATCAATGATAAACCATTGCTTACAAAAAACAGATTCTGAGCGGTGTTCAGTTGATAGTGATGCTTTTTAAATAATATATGTCATATTATAGTAAAATAATTAAATAAGCTATATATTTTCTTTAATAATATTTGTTTAATGTTGTACCAATTTTCCCAGTTTTCTTAATTTTTTTCGGTTTTTCAAATTTGATGAGAAAACTCTTGAGAAAATCGAAGAATGGCCTCCTTAAAGTACCACCCTAGTGAAAATAGAATTAAGTTATAGTTTATGGATTACCATATTAAATGATAGAGAATTATAATTACAGTACAGGTAATACAAACTATCAATCGATAACTATTTTTACAATAAGGGGTTTTCATTTCATTCTATAACTATTACAAATTATTTATTGTTAGGAATTAAAAATATTAACAATTAAAATGAGTAATATAATATTTTAGATTCTGAGGAGAGCAAAAAGCTTATGGTTTTATAAAGATTTTTTTTTATCTGTGCATAACTTTCCTACCAGAAATCTTGCTATAATTTACAAAAATAGCACTTTTTCTGAAAATAAATCAGTCAGGGAAGGTACTTTAGGGAGATCATTTTTTGATTTTCTCAATATTATTTTTCAATTAATATTAGTCTGTCATTAGTTACTTATTAGTTATATATAGGCCAGGAAAATGTGTATAAATGTAAACAAAATCAAAACCACAATTAGTTATTTTATAGAATGAAAATGAAATGTTAACCTTAATGATTTTTTTGTTCTTTAACTATTTTATATTGCTGTCTTTAATACTGATTAAGTACAAGTCATAAGATTGTTGGTTACTGTGTTTTATACTTTTATGATTATGATTTTGTGCCATTATCAAGAAATAGCCTCCATAAAAATATGTTAGAAAATATTATGATTATCCATTATCTGTGGTAATAATTAGTAATTACTATTTAGTAATTTATTTTTTTTATTAGGTACAAATTATAAATGTATAATATAATAGTATAGTATTATATAAGTTGTAATTTAAAAATGAAGTTTATTTAAAGTTTAATTTGTTTAATTTTACAAATAAAATTAATATTTAATTATGTTTTTTTTCTCAGAGTAGTATATAAATATTAATGTACTATACTTAGTGCATACATACTTGTATGTTATTATTATTATACAGGCTATAACAGGGCTATTTGATATTTTTAAATGTAACTATACCGATAAAATGCTAAATATTCCAGTTACACCCACTCTGTATAGTATTGTTTTAAGAAAAAAAATTTAAAAAAAGAACAAAATTAACTGTTATAATAAATTTATTAATTTGAAAACTAGTTTTAAAAAACTATAAAATGAATGTAAAATGAATATTGACTAGCAATTGAAATCAAAAAAATAAAAGAACCACAAAAAATAATTTCAGTTTGAAACCCTGATATAATGTAATCATTTTACCATAATATGACATATATATTGTTGACAAATCAATCAACACTATCAACTAAACTCAGCTTAGAATAGGTTTTTGTAAGCAATGGTTTATTGCTTATAACTGATATACATTAAATTCCCATATTTTTTGCATAATAGATATTTTAAAAATCATGTAAATTGAGTTTTTTTTTTAGTGATTAAAGGATGAAAAAAAATTGAAATGTTCTGTACATATGAGTCACCGGACACAAAACTTAAATGAAAAATAAAAATATTTTAGGAAACCTATATACTCATTTGATTTTAAATTGCATGATTATTTATTATAATTATTATCATTTATTTACAAATATATTATTTGTTTTAATATATTATGGCAAGTGGCCAGTTGAAAATATAAAGTGAATTCAAGCAGTTCTAGATGTTTAAATAATACTAATTTACTATGTAGTAAATTTATAAATAAGATCAATGAATAAATTATAAAATATTCTGATATTAAGTTAGTACCAGAATCACTGTTTGAAATTAAAATCATTTTAAGTGAATTATACGTATCCAGGATAATTGTGGTCTTGGTAAAACAGTCAAACACCTCAATAATGTACTTAGGTAAGAAGTCTGAAATCTAGACTTCTTAATATGCAATCTATGGCTTTTGGAAAATGCATCAATATCTAGACATTCTAGATCTATAGCTAGACTCATAAAATATAAATTAAAATTTGATTATATGTTTACTAATTTCTAATGAAATTGCTTAGTAAAATATATTAAGTCGTTTTTGTATTATGGTATGTTTTTTTTAAAAAAAATGGCTCATTGACATGAGAAGGTTCCCTATCCCTGACCCAGATAATCATTATCACTTAATAACAATGACAATTAATCCATAAGCTAAATATTAAGTCCATAATTTATAGTTTAATTTTAAAATTTAATAAAAATAAAATAAATTTCAACTATAAAATTCTGCAAGTAGTGTATGAAATTCTGTATGTTCCAGTAATTTATAGGTCTGTAAATAATTACAGATCTGTGAGTCATTATGCAATCCCAGATTATAGATTATATATTAATTTATATCTGTCTACAAATTCCCCCTGTCATTTTGTTTTGAGAGAATACCAAGTACACCAACTAATTTAGTCCAAATGTGCAAAAAGTGAATATAAAAAATATTCTCTCTTAGGGCAAGGTATATAGATTTTAGATTACATTAGTTTGAATACTTCTGGGAAAGTTACATCTATGAAATTTACAACTTAGACTCATAAATCTAGTAACTATGTACCTGAGTAAACAGACCAGGCCATGAATCTTGACTGTCTGTATTCTGACTTAAAGAAATAAAAGTATCCAATTGTACACTGCATAATATTTCAATAAATCCCAAAACAGCACAATGCCTTAACTGATATTCCCTAAAAATAAGTTAATATTATTAGTATAATTATCTTAATATAAATTAGTGAAAAAAAAAACTTGCAACATAAATCATAAGGTAATTTTGTAGATTTAACATAAAATTGAACTAACCTTGACATAAGTTCTTTTCGTAAAATCATGATTACATTATCACGTAAATATGTTGATACTTTTAACACAGGCATTACACTAAAAGTTACTTTATCAGTTAAGCCTACTGGTATTTCTTTAAACAATCTTAATAATTCAGCATTATTTTCAAGGACTGACCCCTTTTGATTTTTACAAAGTTTATGTAAACATTCTAAATTATAATCAAATTATTAATTATGCAAATAGGTAATATCAAGTAAATACACATAATAAAATGTATATAATATGAAAAAAAGTATATTATTAAATACCTACCAAGATATTGACTAGATACTGGATTAGATGTAATAAAATCTGTTAATTTTCGTAAAACACTACCAGTAATAAATGATCGCTTATTAACCAATGAAACTATAATGAACAACCCAAGCTGATGTAGTTTGTTAGTAATATCAGCATTTTCTGTAATATAACATAATATAATAATATATATTTATCACATAAATAATACATTAACAATTGTAATTTTATTTACTTTTAAAAACTGAAGAAGTTGTTCCAAGAAATGATATACCTAAATTGACCATACCTTTGAACACTTTTTCATAACCTGATATCCTAAATTGAATTGCAATTATTAAAATATAAATAATATTATTACAAAGCAAATTAAATAATTTATAAACATACTCGCTTTTTATAAAATGTGTAAATTGTTCATACACATCATAAACATCAGTATAATTCATTTTTAACCAACATGACCTGTGATTATTTTCAATTTCTTCCAATGATTGTATTACAAGCTTTTTTACCAAACCAATAACCTAAACAATAATGTATAAATATATTAATTTGTTAAATAATAATGTATCAACTATACTAACCACAGCTTCATATGGTGCACAGCAAGAAATAGTTAGTAAAAATGCCAACATAAATGGTCCTAACACCATATTAGGAGCATTAATACTGCATTTTATGTATTTAGTTATATCATTAATAAATGAAGAATGTACTTTAGCAAAATCTTCCAAGAGAAATAACACTGTACTCTCAGCTTCTAATAATTCTTTTTTTTCGTTGACTTCTAACAAAATATACAGTTTTTAAACTAAATACATAGTATGATGTACATATTATTTAAAAAGTAAATAAATAAATATGAATATATTACCAATTTCAATTAAAGAACTATTAGTTCCACTACTTTGAACAAAATTGTATTTGTTATCAAAATACATTTGGAGAGTACAAAAAAGATTTAAAAAATCTCCATCAGAACAAAAATGTAATATTTGCTGTAAAAGTGGTGGGATTTCTTGTGGTTTCATTTGATTGAAGTATGAACACAATGATTTTATAACTAAATCATGCTCCTTTTCCGTTAATTTTGTTCTTCTGCAATTTGTAAAATTAAATACATGAAAAAAAAAAACAAACATTTATCAATAAGTATATTAAAATTAAATAAAAATCTACCTGAACATTAATGCAAGTGGTACTGTTATATTAGTTTGCACTTTACAACGGCATATGTCTGTAATGATCATTTCTTGATACTCAGCTCCAGTCATTTCTAATCCATCAGCTGTCAATACTTTAATTTCAGATATTATTTTAAAAATCTGTGGAAGTAATTCTTTCCAGCTAAAATAAAAAATATATTCAAATTGAATTAGTTTTATGATAATGAAAAACAAAAATGAATTACCTCTGCATGCAATTTTCATTGGAATTTTCAATGTCTTTTTTACACATATTTATAAATTTGATTAGTTGTTCAGTCGATAACTTATGCAACTCTAATGACAAACGGCTTATCAAACAAACCTTCATTTTTTCAGGTATATCTGAAGTGTTAATTGCATTTAGTACATATTCATAAACCTAAATAAACCATATTAATAGGTAACAGGTAAACTAAAACATTTAATATTTTCAATTCAATAAAAAAAAAAATCATAATTTATATATTAAGTATATTAATGACGTAAAATGTCTGTAAAAATAAATGGTAGGTATATATTACTTTTTCAACCATTGGTTGGGCATTAGGTTTTACAGAAAGACCAACTAATATATACTCCAGTATTTTAGGTCCATCTGGACAATCAATTTTCTCATCTATCAAGGAATATATCTGTAAAAACCAATGTAAGCATGTAACTGTAATAACTTTATACATTATTTACATTTAACTATTAAAATTAGGATATTAAAAAAGTATTATTTTGGTAAGTTGCATAAAAACAAATAGGCCAATTATTTTATTTTACAATCATAATAATAGTAAAGATTGAATTGGATTTATTAAATTTTTTTTGCAATTATTTATTCATTTTGTTTTCGAATTTTAGCACACTATTTGGACAACTAATAGAATTAGAACTGAGCAGGTAGGTGCAATTACATGCTCAAAAAGTGGGAGATGACTGGATCTCTGTTTTGTGAGTGCCGAGAACTTCAAACGGTAAGACACATCTTAAAATCCTGTCCACTGAGAAAATAAGCTGGAGGGGTGCTTGGATGTCTGACTATAAGTTATCATTTTTATATACTAATAAATTGTCTGTATCTATTTATCTATTTGTTTACATATCTATTTATTTATTTAATTATTGTTATGCTGATGTCATATGATAGTATATAATATATATAGAGTAGGTACCCATAAAAGTAGGTACCTTTTAGTTATGCTATGTTTTTTTGTAGATTTTAAACGTAGCAATGAATGCATTAGTTTTATTAAGAGGGGTTTACTTTTATGTGTCAACAACTTTTTTACCAGATATCAAATTTTAAGTAGATTAAACTTTGTTAGTTCATCAAGGATGTTTGAAAATTTAATACACGGTTTATCATAAGTTTTACTTATGTGGTAAGAAAAAAAAACATGTAAGAATTGTGGTATTTTTAAAGGTATATTGTAATGACTAATTTAAAACTGATATTTATGTTTTGAAAATAAAGTATTAGACAAATTAATTTTTTAACTAATATAGGTATCAATTAATTTTAATATAAATTGAAATTAATAATTTTGTATTAATTTGATGTTGGTTGTATTTATCAGAACATAGGGTATCAGTTAAAAGTGAAATCAACCCATCTCAAATAATACCATACCTTAATAATATTACTATATTTTATTACTTGTAAATATTATAATATTGTGTTTTAATACTTATGTTTTATTTTAAAAGAATAATAATTTAATAATTGTACAGAGGCCTTTCTCTAAGACAGAAATATTACTCTTGTTATGGATTATAACAATGTTATAGATTTGCCGAAATTAAATCTAGAAGATAATTTATATAGATTTCAAGTACTACTAATTAAGTATCTATTAGGTATGTCATTTATAATACCTACTAATATGTACTATTATTTTAAATAGTTGTAATGTAACATCCTAAACCCTAACAATAATACTCAACAAAACATTAAACTAACAGTGTCTAAATTGAGCACACGTATACTAAACGCCTGGAACTCTTCAAAATCTTCACTGCTATTGAGTCTCTTGTTAGCAAGTTCCACAAGACTCTTAATTTCATCACGACTCATCTTCACTAAAAAAACTTCAGGACACCCTGTTTCAACACACAAAGTACATTTACGATAGATAGAACATTGAGTACTATTGGTTTTATTCGATTTTAAAAATTTTCGTTACGATATTCTACATAAAATACAAACAAGAAGAAACATGGTAAACTAAACAAATACACACGATTAGTATACGGATGTTCCGTTATAAAAAAATATAGCAATATTTAATAAGTGGTTCTCAAAATGCGTGAAAATTAAATAAAGGCATTAGATAGGCAATAAATATGCAATGATGCACGATGTGAGGCGCAAAAAAAATATTTTTAAGTAGTAACATAACGTTACAGTAACCAACCGAAACAGTCTTTTTGTTACCCCATTAATAATAGACACAAATCGATTAGAAAAAATTGTATTTCACCGAACGATAATTCATGAAGTCTACTTTCAAACAGTGTACTTCGCTAAAGGTTTCTTCGACCGGAACATCCCTTAAAGTTCGGTGGTAAACCGTAATGCACATTGAAGGAAGTTAAACGAAATGGTCGACTTTGAATTCAGATTCATAACATAAAAAAAAATTAAAGAAAATAATTTCAATTGGGTACAATATGGTATTTGTACTAAATGAATAATAGTGGATTATGTGAAAAAAATTAAAAACAAATTGGATTTCAGTGGTAATTTTGAATGCTTGTTGCACAAGTTCTATATAAAGAAGTATATTGTAAGGTAATTCTATGTTCAATTATTTAAAATTGACTGATTTGAATATGTATTGTTTTTTTCTATTTTAAACCCTGTTTTGTTTTTATTTGAAATTTTATTTTTTAAAAAAAATAATAAATAAGCAATCAGATATTTATACCAAATTAACCTCTTTAGGGGATGGATTTTCAAAAATTATTGTATTTACTAAATAATACATATATGTTTTCTTTTAAATTTAATGTGCTTCAAGTTGGATAAATAAGTCAATTTTAATAAATATAAACTTGAGTTTAAATATAAAACAAATGTCATAATTTAGTATAAGTTAGTTAAAAAACAATTGCAAGATAATCCAATAATTGTTGACAAAATATATATATTTTACATGTACATAATTTCAATAAAATAAAATAAATTAGGTGTTTTTAAAAACTGAAAATTGTATCTAACTAATAATATAAATGCAAATTAGAATAGATTATTCTAAATTATTATTGATGTTCATATTCTTCAAAACTGATTTAGTGGAATTTGAAAATCATTGAATCATTACTATAAATGTAGGTTAAAAGTAATAAATGTCTACATTCATTTTTGATGTTCAGACTTTCTCAAAACTGAGTGGAATTTAATCTTGCTGTATTTCACCATTATTTTTTCTTAAAATTGTATTATATCTTAAAAATATTGGACGTTTATCTTTTTTCCTCTAAATTTCTAGAATATCCAAATGTAAGTTGTCATCATTACATTTGGGCTTCTGTTTTATAGCAGATCTTCGTTTAAGTATTTGTAATTCAACTTGTCTAAAATATTGAGCTTTATATTTTATTATAATTTCAATAAACATAGTTGGTATCACATTTAATTCTCTTTTGGCCAGTTAAAATATGGGTTTTTACTAAACTGAACCAACTTTCTACAGAAGCATTACTCTTCCAGTCTTTTAAATTGATTAAATTATTCATTAATTTTGTCCACAATGATATGCAAGGCAAATTTTCAATAAGAAAATATAATAAATACGCTTTTGAATACATATTATTAACCTCAAGATCATTACGAAAATACTTTTGTATTCATACTATTAAATATTTGTTTAAAATTATGATAAAATGCCGATTTTTTTCGTTCTGCATAATTTTTTCAGTATCTTTATTACAAGAGCTAATTTTATCAGTAAAATTTGCAATCGCTTTCTCCTCAACTATCACATACTTTGTCAGCAGTTTTTTTTTTTTACCGTATTTGCTTTTTTACACAATGTTGTTAACTTTTTTGATAATAATAAAGTTATCATCAACTTAAACCAATGTTTTATTTCGTCATACTTTTTCATTTTCCACTACACTTGCCACTTGAACACTAACCCTACACACTTTACTAAGTAAAACTGATTATGTCAGTTATTTGACAGACAGTTTCGATTTTGCTTATACGAACTAAATCAGCATAATAGTAAATAATTGCATTTATCGAAATTCGAGGTGCCCTAACAATTAATTCTATAGAATCCATATGAATAGTTGTTAACACACCCTGTTTAAATAGATATACGATATTTCGTATATAAGCAGAAATCGCGGTTCTTGAATAAATGTAAAACGTATTACTTTTTTAAAATAATCATTTTGGAATTAAGACCCTTCTATGTCTGCTGTTTTATGTACTTTAATATTTATCAAATTAATTCGTGGTTCAAATTTCTATAACCTGTAATACATAAAGTAAAGAATAAATTTATCAATATAATTGGTTTTGTGTTGTAATTATACTTTAATTATACTTTTGCGATCATATTTATTATTTATCTTATATAATTCTTGAAGAATAATATCTGGAAAAAATATTTAAGTAGTTTATAGTTATTATGTCTATATTTATTAGAAATTAAAACATCTTAAATTACCCCTGTATTATTCTGATGAATGCAACATAAGGGACATGACAGTTATCACTTTCTTATCAATGGTATACGAGCTTATTATGATGGAGCCTCGTAATCAATAAACTTGTATATTATCTAAGTAACCACCCATGATAATAGATAACATTATCATAATCCTGTTTTCAACACGACATAGCAGTTTTCGAACGCCGTGTAAATTCTGAGTTATTAAATATATTTTATTATTTTCCATGGACTTAATTTTGTTATTCCTGTCCTGTTACCTTTTTTTTATTGTAATTTTAAGTTATAGATTTTTTTTGGATTTTCCAAGTCAAATTAATTTAAACAAATCGTATTAAAATATTACCATAATGCCATTACAATACTTTATTGCAAAGTGTTTAGTTTGAACACTGATATTTTTTTTTGGAATCTTTTTATTGATCAAAGAACAGTGGGTATGCATCAAAAACATATTCTAATTAGTCTCGGACATATGTGTTTAATTATCATTTTAAATGTTTTTAAGTAAGTAAAAATTATTTTATTTTATCAACTATACTTATATCATTCAGATTTTGACAATATTGCATGTTTTTTAAAGAATAAAATGACATTAAAATTATTTTTCGTATTTTATTAAAATTATTTAACTTTTTTTTTCGATTTTTGCGCAGGTAGTTAAACAAATTTATTAAATAAATTATTAGAATATATTTTTTGGTTATTAACATAATTTGCTAATGGTTTACAGTAGAATCCACTTAATGGGGGCACTATATAAAGGGGACAACCGCTTAATGGTGAGATTTTGGTTAAGTTCAGAATGAATGTATTCGTTTTAGGCAATTTAAATTTGATTATTGGGGATAATGCATTAATTATGAGAGACATAGTCCAATAAAAATAACGATTTTATACAGCCTATCAAATTATAAATTAAGTATGTACATACTTTTTTGCAAAAATTATTCGGTTTATCAATTAATTTATAATAAATCAATCAATAAATAAATTAATACCTCTACTACTAATATTAAATAATACTATTAGGTAATAATAATTTTTAAATTAAGTATGAATTAATTATAAATGTATTTTGTAAATAAAGTTATTATGTATATCAAATATTCAAAATTTTACAATAAACATTTGAACTAATTTTTGTCACTGGAACTATTTTATACCAAATGTTTGTTGGTTTAACTGCTGAGAATGATTACATTTTTTAGAGGGTAATTTTCTGACAATAGAAATGAGTGGATTAGATGACACTAATATTCCATTTAACAGAAATAAATAAATATTAATACATCTTTCATGATATGAAGTTATTATAATATAATCTGTAATAAGTAGAAAACCAAATAATATATAAAAATCAATAATTAATGATGTGTTATTTTGGTGTATGGCCAAATAGATAAATCTTTACAAATGCTAGGAGAAATATCACTGAATCAATATTTTATTTGGGTTAGAGTTAATTTAGAGGCATACAAATAAGTTTTTAATTGTTCAAAATCTTATTTAATTGTATCTATTTCATTTTCTCCTGGTATACAAGGTATCTACAATTTTTTTTTTACAATTCATCTGTAAAGGCTTAAAATTATAATCATTTAATATAAAATTAATATTGAAATCTTTTAATTGATTAATAATTAAAATAAATCTATTTTTTAAGGTAATGTAAATTAAAGCTAAAAATAACCACACAACTAAGATAAACTAGGCAATACTATGTAATATAATTTATAGTTTAAAATTAATCACCAAGTAGGTACTATCCATGATGGTTTCATCATTTATACACCTACTACCAATTCTTTAGGGAGGCAACTAACCTTCTGTTCCCAGATATTTGTTTAATGATTGTAAATTTGTATAATTTAACTAAAATAAATATATAAATAAAAATGCACTATTTCATTAACTTTTTCAAATGAACAAAATGTACCTATCTAATTAATAATTTTAATAATTTCAGATTGACTGTAACAGCTGAAAATGAAAATAACAAAATAAATGAATACAATTCATTGGATTATGAAAATACATCAACTCGGTTTATACAGCAAGTAAGTATCTTTCTATAAATTTTGTATTTTAGATTCTGATCAGAGCAAGGAATGATTGGTTTTATAAAGATTTTTATTTTCTGTGAATAACTTTTACCAGAAATTTTGCTCCCATTTTTAAGTGTAGCACTTTTACTGAAAGTGGATGGTACCTTTGAGGTGGTCATTTTATGATTTTCCTAAAAAATGGAAAAATTTATGAAGTGCATTATTTTCAAATCGTAAATATTACTGCTTTTTAAAACATATGTAACTAAACTCCTCTTTCACAATTGTTTTTCATTAGTAATGATTCATTTTTGCATACAGATATATATTACATTTTCTATATATCTTCCCAACTTCTCACCTACAACAATAGCCCACCCATCAAAGTATGTCAATTTGTTTTTTTTAACTATTTATTGAAAGTTCTAATTACTAACTATAGTGACAATTATTATTAAATTAAGTACTTATTTTATTTTAGGTTTCTAAACATAAGTTCAAAAAAACTTATATTCTGTTATGTCTTTCTGGGTTATAGTTACAATTTTTGGTTTAGTTAACAAGAAGATATATTAAAAGATATAGATAGTGTGTTCACACTCAGAGGTACCACTTAATATTTCAATTGGATAACCTAGTATTGAAATAAAGTTTTCAGGGAATGATAGAAAGTACCAAAATACATTTTTAATCTTTTCATTACGCACTTGCACAATACAATTTACTTTTTTTAAAATGGAAACACCATTTTTTTTCTACAGATTCCAAAAGAATATTTTTTCCTAAACAAGTTTTGTATAAAAAGTTTTTTTCTAGTTACATATTTGGCAAAACTATATTATGTTGACATTTAATATTTACAAATAATCGGTTTTTAATAAAATTTTAACTATGCTCAACTTATACGTGAAAATCAAAATTATGTTTCTAATATTATGAAATATATCTGTTTGTAGACAAATAAGACATTTATTTGTTTTCATAATTTACTTTTTTTTGCCATTCATACTTTCAAAATAAATAAGCTAAATAATCAAAGGTCACGAAAATTATAAAAATTTACTTACTATAAATTTCAAATTAAAATGTATTTATTTGCAACTATAGTTTTATCGAATAAATTATTCTGTGATTTTCCAAACTATTTAAAATTTATCTTGAAATGACAGTGTTTATTTGGTTTTCTCTCAAATTATTACATGTTACTCGTATTTTGTTTTTCAAATCTTGGATATTATTATTAAGAGGATCTGCATGTACAATTGTTGCAATTAAAAAAAAAGAAAGTATAATGAAAAGGTTAAAAATTTGAAATTTGAAAATGTGTATTTTGGTACTCCCTATCATTCCCTGAAAACTTCATTTCAATACTACTAGGTCATCCAACTGAAATATTTAGTGGTACTTCTTGGCATGAACTATAGACTTCTATATAATATTATGTATTATGTATTATATAGAAATCTGTGGCTTGAACACACATATTATTCAAACCATTATTATAATTTTTAATAAATTAAAAATTTATTAAATTTATTATTCATTCATGATATTGAATATTTAAGTATGAAATTAATCAATAACAATATAAATATCTACTTCAATAAAACTTGTAAGAAATTGAAAGTCAAAAAGTTCAAAAATACATCAATATACATATTAAATGTACTTCTTTAAAGTTGTAATCAAAGTCAAGAAAGGAGTAGAGACAATATAGTTAAACACTGGAATAAAATTTGTATTCATCAAAAACTATGAAATAGTAGGAAAGATTATTGATTTAGAAACAATTTTATCTCAAAATTTAAACCACTTTCAAATTCCACACTTTAAAAATTATATCCAATAAAAATTACTATATAAGAAAAATGGGAAATAGAGTTAATGATAAAATTAATATTAAACAGTAAACACATAATATTTAAGTTTCACAAAATACACAAAAACTATAACTTAAACACCAGCATTCTTTTCAACCATGAGTTACTGATTTTACTTCCATAATTTTAAATAAAGCTGAAAACAATTTATTAAATAAAAGTAATAAATTTAATACATATCAAAATTAAATTTTCAATCAATTAAAAAACAATTAATACAATGTGAATCTGTTAGAAATTATATACAATTTCAAAATCAAATTCAAACAAGATGTAACTTACTTTATCAGTACCAATAAAAACTACACAAATAAGCCTGATAAAATATTAAAGTAAAATAGTATAGTTAAACAACAAAATACAATTATTAACAACATAGTGAATAAATTTAAACAAAAAATTCAGCAATAGTTCCGGTAGATAAATCTAATGCTATTGTTATCATTTTCACTAATTAAATTCATTCTTTCATCATACATACATATCCTAGATACTTAAAAATCAACCTTACCTATAAATACTTATTGTCTGTGTTGTATTGTCCTGTTCCACCAAACTCATACTCTGTTTTACTTCTACTTATTTTTAGTTTTTTCCCTTAAGTATTACTCCCTATTCCTCAATCCTATTGTTGATTTATTCTAGATCAACTCCTATCAAAGCTATATCAAATGCATAAATCATACACCAATACACCATGGTACATTCTCTCATTTATCTTGTGCTCAATTTTCAATCATTTCAGTTTAGTTAAATAGTTGTTAATAATAGTTCCGACCAAATAAAATTTAAAATGTATGTTCTTCCCAGTTTTGCTCAATTATTAAGAAAAAAACATAGAAAATCAAAAAAAGATCCACTTATTCACCAACTAGATTTAAAATTCATCATAAAACACCTCTTGGTAATTTTGGGTTGGAGCATGCTTTCTTGTAGAAAATTTTCTGATAGAAAAAAAATTTAAAAGCATTATAAAACATTTAAAACACCCATTATAGTAAAACCAATACATTCCTAGCTCTGCTTAGAATCTCAGCTAGGTACCAAAATATAACTTATTAGTACTTTAAAAGTAGTAAGTACTAAGAATTGTATAAATGTCTTGTTAACTATTTACAAATTAAGGTATTTAATTTATTTAAATTTCTACACTTAAGGATAATATACTAGGTTACCAAACTCTTTAAAAATTGTATAGAGAAATATAGTTTATATTCAAAATACATTTAAAAACTGGAAGCTTGGCACCATAATTAATAGTCCAATAGGGGAAACCACTGAAATTAAAGGTACCCATTTGTTATTTAATACAATTTGCATGGAATATATTAAATATTGGCTTACAAATGATTTCTTTAATTGTAGTTTTTAAAGATATTGTATAAAAGTTCAAATTTAGTAGACAACTAATTTTTCGTTTTTAAAACAAAAAATATATTTTAAACATTGCATTGAACTAATTAATAAAAATGAGTCTTTTTGCAAAAAGTCTATGATCTTTGTAGTGGAGTAGCCCGTTTGCGAACTACTTAAAATTTTTCCAAACGACCTACTGTTTTTCAGACTTATTGCATACAGACTGATAGCAGTTATGCCTTTTAAGAACTACAATCATTATAAAGTAATAGCCATTTAACTTATTTTATTTTAAGGGTAATTTAATACTTATACAAAAAAAAAAAAAAAGATCAATTAAATTATTATAACATGTAAACTGAATAAGTATGGTACTTATTATATAGTATTAAATGTATTTTATAAACTGTATAAATGGCTAGTATTAGTGAAGTATAGATTATTTTAAATTTTTGACTATTGTATTACTATTTTTATTTTATAGGTATTACTAACAAAAAATAAAATATGTAAAATATTTACTTATTGTTACTTATAGTATACTACAGTAGTATAATACATAAAATCTACACAATAATAAATCAATTCAAACCATGTAAGACCAGTGTGTAATGTGTATTATATATTATGGCCTTATAATGGCTTTTTGCTAATTATATCACTATACTGATTACTAGGACTGGGATTTCAATGCAAAGTGCATCTTGTTTTGGTTGATTTTACACAATGCTTTTCATTTACATAATTTGTTTCATGTAATGGGTGCTTTAGAGCTGAAACTTATTTTGCATTTTTAGAACATTTTCTATACACATTGTCAATCATTCCATTTATTTTTTCAATAATATTTATTATTCGAGATATTTTAGTTTAATTTATATTATTTTGGTATGTTTAGAATGAATAATACTGCCCCAAAAGATATGTGTCAACATCATCTCAAGTCAATGTATCAAGTCAATTTTTCAAATTTCAGTTTTTTTTTTAATAAAATAATAATTACCTAATTATTTTGCCAAATATGAAAAAAAAATACATGACATTTTTATATTTTTTAGAGTATATTTGTTTGGTTTTAAGGCCATTTAAATCAGGGCCCTACTGATTACCAATTATGTTTTTATTTTAATACTTAAAATAAATAGTACACTATTTTGTAAATTGTTAAAATAATATTATTTATTATGTTACATAGTATATAATGATGTCATTCTTAAAAGGCCTAACTACTGTCAGTCTGTATACAGTAAGCCTGAAAAACAGTAGGTCGTTTGGGAAAATAATAAGTAGTTTACCAACAAGCTATACCATTGCAAAGAGTCTTTTCGCAAAAAGACTAATTGTCCATATGGCCTATGACATAATATTTATTGTATTCCTAAGAAAAACGCCATAAATCGAAAAAAAAAAAATGAGATTATCCTGTATTATGTTAAATTGTTAAATATTATAGTTTTACATGTTTTTAAAGTATATCCTCATTTTTTAGATTCTGAGTGAAGCAAAGAAACTTATGGTTTTACAAAGAAATTTTTTTTTTTTTGTTCTTTGGAAAACTTTTCTACCAGAGATCATGCCCTGATTTTTATGTGTAGCACTTTTTTTGAATGGAAATTGGTATGTGGAGGTACTTTAGAGAGGTAATTTTTCGATTTTCTTAAGTTTTCTCATCAAATGAGAAAATTTGAAATAAAAAACTGGAGAAAAAGGTATTATAACTTGTAACTTTTTTCACTAAAATTACTTTTTTAAAAATTAGTCCCTAAAGTCATTTTTTTTAAAAAAAAATTCTTAAAAGTCACTCGTTTACATTTTTATGATATCAGTAAAATGTTAAATGGTTAAATTGTTATAATCTGGTATAATCTGGAATCACTGCCAGTGGCGATTATTGTACCTGTGTATCACAAAGTTATGATCATACCTATATATTTAGCCATGATTGTTATAACATAGACACTACAAATATGTTTGATTATATATTTTTTTATTATTGTGCTTACATATCAAAATTACTAAAAGTACTTAAGCTTAAGTGGGTGGTCAAATGGTATTATCTAGAACTAATATACATTCTATGTATGTCGTGGACAATATCCATTTAAATCTTCTTACATAGGTTCCATCTATACTGAATCTTTATAATACAAAAGAACTTGTTACAAGAGGTGAATTATTATGAACTATGAAAATAGTAATTTCAGCTGCTTCATGTAAAAATGTTTGATATTTTTCAAGCTATGTTTTCTGATAGTGAGAATATTGCAAAATGTTTTAAACTAATTCTGAGTTAAGTGCATTATTTAATTACTGATGATCTAGCTCCATATGTTTTGGAATTGATATTAGACGAAGTCCAATAAATAAATAAGTAAATAAAAAAGTATTTAGACTGCCTAATGAAGAAATTATTTAGAAGAAAGAACTTATAAATATAGTATGTGTATGTTACTTATTATTATTTATTTATTATGTCATTTAATAATAATAAAATAAATTCATATATAAAACTAGGTAGTCAAGTGTCATAATTTATTAAAACCAAAATATTGCTTAAAATGTTACTGTATATGAGTTAACAGCCAAGTACCATTACAATATGGAGACATTATCTTATACTATTTAACTTTTATTTAGGTTCTAAGTATTGGAATTGCTGGAAAATAATTTGTGTAACATAAAATGTTAGGTTGCTACTTTTTAAAAAGAAGTGACTATTTTAATCATTTTTGTTGCTACATTCACCTTTTTTAACCCAATAGTAGTTATGAAGCCTGAAAACTGGAAAATGTATGAAATATAATTGTATAATATTATGATTTTTTTCTCTATGGAAACTTTCCTACCAGCAATTTTGCTCCAATTTATAATGATAGCAATTTTCTAAAATGAAATTTCACTGAGGAGGTATTTACGAGAAATAATTTTTCGATTTTCTCAAAAGTTTCCTCATCAAATGAGAAAACCGAAAAATAAAAAAAAAAAAATGGGTAAAAACAGGAAAATTAGTACAATATTAAACAAATATTATTATTGTTATTATTATATTATTAAAGAAATTATATAATGCCTATTTAATTATTTTACTATATGACATATTAATTATTGACAAAGCATCACTATCAACTAAACTCTGCTTAGAATCGTTTTTCGTAAGTAAGTAATGACCAATGGTTGCTTACGAGTATACATTAAATTACCTATAATAATGGCTGCACCCCATTATCCTAGGAAGTCTTTTTTTTTTTCTTTATGACGTTTTTCTTAGGACAGCAGTATATATATTGATAAATTTCTTAACTAATACTTATAGTATATAATCAATATGTTTATATATTACATATCTTATTTTTTAAAGACTCATAAAAATACTCCACAAACGACTTACAATTATAAACACAGATGGAAAAGTATTTTAAATGTTTTGGATACCTGCAATAAAGAGGTTATATTTCCCGAAATCCAATCCAATTATGACACCAATAAAAGGTAATTAAAATTGAATTGTTTTGCTTTTTGTACCATATTTTATTATCTGAGATATTTTTCATGTATAAATTATATGGGTTGATTCACGTACTCACCCCATTTTTTGGTTAAATTTTGCATACATTCAAATTCTGATTTTTGGAATTTTTAAGTTTAATTAAAGTCAATATGTTTGAATATTTATATTTTTTACAACATTTAAGGAGTATCCTCTAGTGATACCAACTTTGGTTTTTTAAATAAAGACCAATATTTAAAATTCCATAGACCAATTATTACTTTAAATAAATTTTAGTGTCGAAATTATTCATTTTCGTCAAACTGCTATTGAGATATTTCACTATTTCACTTGGGCCTGCCCTCACATAAATGATTTCCACCGCTTACCACAACTTTAAAGTAGAATATCTCTTTAATGGGTTAATGGAAATCAACAATTTTGACACCAAAATTTATTTGAAATAATACTCTATCTATTTATGGAACTTTTAATACAGATTCTCATTTGAAAAATCAAAAAAAGTATCACCACAGGATACTACTTCAATGTTGTGAAAAATATAAGTATTTGAAATTATTGAATATAATTGCACTTAAAAATTCCAAAAATCAGAATTTGAATATTTGCAAAAAGTGGGGTAAGTATGCATAGTAAATGATCCTATATATATATATTTATTTTTTTCTAGAATTTTATCAGAAATCGAGGAAAATTTAATAACAAATAATTTTAATTCAAGTACCAAATTTATAACCGAAGATAATTTAGTTGAAGACTATAATATTATTAAAACTGATGTGATTGAAACTGATGAGCTTAAATATAATCAATCTCTTAATGCAACTGCAACTGTTCGCAATGTTACTGTAAATGAAGATATTCCATCTTTTAGAGAGTGGACCAAGAAACAATTGGAGGAAGCTGAAAAACAACCAAGTAAGAAATATATTTTTAAATAGTTACTTAATTTAACTTTGAGTTAATAAATATTTTTTAATTTAATTTTCGTATTAGCTATCAATGAAACTAAATATAAACATGACAAAAATATATTAAAAAAGAATTATGCATCACCTGAGTGTGGTGCCAAAGTAGTATCAACAAACCCAGAAGCAAAATATCCACATTTATTGTTAACAAAACCCACTGATGAATATTTATTAAATTTATGTAAAAGTACTACTTGGTTTGTTGTGGAATTATGTGAAGCAGTACAAGTTAAAAAAGTATGTTACAAATATTTATATACAAACAAATATTTGTAATTTCATCATGTGTAATTAAATGAATTATTTTTTTTAGATTGAATTGGCAAATTTTGAATTGTTTTCATCTACACCAAAAGAGTTTTCAGTGTATGTTGCATCTCGACTGAATGCTCGAGTTTGGACACCTATTGCTAATTTATTAGCAGAAGATGTACGTATATTACAAGGGTTTAATCTAAATACTACAGATGACAATGAATTTAATAAGTATATAAAACTAGAAATTCATTCACACTATGGTAAAGAACATTATTGTCCAATATCCGTTTTCCATGTCTATGGATTATCAGAAATTGAGGTAAAGTTTACATAGTTACAATAATAAAAAAAAGTATCCTAATTGTATTTTCATTTTAGGCATTAGAAAGAGCAGATGAAAATGGATTAGGAAGTAATAATGCTGAGAATGAAGACTCTGATGATTTTGATGTGTTAAATGAAGATATCTCGAGTCACCAAAACAATTCAGGAAACAATAAAAATACATTACTTGATAGCGCACGTGTGGCAGTAATGTCTATTGTTAAAATTGCTACTGATGTGTTAGATATTAGACAGAAAAATGCTAACAATTTTTCTACTTATACTTTAAACAATACCGCTGGTACTTTAGACATGTATTTATCGAAATGTATGACTCCAGCATACATTATGGTCTGTCATGGTTGTAATGACACTTTTTATAAAAAGTAATGTTTAAATATTTAAATTCAATGATGTTTATTGTATTATAATATCATATTTTCTTTATTTTAGGATGTTTGACACTATAAGTTGTGAAGCTGATACTTTAACAGAGATTTACCAAAATAAGTACATTTACAATACAATAATAAATAGTAATATTTGTGTAGAATATGGATTAGATTTTGTAACAATTGAAAGAAAAATACCATTGATTGGTGATCAGAGGAAAAAATTTATTATTTCAATTTTTCCAAATGTCAAAATGGCTGCTTTATGTAATACTTTGGCAATTTTACACAAAAAAATTGTGTTAAATAAGGCTAAACGTGTTTATATTAGTGAAAACTTGATCATCAATTTGCAAACAACAATGCTGGCTGAAAATGGACAAATTACCAACAATAGTGATACAAAACTTCTACAATCTAATGATACATCTAATTCTACATTTAATTTTACATCTAATTCTACATCTAATTCTACATCTAATTCTACATCTAATTCTACATCTAATTCTACTACACCAACTGATAACAAACCAACAATGTACTTGTCTAGTTATATTGAGCCTCTTGTATCACAGATTCTACCAACAAAAACTTTTTTAAATACAGAAGAAGAGACTGCTCATTCAAGCTACAATCAAGTTAAAGATTCAACAACAATGGTTAATGAGAATGTTGTACATAATACTTCAAAAGTAGATATTGAATTAAATTCAACAGTTGAAGTTTCTATACCAAGTCCTACACAATGTATATTATTTCTGTCTAATTTTTATTTTTTTAATCTGATTTTGTTTTTAATTGTATAGTTTCAACTACTAGTTCTATTGTGGACAATCCTATAGATTCTGAAGTCCACAATAATTATGAAAATAATACTACAAATGAAGGAAAAGTAGTTGAACAACAATCTACAGATTCATTTGATAGTTTTTTTAAAGATTTTGAAGTTGAAGATCATGAAAATGACAAATGTAATCCCACAATAGCAGAATCATCTATACAGCACATTGTACAACCTTCAGTTCAATCACAAAATACTAAGCAGTCGTTATTTATTCGTTTAGCAAATCGTATAAAAGTAACAATTTAAATAGGTGTTTTTCAAATAGTTATTATAATATAATAACGTGATGATTTATGTGATAATAGGATTTAGAGCGGAACATGTCTTTGAGTGGTGAATATTTACAAGAGCTGAGTACTCGTTATAAAAAACAAGTTGATGATATGCAACGTACTATTTTAGAGTTAGTTGAAGAAAATAGACTGAAAAAAGAACAAGATTTAAAAATTCTTGGTGAAATGAAAATGCTTAGTGATCAGGTGGCTTATCTTCAAAATTCACTGCACTGTTTAAAAACTGAAACAGAAAATTTAAACTTGGTGAATAGTTTTTTTTTTTTTTTTTATTGTCTGTTGACTTCAATAATTTTCATACCAACTAAATCTATATATTTCAAATTATTTGTTTACAGTTTTCAGTTATTCTTCCTGAAAGTAATCCTATTAAATTTGGAATTATTTGCTTCTTAATTGTAGCTTATGTAACCCTAAAAGTAGTAGGTTTTATTGGTAAAAAAAATCAAGCATTTGAATGGAAAAATTTGAATGCAGGATCAAGTACTCGTAGACAGTCTACTAATGATATTTTATCAAATATAAAAGAAAGACATAGGCGGCCCAGTGAAGAAGCATTATTCTCATCAGGTAAAAAAGAAAGGATTTATTATTTTGTAAATAATATTAAAAATGTCAGTGGATTAATTAATTATATTACAGTAGAATTCAATATTAAAAAGAACTTTAAATAATTTTATTTTAATATAATTTTAATAATCTATGTCCTTTAATCACTGTCAATTATTTTAAAACAGAAAAAGAAAAAGCAAAAAATTCACCATTTTTTTTAAAATCCTGTGAGTTATTTTAAATAAAACTTACCTCTATTAATTTTACACGATACTTTTTAGTCATAATATGTTACCAAAATTTAATTTTAATTTTTCCTTTTAAACTTTACGCAATAGCTACTTTATCTTATGAAACACTTAAATATTATAAATATGAAATACTCTAGTTGGCAATAATAATTTTATTAAAATGAAGTTTTATTAACTATTACAGGGACTACTCATCAAGATTTATTAATTAGAAATAGTAATGGAGAAAATATGAAAAATGATAATAAAAGACGTAGAAAAAAGCGCAAAGAACTTATTTTAAAATCCAAGTCAAATGCTATCAACTTAGAAGCGGGGGGTATTGATAGTAACATAAAAGTGAGATCTACTTCAGGCCTTACTCAATCAAACCGAAGAGCTTCTTCATCTGATTTAACTTCATGCAGTGGAACAACACATGATTTTATAAAAACAGCTCTATCAGTCAGAACAAACAGAATGTCAGGACCTTTACAACATAGCAACAATATCATTGAATCTAATAATAACCAAACTCCGACAGAAGTCAAGACAAAAAGTATAAAAACATTTTTTAAAAAAATATTTTAAACTAAACTCAATTCTGAATTAAATTTTGTTAATTACAATAATTATTGTTAACTAGTTTTATATTTTATTCTTTGGTATTTTATGAAATCATGTTAACTGTTATAAATTTTAATATTATGTTTGTTAAAGTAATAGTAATTATTTATGTTATTATTTATTATATACTATTCAATACATGGTATTTTGATACACACAGTGAGGGTAAAATAAAAACAAAACAGAAACTATAATTTTTGACAAAATCAAAACATATTTTGTATTTTTATGAATATAGTTATGTACCCAATCATACCAGTAAACATCAAAATGATTTGGTGAATATTGCCAAACATGTGTAGACAATATTTTCAAAATATGCAACAGTGAGTAATAATAATAATGAAACAATGGGAAACAAAGTTTTTATAGTCAGCAAGTTGATAGTGAATTCACTACTGATTCCAAATCTGGTCTCAAATTTGTAATATTTGCTTTTGTTTTTGAGATAATCACTAATTCTTAAATAATCAAAAATTATAATATTATATTCTAATCAAAAAAAAAAAAAGCTGATAAAGGGGATGAATGGAACCATTGTTATAGATGAGTAGTGGGAGGGTAGAATATATAAAGTTATTTAACTTACCTGTAACCAATGATAAACCATTGATTACAAAAATGATAGGGGCAAAGTTCAGTTGTACGCGTTTTGAAAGGGAATAATATATACTATTTTCATCAAAATTTGATTTTAAATCTTATAAAAAAAAACTACATTAAACTACATTTTTTGTTGTGACCACTAAATACAACTTATAATGTACCTTCTATCAAATTTTTAAGTACTTTTTATAAGTCTAACAATTTATCTACAGAGCATCTAACCAACCAAATAAAAATTAAGTAAAAAAACTTGCAAAATTAAACATTTTATCAGGAAAGTTTTACCACATTCAGAAAAAGTAAATACAAATTTCCTATCAAGATTTTAGGTCTTTACAATTATTTTAAACTGAATTATATTAAAAAAATTAAATTTAAGGGTTAATATATTAACCTTACATACATTTTTCCGGTTTTTAACACATTTTTCAGCTTTGCTCAATTATTATAAAAACTACTATTAAAAAACCAAAAAACAACTTTCTTGGTCACCGACTAGATTAAAAATACAACAAAAAATATCTCTTGATGTTTTTCTATTGAAGCAATATTTATGGTAGAAAACATAAGCCAAATTAAAAATAAAAAAATCATGCCGTATTTTTTATAATTATTATAAAAAATACTTAGATATCAAAAAGGCTGGGTAACTTTGTACGTGAGTGGATCACTGTTGTATGTGAGAAATAATTAATGTAAATCTGTAAGCAAAGATAATCCATTACTAACTTAGTGTTGAATATGTTCATAATGTTGCTTTGTCAACAATATATGTATATGTCTTATTATGGTAAAATAATTACATATTCATTATATATTTTCTTTAGTATTGTAGCTGTAAATATTAATCAATTTTAATGCTAATTTGGATATCGAAAAACTACTTACACTCTCAATGGCAAATTATTATAAAGAACAACATTAATATCTTATTGTTTATTTCTTTGAAAAAATAATGGCCCCCACTGAACAGGTTCGTCTATAACTTACTAGTTACTACATAATATCACTATGATCAACATAGGTAGGTACTATTATGTGGATAAAACAGATAAGCTCAACAACTAGAAATTATTACTTTGTGATTAGGTATCAAATTACTCATTTACCAATATCTATAGACTAGGTAGGTATGTTGATGTTTTATGAATACCTAAGTACTTGGTACTTATTCAAGAAGGTAGATATTAAAGAAGTCTTAGCCTAAATACACAATCACAATAATACTATTAGATAAGCAATCGAATATCATAAACAAACAAAAAAACATAAATAAAGTCAATAATACAAATTATTGTACTTAGTCCTAATCATAATTTTTTGATAAACAAGTATTATTAACAAGTAATATTAAGTATGACCTATCTAAAAATTGAATTTTTGCTATAAATAAATACCAATTAGGTATATAAATTAATATACAAAAAAATCTTACTCCAGTACCATGACAAATCAACATAATATAGAAAAACAATAGTTAGATACCTATTTTGTATTTAAATAATTGACTACCTAGTACCTACTTATAATAACAACTAATTATAGATAGTATACCTACCTATCTATTAATTTAAATTAGACAGATTAATTATTATACAGGTAATATTATAAAATCGACAGTATAAACTTATAGGTAACTAATTTATAGGCTAAATGATAAGTACCATAATAACAATTATGATTATTTATAAGAGGTATTAATGCAACACATGCTCCATACACATGAAACCATGATATTAACATTGAGATTATTATAACTACACGATAATTACATTTTGAAAAATGTACTATTTAATAAAAAAAAGGTGTACCACTGCATAATGTAATATATTGAATACTAAATGTGAACTCCTCATCAAATATAAACTAAGTCTAGGTAAGTAGATGTTGTATTTCCACTTACAATTTTATTATTAGATTTATTAATTATTTTTTTTATACAACTTCAGATTCTAATTTACAGCAAATCATATACCTATACCTACCTAAATGATTCAAACATTTTTTAAAAATGTTTAAGATTGTGTATTTGTTTAAGTCAACGTTTTAATTAGCAACACATTTTGATACAATATGGTAAATTATAATATTTTAGATTTAAAGTGAAGCAAAGGATCTACCTAAGGTTTTACTTTAATGTGTTTTTTTCTTGGATTTTTGATTTTTAATTATTGTGCAAAACCGAAGAAACTTAGAAAAATAGGACAATTTACGAAAATAATGGTTTTATTATATTCAATTTTGTTTTTTTAATTCAGTTGAAAATATCCCTAGACTTGAAATTTTGACAGAAAACTTATGGTTAAATTTTCTACATGTGATAAAATTTTCAAGACATTGAAGAATTTTTAAGTTATTTATAGACATTGTAATTTTGCGAGTTTTGTACTTCATTTTCAATGTCCGTAAAATTGTTTGACTAAACAGAAATGTTCAAGAATTTATCAGGTGTACTATAAGATCTACTTAGTGAGAAAAAAATATAGTGGAATATAGTTATTTTTTTTTTATAAGAATTTTAATAACAAATTTTGACGAAAATCAAACACTACGGCCATTCAAAATATGTATAACCGATAAGGGTTAACTTTAGAAATTCGAATGGAACCTATATTCAAAATTTAATAAATAAATGCATTATTAGTTTGGAACACAATGCACTTGTGTGGTGGCATGGCACGGCGCATAGCGTTTGAATAGCGTTCTACTAATCTCCTCCTACCCAAACTAAAAAGTGGACAATTTCATCGAGTTGACGGAAATCAACAATTTCAACACCAAAATTTATTTTAATTAATACTGAATTTAATTATGAAATTTTTAGTATAGGTTTCTATTTGAATTTCAAAAGTTTATGCCACCCCTTCCCAAAAAAAAACAATATAAGTGTCATATTATGATAAAACAATTACATATGCATTATATATTTTCTTTAACAATATTTGTTTAATATTGTACCTATTTTCCTGATATTTCACATTTATTGGGAAAACAATTAAGAAAATCAAAAAATGACAAAAAAGTACCTTCCCAGTCAGATTTCCTACATTTCGTATATATTCCGTTTTTCCGACATTTTATCCTGTTTTTTCCCGAATATTATGAAAACCACTTGAAAATTCAAAAAATTACCTCCCTAAATTACCATGGAGATAAAATTTCTTTTCAGAAAATAAACTACACTTGATACATCGGACTGAATTGAAGCAAGATTTCTGGTAGAAAAGTTTGTACAATAAATCGAGGGGTATTTTGTGATTAAAATAGTCCGAGCGAGCGATGGCTTGGGTCTCTAGGTACATCCAAAATAAATTTGTTTTTCCTTGTTTAGATAAAAGTGGAAAAAAATACAAACAATTTTATTGGAAACCCGGATTTGAACTCGTGACCTCTAGGATATCAAGAGAATTAAGACAAACTTTCTATAAAAAAAAAAACAATATATAATTATTTAACATAATATATAATATCCGCATAATATCAGAACTTCTAAAAGCTAAAATTTCGAAACTTAGTCCGCTTAATCTGAATTCACTATTTTTCTTAAATCGGCAATTTACATATATTAAAAAAATAAACAAATTGAACAATTAAATTTGTTCCACATAATTATTTACTCAAACGTTTTCGTCAAAATTTGTTATTAAAATTTTTTTATAAAAAATATTACTACATTAAACTCAATTTTTTTTTATTACCACAAAGTAAGAATTTTAATGAACCTCCTATTAAATTTTCACGCATTTCTGTTTAGTTTAATAATTTTATCACTAATACCTATCAGTACCTACCAAATAAAAATTATGTATAAAACTTTCAAAATTAAAATGTCTATAAATTTTCCCTCTACTACCTTCCTAACTTCTCACCTATAATAATGACTGCACCCATTCCCATTATCCTAGGACAGTTTTTTTTTTATGTTTTTTGATCAATGTTTAGGCATAGTTACTTTTATTGAGATATTCAAGAACCAGGTTCAGTGGTGTAATAGGAAAAAATGAAATTAATCAATTGATAGGTATATATATACTACAATACGAGTCTTAAAATATTTTACTGTAAATTTACAACAAACGTATTTTTCATACTTCACTGCTAATTGATTCAAAACGCCTTCCAGCTATATTATTATTTCTAAAAAAACAGTATTTTTTAAGAATACAAACACAGGAATGTATCAAATGTCGTAATTAACATTGTATCAGTCGTTACTTGTTAGAATAGTTATAAACCACAATCCACGGTTTGTTAAAAATCGTGATAAATTATTTTAATAATTATAATATAACATAATATAATAAATAATAATAATCTATTTGGTCTCTAGATGAGTTTTAGAAGTGTTTTTTCCAACTAAATTACTATTGATAACTTGCTAAAGATAATAAAGATGATAAAGATAAATAATACCCAATTTACTTTAACCCGTTATCCGTTATAACACGATTCAGATATACGATTTAAGTATGTCTTAAACCGTGGTTATTATGCATTTTCCAATATTAAGATTAGAGATATCTCTAATCTTCATAAGTAGGTATGAAAAAAAATGTTGACAATTTTTACAGTTGAATTAACGAAGAGGTATACAACAAGATTTATAGATAATAAATCTAATATCTATAATAGGGAAATCTATAAACCTTGGGTATTCAAGTATACAATAATACGAATATATTTATTCGGTTAAAACATGTGAAAAAATCACGAGGGGAAGGTAAACACTCAAACCCCCTCCCTTCTTGGCTACACTCAGAATTTAAAAAATAATATTAGGTATCAAATAAATTTTGTAATAATTTTTATTGAAAATGACACATTAAATTGAATTGTTTTGAAACAGTTTCACATTAATCATATTATATAATCAATACAACTTCCATTCGAAGGACATCATACAAATGTTTTTAAATCTTTTTCAATAAATTTATTGGAATTAGGTTTCACCAGCATTATGAGACTTACTAAAATCGTATGTAAAAATAAATTAAAATAAAATTTACAATTTTAACAATTTAGTTTTAAATTATTTGTACAATTTTTTTATTATATATTATTTATATTTAATGTGACATTTGCTGTTGTTTGATAATGGCTACTTGGTCGGTTACTCGTCAAAACGTTTTGTTTACTCTTCATTGTGTAATATTTTTGTTATAGAAAATGAATAGAATAATTTAATGTTAATCCTTATCAGTAGATTATTAGTAACCGAAAACAGTAAACGTAGTTTTCAATTATTTGCCTATTCCGACAACTTTTATTATCTATGCCCGGTTGCCGAAAAGTGCATTCAGCTATCAATTACTATAAACTATGTCGCCAAAACAATTTGTTCACTGAACTAGTAACAATGTTGCTAAAAACTGCATCGCCAGAACACGCCTAATAATTTACCATTTATAATTGTTATTACCTAACTATCGATTATACAGTTTACATAATTTTCACACACTTTCAATGTTTTTAGATAATACATTACTTACAATTTTAATGTTTATACTTCATAAGAAAACAAAATACAATGGTGTTATAACCTAACATGTTTAATTTAAAAATGTGTAATCAGATCATATAGAAAACTTAATTAAAATACTTATTAATATAATATTGGAGTATTTTAAAAACGTTTTTGCATTTATTTAATATCACGCTGGTAAAAAATAAAAAACCTAACGATTTTTTTATCATCTATATTCTACATTGTTATACACTTTGGATGATAACAATGCACCATTCTGTCCCTTCTACGTCGTGTCTCCGCCTCATTACCCCACTCTGTTTTCTACATAGATAATTTAATATACTATATTTACATATTACAGTATATTATAATATCTGGTTTTCTATGGATCTAATGGTCCAACCTTTATATTTCTGTATTATGATAATATGATTATCTGTCGTCGATGTATCGATGAATCATTGTTTGTTTCACAATTCGGTACGTACCAAGTTAATAATTACTAGTCAGTTCAAACTTTTGAAGTAACCGGGAAGTAAGACCGTTCGATTCCGGTTGAACCGAAATTCTAAGGTATGGTAATTTTAGATCATAGTAATAATATTACTTATAGTATAGTGTATAGTATTTATCTATTGTTAAGAAATATTTTTTGTATCTAGCTTCTACCAGCATCTGTCTACTACCTACTTGGTACAAAATAGGTACCTTCCTAATGGATTCCATGATAATTATTTACCTACCTATCTAGTCAATTTGTAAAATATTGTAGTGCCACGAAGACAAGAATATATCTAGAGTTATTTTTTAATCTTCATGGATGTCAAGTGGTACTTGAATATTTATCAATAATTATTATCATTTACACAAAGAATATTAGTAAAACGCATACTTAAATGTTTAATTTTCTTAATTGAGAATAGTTACTATATTTATCTAAGTAAGTATGTAAGTAGGTATTATAGAATTTGAGAAGTCAATAATTATTGAATATAATATTCACGATTATTAAACCTGATTTTAATACCAATTTTCTGCCATATTAAAATTATTACCAAAATAATGTAAAACTACACAATTTTGATGTTTTAAACAATTTTTCATGAGTGCAGTTGTGAGTTCATATATTTTCATAATAACATTATACATATAGTTACTTACTCAACTATTTAAAATAAATTTAAAAACTCCTATAATAGACAATATGTAGTGTTTTAGCCTAATTATTTTTACTTAGTATTTTTACTGTTTTGCCTTTTTTTTTTGGTATCTTCCTATATAATTATTTTAACAAAAGAATTGTCTTCAATTTACATTTTATAGGTAGACGGTTTTAATAATATAAAAAAAAAAAAAAAAAAAAAAAAACAATACTTCATAGTTCATAGTTTTAGTAAACCAGAGTTATAAAAAAAATATTCAGATCTTTGAATAATTTTGATTTTTATACTTTAGCGTAAATGTTATTATATTTATACTTTTTTGTATGTGAAAACCAATTGTGTGCTGTTAGTTCTAACATTAGGGTGTATTTGTCTATTATTAAACCTAAAGATAATAGTACTGTCTATATTTGTATGTTATTTTTTTGATATTTTAATTTCTAAGCTAGTTTTGAATATGTAAAGTATTATAATTTTAAAATCGTCCCAAATCCCTTAAAAATTAAAATATTGAAAAAATACCAATGTATAATCATAAACAATATTTTCACTGTTAAGTTTAATAATAGATCAATGTATTCTAATATTGAAATGAATGGCACAAAATAGCTTAATATAATTTAAATATAACAACATTTACTGTAACATATATACTTATTACTCATTTTGTTTTATATATATATATATTTTTATAAATAAATTAGGTTATTATTAATTTATACTTATTGATTTTAATTATATGTTTCAAGTTTACATATTTTATTTAAATATAATACACTAATATTTTGCCTATATTAATTTATTTAAATCAAAAAATAATATGTGTATTGTTGGTTTTATTTTTTTGTTTAAATTAAGTATATTAAATAAATATGCAGCAACGGTTTAACTAGGAACAATGTTATTTTGACAGTTCTCTAATACTCTAATATCCAACAGTTGAAAGAATACCTAATTTGAAAAAAGAAACTGAGATGAGTTTGCTAAAAACATTCACTGTTGAAGCAGAGACGAGACCTGGGCAACAAGTTTGTGTTTCTGGCAACTGTCCGATTTTGGGAAATTGGGAAATAAATGATTCGTTTGTGCTTACAAACACGAATTTGACGCTTACTAAAAATAAGTAAGTTAATAGAAACCTAATGTTTTTATTTATATATTAAATTACAGATTAATTAAATTAGTTAAGTTTCAAAATATTATGTACAGAATAGCAATGTTTTTATAATAGATAGTTTGAAGAACATAAAATTGGTGATTTAGGTGAAAGATTTATCAAAATACAAACATACCTACATATAGTTATTTATATATTCATTTTTAAATTTTATTTTAGTCGAACATTTTACATATGGAGTGGTCAAGTACATTTGCCTGCAGATAAAGAAATATTCTTTCGTTATTTTATTGCATATATTTTAGAGCCTGATGGTGATTATGTAAAACAAAAACATACTTTAGTTCATTCGTGGGAATCGCACCAGGTTCCTAGATCTATAAAATTTATTGATGGTATGTTAAGTATTTTAACCATTGTTAATCTGAGGTAAATATTATAAAAATAGACATTATAACCATTTTAGAGAATTCAAAATCAAGTAATGATAGTGTATCACATTGTGATATTTATGGTTTACGAGAAAAACAACAAATCAGCAAGGGGTTTTTGACTTCAGAGTGTGCTGTACAGTTTAAATTATACAATACACCTATTAAATTCTGGACTCCTAAATTGCTCAAACAAATTGTATGGAAAACTAAATTAAATTTATATTATAGCAAAAGTAAAAATACCCTAATTATTCATATTTTTTTTTCAGAATTCGATCAGTATAAAAATGACACCTGTACCTTTGTCTAAAGTATCAGATGATTATGGGGATAAATCTAGTGTCACTAATTTATTAATTGATAACTCAAAGTCATTAGCGGCTGAGGATATTCAACAAAACCTTGAGTGGCCGTTTGTGGAATGCATGGTTAGTAAAATCAATATAACGATTTTAAATTTGCATAATTATAGTGTTAAATATTTAGAATACATTATATTAATTATTTTAGACAATTTTAATATTAAATTGATTGATTTTTATTTTTAGGATATCCCTGGTGATTATAAATTGCAGTTACAAAAACAGTTTGGATCCATGATAACAGAAACTGGATTTCATTTATTTCAAACAAAAATTCACAATTTTGGTTATATTGTAAGTTAAATTTGTTAAAAACTAATTTTATTGAGTTAATAATTAATTGTAATTTACTAATACATTTTCAGGGATATCTTTTTGATATTTATATTCACAAAGAATCTTCTCAAGATTCCCCTCATCATATTGGATTCACTTACATTTTACCAAGTAATATGAAATACAGTAATGGAGTAATTGTGTGTCCTATTACGAGTGTTCATCATCAGCCATTAGGAGAACTTGAACGTAAGAAATTTTAAAGTTTTAATTTTTGTTGTAACTAACAACATGACTTTTTTTTACAATTCAGTTCATTATTTAATTATAAAACCAACCAAGGATATTCACTGTAATTTTGAAAAGATCAAAATAACAGATTGGAAAAATTCCCAAGTACCATTGGATATTGGTCATAGAGGCTCAGGCTCATCCTTTAAACAATTATTGCCAGAGTAAGTTTAAACTTAATGGTTTTATTAATGTAAATTTTGAATTCAAATTAAAAATAATATGTTAACTACTAATTACTTAATCGTGCAGTGGTAAATTTACTCTAGTATATTTAACGTTTCCATGCTAAAAATTCTAAAATTTTAAGTTTTAAACAATTATGGCATCGATGACATTTTTTTTTAAACAGTAGATAAACATTAATAATTTAAATTTAAAAATTGTTACTTTCCTTGAAATATGGAAACTAGCAGTTATTAAACCACTTTTTAAAACAGGAAATAAATATTTATTTATTTATTTTTATATGTAAATAATTATAGACTTAAATTTATGCCGAGTAACTTTTCAAAAGTAATAGACAAAATTGTTTAAATCAGGTTAATTACTTACTTTGAAAAATAAATTTCTATTATAATCATTTTGGTTTTAGGTAAAGTTTGAGAACTGAATTTAGTAGTAGAATATAATGTGTAATACACATTCTATTCTAATACTAAATGTACATGGTGATTCACAGTCACTTCTTTAATTTAAAAAATAATAACACAAAGTGTATTGACAATAAAAATTTAATTTATTTTTCTATCAACAGGTATACATTTAAACATTTATTTTATTAGGTTTTAAAAACATCTCGAAGGTGTTTAATGCACTGAAATAACCAAAATCTGAAATTATTCTCCACGTTTTTCAGCATACCATAGTAGTATGAATATTGTTTTTCAAGTGAAAGTCTTTAGACAATACTGGTAAATTGAAGATTTAAGATAACCCCACAGAAAAAAGTCACATGGGGCTAAATCAGGCGAAACCGCTGGCCACTGAAGATCGCCTCTAAGAGAAATGAGTCTTTTAGGGAAGTGTTCTCATAAGAGATTCATTGATGTTCTTGCCATGTGAGCAGTGGTGCCATCTTGTTGAAACCTCACTTCCCCTACATCCATTTCTTCTACACTTGGTGTCACAAAAATCGTACATCTTTAAAATTAAGTTTCAAACGGGCATTTCCTCGAACCAAAACATTTAATCCAAACAATAAAGATATAAATTGAAAGTACAGTTAATGACCTCTTATCCGATAGTAGTTTCATTTCATAAACAATAATCATATTCCGAGTATACGGTGCATTAGGAAAATGTATAAATATACTCCTATCTTATCTTATATTCTTTGGCTATAGAAAAATCAGTTTAAAGTGTCAAATGCAGGTCATTCACTTCCTAAACATTGAAAAGGACGTACGTGAATACTCTTTAAACAATATTATTTCAAAAAATAACGTATTAAATGGATATAACTGCTAACGAAGCCGCTCAAGTGGTAGCATTAATGGAATCAGGGATGCGTTAATGTGATGTTGCACGGCAACTAAACTTGAGCCGTTTTGCCGTTCGACGAGTTTTCCAACGTTATCAAGAGACTGGTGGCTTTATCCGGAGGCATGGATCAGGCCGACAACGCTGCACAACGGACAGAGATGATCATTTTATTGTCTCGACGTCTTTGCGCAATCGATTTTCCAATGCTGTAGAGCTTCAACAGCAACTCCGCGCAGCTCGCAGTACAACAGTAAGCACCTCTACGGTTAGGAGAAGGTTAGGAGAACAAAAAATTGTGGCCCGCAGACCTGCTACCGGTCCGAAACTGACTNCGACTCATAACTTCTATGAAAGATCGTATGGAAGCAGTAATTAAGGCAAGAGGAAGTAGCACTAGATTTTAAATAACATTTAGTAACAGTTTTTTATTTTTATATGAAGTCTATTGTCTGTTTCTGTTTGTAAAACTGTATATCCTCAATACAATTTGTTTTCCTCTTCCACGATTAACTTATTTTTTAAAACACTGATAAACAAAAACACATACCATTTATTTATTTTTCAAGTTTATTTCATCACCTTTCAAATGATATATCATAACAGTACCCTTATATATGATTAAGTGTAGTTAAAATTACTTTGAAAAATAATTTGCAATAGGTGCGATTTTTGTGACGCCAAGTGTAGTTTGGGTAGAAAAAACTCCTGAATCATCCTGACATAACATTCAGAATTGACAGTAACTGCACTTTGATTCTCTTCAAAAAATCATGGCCAATGATGCCGATTCTGGATATTGCACACCAAACAGTCACACGTTCTGTATGCAAGGGTTGCTCATGAAGGTCTCTCAGATTTGTGGGACTCCAATATCGCATGTTTTGTTTATTCATCCTGACAAATGGAAATATGCCTCGTCACGAAAGAAAATAATGGCGTCCTCAGGGAGGTTTTCGAGGAAGGCTTCACATGAATTTTTTCGTGTAACATAATTGTGTGGATTAAGTTGTTGCACCATTGCCAATTTGTATGGAAGAAAATTAAGTTCTTCATAAAGAATTCATCCCACTGTGGATTTAGAAATTCCTAGAGTAACCGAATGTTTGCTTACAGATCGCCTAGGAGATTTCAAAAGAGCAGCCCTTATCTGTCGATGTTTTTAGGTGTCCTGATGGTTTTGGAAGGTCCATTATATTTTTTTGTCACATTAATAGTACTCTTGATGTGTCCACCCACAAACAAATTGATTTCCGATCAGGTACATGACCTGCAGATGCGATATTAAATCATTTCTGGATGTATGTTGAGTTGCAATGATCAAAGAACTGAGGGAAAAGTAGGCCTTGACAGCAAACGCGCACTCCTCATTCGTCTAACCTTTAGAAAAAATTTAAATTACGTACTTTCGAATGCACTATAGGACTGCGCTCTAGGTGTAGCAGTCGCTTTGCGGCGCGAGTATCACAAAAGGAAGTAGCCATGAATCACCCTGTATTAATAAAGCCTTTAATAAGGAATAAAGCTTTTAACAATTTTTGGGATCTAGCAAATAATAGGCTTTTAATATTGTGAATCATGTAGTTATCATAGTATTTTATCAGAGTTTGGCATTAAATTGTCGTTTAAAGTGGTTTAATAGTTATTAGTACGACAAGGTAGTGTTCTAGGTCCACTTTTATTCATTCTGTACATTAATAGTTTATGCTACTTTGACATTGATGGGACAATATTTTAACTTATATTGACGACACTTATTTAATTTTATCAGACGATTCTTGGGCAAATGTTTGAAAAAAAGTTATTATTGAAACAAAAAAGTTTATAAATATCTAAAATATAAAAAACAAGTAACTTTTAAAAAAAACCATGTCCATGTGTTTCATGATTTATAATTTAAATGAGACTTTAGATGAATTTATATCTTTATTTTTGTGAAAATAATATCTTTTGTAATAAAACATTGTGTCAAAATATATTAAGAGTTTCTAATGTCAGGTATCTAGGTTTAATTTTCAATAAAAATTTGTGTTGGAATTTACATGTTAATACTTAAGTTATGAGACTATAGTTTAATTTCCAGTTTTTAAAAATTACTGTTATTTCTATTCATACTTTGCATATAGTGGATTTAGCTTTAACTATTTATTAAGCTAAATTTTAATATGATTTATTAGTTTGAGTAGGCCTAAATGAGAATGCTTTATATCCCTTCATTATTCAACAAAATCAAATTGTATGTTTGACATTTATTGATTGTTTTTCAAATCATAATTTAAGACATTTTTAATGTTCTACCAGTTAAATTACTATTTAAGAAATTAGCTATACAACATTTAATATATATAGATTACATATCTAAATATAGATATGTAATAATATAAATCTATTTTTTCTCTCTATTGTATAAAAATTCTTTTTGTTTTAAAGTTCAGAGTGTTTTTACAATAATGTTTATTTTTTTATCTTTGCACAACTTTTTTACCAGCAATCTTGCTCATATTTTCAAGTGTAATACTTTTTCTGAAAGAAAATTTTATCTGGGTGGTATTTTAGGCAGATCATTTTTCGATTTTTCAAGTGGATTTCATAATTGGGGAAATAAAAGAAATTTTGCTTTGAATTGTTATTTATTAACAATGATTTATTGTTGCATATAGATATAAATTAAATTTCTCTCTATTTCCATCTTTTTTATTGAACAATAAACCATTGCTAATGGAAAAGAGTTTAGTTATATTTGTTTTGGAAGGTTGTTATTAGTGAACAGACTTTAATGCCATAAAAAATAAGAAAAATTCCAAAAAAATACGACTTAGTGCCTTAAAAAACTTAAAATATTACTTAATATTTCACATTATTATGAAAAAATTATCTTATAAAAAATTTAAATACAATAAAAAAGAACTTTTCTTGTCTTCTTATTTATCTCTGTTATAGCATGAAAAGTATTTTGAATTAATAATTAATTTATTAATTATATAGTTTTATAGTTATATTTTTGTTATCTAATTTATTATCTGTGTTACACTGAACAAATAATATAATGCTTAATATTTTCAAACAAAAATCTTCTTTGGTTATCTGAAAGTGTCATTTTGTACACTGAGAAACTTTCTTGATGTCATAAAAAGTTATTAGGGCAAACTTCATATATGTTATATCAGCAGCAGTTAGTTCTTCTTATATGTATCGTTTTGAGTTGTTATATTTTCCTCTAAAATATTTGAAATATTTTTCATTACTTTATGTCCTTTATTTTTTTCAATTACATTTTCAAATTTTTGATTTATAGTTTTCTCTATTATTTGCTGTTATCGCGTATTGAATATCATAATTTTATCAAGGTTATTTATGATTTAGGTTGTTTCACTTTAACAATATGGTCACAGTCCTTCGATGGGAGCTACCTATAGGTCTTCATAAAAATAAAAGACAAAATAAAAAAAAAAAAGATAAAACAAAAAATTTAAAACAATTTACATTTAATGTATATTTTTAAAACTTATAATTTGAAGCAACAAATATTTATAGAAAATTACCTAAAATTGAAAAAAAATCCTCTAAAAATGTAGAATAATGCTTTAAAACCCAAAAAAGTTAAAAAAATGCAAAATAAAAGTTTCATTTTTAAATTCTTTGATGTTTGAATCAAATTATGTATTTGGAAAGCATTGTTCTATGCCACCCTCTAAAAAATGTATTTAGCATCAAAATCCGTTTCCTAGTTATTATATTTACTATTTTCATTAAAATGTTATGTTAAAATTCTTATAAAAATAATTCTGTATTGCACTCAACTTTTTTAGTTAACTACAAAGTTTGACTTTTGATGAATCTCCCTTAAATTTTCAAGCATTTTTGTATTGTCTAACAGTTTTATCCGCAGAGTACCTACTGAATAAAAATTATGTAAATAACTCTCAAAATTAAATTGTCTATAAATAACTCAATTTAAGCATTTAAGCTAAAATATTTCAAAAAATTTCACTACAAAAATATAAGTTTTCTTTAAAAATTGCAAGTCTTTATAAATATTTTTTACTGAATTGCAATACAACAGAATTGAAAACTATAAATTTTGTACATTTTCCTGTTGTTCACAATTATGATGTACCATCCAGATAAAATTTTCTTTTAGAAAAAGTGCTACACTTGAAAATTGCAGCAAGATTTTAGTTAGGAAAGTTGTTCACAGATAAAAAATGTAAAAAATAAACATTGTAAAACTAATAAATTTTTGGTTTAGCTCAGAATCTATTGTGCTTTGTTAAATATATTAATCCGATTAAATTAATTATTACACTATTTTAAAGATGATCAAACCTTTGAATAACAATAATAACAAAAAATAAAAAAAATAATTATAATTTATTTAAATGTTAAAATGGACATTACCAATGTTGTTATTATTATTATTCATTTACAAATCTAAATAGAAACCATTAAATCTTATAATACTGTGTTAATAACTGATTATAATATAATTGAGATTAAAATGCAGCAGCATAATATATTTAGTTATTTGTAAATTGAATTATGAAATAATATTTTTTAAAAATATAATTTGAAAATATATTTTATATTGTTGATTGAATATACTTATTTATATTATGATCATTGTAGTTGCTCTCATATTCGTGAAAATACTATAGCCTCATTAAAAGAAGCAGCAAATAAAGGAGCTGATTTTGTTGAGTTTGATGTACAACTTACAAAAGATTTGGTGCCCATTATTTACCATGACTTTGTAGTTTCAATAGCTACAAAATCAAAATCTGATGTTTTGATTGAAGATGTTGGAATGATAAAAGTTCCTTTGAAGGATTTTTCTTTTGAACAATTACACAAATTAAAGGTAAATTATAAAAAAGATAACTTAAATTAATTTGTTCATGAATAATAGTTATTTTACAGATTTACCATGTTAAAGAGCCCTTATTTTTGTCCAAAAATCATTTTTTAAATGATGTTAGAAATGATTATCAACCTTTTCCAAAACTTGAAAAAGCATTTAGGGATGTTGATATTAATGTTGGATTTAATGTTGAATTGAAATGGTCCATGGAACTACAGGTAAATTATTTATAAATTCTGCAACTCAATAAAATGTTACAATATTAATATCAGTGAATCAGGTAGAAATTTCATGACAGAGACAAGATATGTTAAGTGGTTTTATTTTTTAAAGATTACTTTTAAATTTTACACATTATTGTACACAGTACAAGTTTTTGTGGATCTTCAGCAAATATATTTAATATTGCCTCTTAAAATTCTTCTTATTTTTTTAAGGACCAATTTTCTGTACATATTCAACATACAAACACCTAAAACATGTATGTAAAATCAAAATTTTATTAAGTTATTAGGTCTTAGGCCCATGGTCTCATCTAGATTCGCTCTGAATAGATTTCAATCTGTTTTCTTGTTTATTAGCTATTATATCTTTCGTTTTTTATGTATAACATTAGAACTTAAGAACTGGTATTTGATCTAACCTTAATTCTGTAAGTTCTATTACTTCAATATAATTAGAAGATATACCTTTAATAAGAAAGAAGTCAAGCAGATCGGGAATCCTGTTTGGATCAGTGGGCCAATACGTGGGCTTATTTGTAGTGATAATTTCAGCATTGATGTTTGCAACGTTTAACAAAGCATGTTCCTTTGAGGTGATTAGTCTCGATCTCCAATGAGTATGCTTTAATGTGAGCATTATAATTACCTCGGACAATAAATCTCGAATCTAACACATGGAGAAATTCAGCGAACCTAATTTCATCTGCACCTCCTTGGGGTGGGCAATCAATTACAGCAATGGTGAGATCGTTATTCCCGTCATTAACTCTGACGCTTGTATATGATTTGTAGAGTATTTTTCAAGTTTATAATGCTTTATGGACTTTTTTATTATCACAGCAGAACCACCCCGAGATCTACCGCTGGGATGATTTGTCTTATATAATCTTTAATTTATAATCTATAGACCACATTGCTAAGTGAATTTCCATAATAAGAGCTATGTTAATGTTATCACTGTGTAAAAGGTCTTCAAGTTCTTGTTTGTGCTGTACTAATCCATTGGCGTTCCATGCGATGATCCGCAGTGTAGGGTTCATTTCTTCATTTTTTGTGAGGTATTTTTGAACTTTGTCTGGTTTGTTTCCAGTTATAAAATATTTTGAATTTTTGCCATGGTCAGCAGATCTAACTGCATTGGTCCATTTATGGCTATGTGCGTCACGCAATGGTAGAAACCACCGGTACGCCGCTGCACAAGCATGTGGCTTACTTAGTATTTTTATTATGTAGACACTTACCGATTTCCAATGAGTGTGGTAAGCATTTTGATGCTATTAAATTACTGAAAAAAAAATACAAAGCGAATGTACGGCACTCGAAAGTGAGAACATACGTGTTGCTCTTTAAAGTACCTCCCTAGTAAAATTTCGTTATACTCTGATACGTATTTTAACTGAAAATAAATTATTCAAACCAAACCATGTTTCAACCGAGATGTATTTTATCAGAAACCAAACTGTATTGCAGCCTAACTGTATTTGAGCAAAAATAACTATAAGTACTATGTATGCCTACTCAAATGCTGTTTGACTTCAATACATATGTTTTGGTTTAATTACAATTTGGTTAAAATACAGATGGCCTACAATACTTGGGTCGGCTAACCTCTTTTCAACTTAAATATGGTTGGTGATTTTATTTTCTATTGTTTTATGGATCTCCAGTTTTACTGAATAATTAGATATAAAAAATGAAAGCATTGTATTGATGTCCTAGTGAATAATAAAGCCAATTTGTGGATTATGGGTAATACCGGCATACCCAATGTGGCACTCAATGTGTTAATATAACTTATATTCTTAACTTAAATATTATTGGATTACAAATGTTTATATTTGAATTCAATTTTTATGTTTTGGTAAAAAAACTAAAAAAATAACTTTTTATTATATTCGAAAAGTTTCAATTTTAATTTTCATTAAATTTCTGGTTTTTAATAATTTTTTAAAGTTTAGAGAAAATTATCTATAATTATGCAGTAGTCTGTAATTATAATTTTGGTTAACTGATTGTGTTTTTTTTTCAAAATAAAGTTTTTTTAAATTAATTTACTATAACAAAAAACATATTGTATTGAATATAAATATTTGTATATCTTATCCCTGTGGGTAATATATATATATATATATATATATATATATATATATGTATAAATAAAAGAGAATTTGACTTTCTTTGTAATATCCATTATATTTGCAGAGATATCTAGAGATATTATAATGGATATATCTTCACCTGGATATTCTGCATATAATTAATTTTTACTATATTTTTATATACTGTTAAAATATTTTAATCTAACTTGTTTTTATAGGATGGAACATTTGAACTTGATAATCCATTTGACATGAATTTATTTGTTGACATTATACTTAAAACCACATTTGAAAATGCAGGATCACGAAGTATAGTATTTTCTTGTTTTCATCCTGATGTTTGTATTATGTAAGTTTTTTATAGTATTTTTTTAAAAGTGTGATTTTTATTGTCAAACGTAGTTTTTTATAAACACAATATATTTCTATATAATTTAACAGATATTTATAGAAATAAGTACTATTTTTATATTCAGATTATCATTTATAAACAAAATATTTCAGAAGAAATTATAAGAAATAAGTATCTATTTTTAAAAAGAAATTATAAAATAGTTTTTCAAAGACAAATTCATATTCATATCAATAGTAATAATAACTAAAAATTAATAGCTAATGCATAATTATTTATGTATTATGTATTATTAAAACATTAGATTTAATTTTTTTTTAAAACAAATATTTAGTAAATATTTTAGGCTCTAGTATTTATAATATGTGTGCATGAATTATAACATATAATTTTACAAATTATAATTTAAAATGATTGTATTAACAATTTTAGGTTAAAAATGAAACAAAATCGGTATCCTGTCTTGTTTTTAACTCAAGGGGTTACTGTTAGGTATCCTCCATATGCTGATCCTAGGTGTCATACAATACAAACAGCTGTGTATCATTCTTCTTGTCACGATTTACTGGTAATAATTTAAAAATAATATTATCTCTTTATACTCTGTCTTCATTTGGTCTATTTTTGTGCAATATTATTTTATTTTAATCAAAATTATTAGCTTTAAACAAGTTTTTTGTTAAATATTTACATAATATTGTAATGTAACTTGAATTACAAAAAATGCTGTCAATTTTCTTTAATTATTATTAATTTATTTTTGTTTTAAATTTTTACTTTATGGATAAAATACAATTTATTAAATGCATTTAGTAAAATATGTACTAGGGCTAATTTTAAGATAATAGAAAATATATACAGGGTATATCTTATGGGACATTCTGTATGTCTGGTTAATAAATATTAATATTATATAATTATTTAGGGAGTAAATGTACACTCTGAAGATTTGTTACGGGATCAAACACAAATAAACATAGTAAAAGAGGCCGGACTTACATTGTTTTGTTGGGGAGATGATAATAATTGCAAAGAAGTAGTCAATAAGTTAAAATTACTAGGAGTAAATGCTGTTATATACGATAAGTAATAATTAATTTAAATTATTTTAACCAATTAATTAAATTATAAGTGCAAATTTATAAAATAGTAGTTTATGTAAACATGAAACATATTAAAATTTTAGCATAAAACCATTCCATTATTCTATTTTTTTTTTTTCATAGTTAGTATCAAATATCAAAATATATTTTCCTTCTAGATAATGACTGTCCAAAAAGTTTTTACCTAGAAAAAAATATGATAATAACCGTCATTGTAAAAATAAGGTTTTCTGTTAATGCTTATAATTATGTTTTTTCAATTGTGAAATTATTAAATTAATATTCAAATAAATTTTATTTTAGAGAATATTAAGAGGAAACATTTGTTTTTCTTCTTTATTTGGAATCAGATTAAATATTTGAATATTAAAATAATTTAAAAAAAAACATTGAAACAGAAATTGTGTTCTTCTCAATTCATTTGTTATAGGTTAATTTTTTTAAATATTATAATAATAATTTATTTAAGATTCTATAATTCAACTACAGTGTATTTAGTTTACATTTATTTACATATATTTGCATGCAACTACATAAATTGGTTAACATATTATACCAAATTTTAGAAAATAGGATAGCAGTAATAATAATTGTATTTCATAGATTGGACAAAAGTGAATTGTTGAAAAAAAAACTATCTTGTGCCACTCAAAAGTCTGAAGTTTTTACTACAGAAAATTTTTGCAATCAAAATGAAATTTTACCAAAACACCAATCACTCAAGGAAGATACACATTTACGTGATAAGAATGATCGAGTTAGTTCCTTAATATTGATTATATTTATAATTTACTGAACTTTAATCCAACTGATTTTTAAACCAATAAACAAATTTGAAAACTAAATTACTGTATTTAAAGACCAAATTTTATGCATAAGCATACACTTATATTTAAAATACAGTGGTCAGGATTCCTTTGTTAAAATTATATTTTAAGCCCAATACTGGTTTTACATAAATTGATTTTGCATTTTAACACACACATGAATGTTTTAGGAGGGTGGGGGGTTTAGTTAAAACACTAAACACCAAATGCAAACCGGAAATGATCTAGTTATCAGAAAAATGATAAGACTAATCTTAGACTATGACTAATTTTAATCAACACAATTAATCAAAATACTGAAATCATGAGTTATCAAATTATTACCAAATTATTATTTACTAGGTTTACATTATTATTATTTTTTTTTTTTAAATTTTATTATTGTTACTTTATATTATTAATAATTATTTATTTTCCAGAAGCTATATGCTAATAATATAATATTACATTACGCATAGTGCAAGACTATGATTCTTTTATTTTATATTTCACTAACCTAATGATCTTTTTTATTTTATAACCCAAAATAAATTAAATAGTGATAGGTATTCATTTTAGTATACTTTTATCCTTTAATGCACATTTTAATCCAAAATGTGCAGTTTAGCACAGCTTTATTGTATTATATTGTTGCTTTGCTCTGTTATTATTGCAGATACATATCTGGTTACCTATACTTAGGCACATAAATATGTTTTATAGTGCCCTACTTATAATACAACCTGATTCTGAGAACTCTGTTTTTAATAATTTTGATTTCAAAGGCATAAAAGTCTTATATTAATAAACAGAATTGTTTATTGAAAATATTTTTTCACGTAATTTTTTAAGTTTACCTACTTTCACCAAATTGTATTGTACAGTCAATGATTATACAAATACTGAAAAATCGTAGCATAAAATATAATTATCATTACAGTAATGATCTAGGGATTTTAGGTTTAAGTGTTGGTCAATCTGATCTGATAAATTTTTTTTGTTATTAGTTTTAAGAAAACTGCTATAAGCTGTTGAAGCTGTATAAGCTGATGAGAGTTGAACTATGGTAAGAGCCAATTTTTTTTAAGAATGGTTGGTCACATTAAATGGGTGTACATAATATGTAGTTTAAAATGTTGGCAATTCCATTGTAGTGAACTTATCATTGTGAATTATAGTGAATTATCATTTTTCTGACAACTGGAACCACATATATCAAATAACTAGATAGAGGACTTTGGTATTATTATTGGCACCAACAAAATAGCTGTCATCTTTATCTAAGAGGAGAATGTTTATGTTTTATAGTATTGATAACTAGCTGTATCTATAGTAATTTTTGGAATTGTTTCTCTGTAAAAGGTCTATCTTGGAATCAGTGCATCAAAATTAGCTAGGATATTTTTTATGAGAAAAAAATAAATGGGCATTAAAGGATTAAACACAGTTACTATAGGTTATAAAAACTATAAATTTATCCTCTCGGTGCGCCAGTAATACCAGTATCAGCTGTTTCAGATTGTTCACCAGTCATATTATGGGAGTTCAATGTGCAATCTGTATATCTTAAATCGTAATTGTAGGTAGCGAACCAGCAATAAAATAATGACTATTTTTTGTGTGCCAACCTATAAAACTACATTTCTAGTGTGCTATAGTATTTTACTACATTAGGTGTATTCAAGACATGTTAATCACTTCAAATAAAGTAGCGTGCTATTGTAGCATTGCTACAATTAGTAGGCTACTCCTGACCACTGTTAAAATGTTGGCTCTTTGCTATGTATGTGCCATTTGCTTAGAATACAACCAGTTCCTTAAACTTTAAAAAAGTTTAAAAAAATTCATGTTTCTTTATTTATCATTATTTATAGTTTTTATAAAGCTATAAAACTCAGTAATATATATATATATATTTTTTTTTTTGTAGATTTCTAATAATACTAGTTATTTGTTTGAATTCATTATATTAAATTGTCATTAAATATTATCTAAGAAACAATTGTCTAAATAATTATTTGAATTTAGAGTTTAATTAACAAATAAGATGAACAAATATCAATAGGTATCTTAACTAGTAATATATAATTTTATTAGTTGTAATTTAAACATATTTTCTATATTTATAGGTTGGAGATAACAATAGATATTTTATGGATGTTAGTAAGGCAAATTTTCAAAATCAAAGTTCTTCAACAGAAAATGTATGAAATTAAAATAATGGTACACTAAAATCTTCACCTAAAAATATTAAAGTATAAACTATTGAAAGTTTATTTTATTTTGTATTTATTTGTTTTAAAATAGATACAATTGAATGATCAAACATTGGGACCAGATATCAAACAAATTATTTTGGAAAATGCTGAGTAAGTACATAAATGATTTTAAAATTTGTCCTATGATAATGAGGATGGGAGCAGTCAGTGTTATAGATGGGAATTTCGAAAGGTAGGATACAAAAGGGAATTTAATGTATATCTATGAAACGATAAACCATTGCTAACTAAAAACCATTCTGAGCAAATTTAAGTTGATAGTGATGCTTTTTCAACAATACATATGTCATATTATGGTTAAATAATTAAATAGGCTCATTATTTTCTAAAAATCAGACAAACATACTTGGCACCACAGATGGGCCACTATTGCAGGTGAGAAGTTGGGAAGGTAAGATATAGAAAGTAATTTAATTTATACCCGAATAGAATAGTTAATCATTGCTAATCACAACATTATTTTAATCTTAAGAACTAGTTTTTCCTCATTATCTCAAATATTATTAATAAAAATAATAAAATGACCTTTCTAAAGTATTATCTAGAGCTAAAATTCAACAGAAATGATCTTTTGTCATGTTTTGATTGAGGCAAGATTTCTATGAGAAATTTTGTGCTGTATAAAAAAAAGATATAAACATCATTATAAACCCAACACATTCCTCACTTTGTTTATAATGTTCATTGGAACAGAATTCATATAAACAAACTGATTTACAACCTGTACAATTCAAATTTTGAATCGGTAACTCAAGTTAGTCTAAATTATTAAATAAATACAAATATTTTTTAGATTCTAAATAATAAAGAATGTATTTAGTTTTACTGTATGAGTGTGTATTTTTTTTATCTGAACAACTTTTGTTTTTACATTTATTTCTATTAGAAAACTGGCTCCAATAAAAAATTGCCAAAAGACTTTTTTAGTTGTATTATTAATCTAGTTGAAATCGGTTTTTGATTTATTAAGGCAGCCTTCTTAATAATTGAGCAATGAATTGAAAGTTTACAAAAATAATTGTTTAATTGTTTTCAGTTTTCTCAGAAAACTTATATTTGATTTTTCTAGATGTGGTAAAATTTTCAATGCATTTCAGCGATTTTTATCTATGTATAGGCATTTTGTATTTGCTAGTTTTTATGTACTTTTGGTAGGTTTTATCATTTGACCTAATAGAAATACATGGAAATTTAACACACGGTTTATTCTGAGTTGTATTTAGTTGTACTTAAAAATGTGTGTATCAAATTTGTATGAAAATTGTAAATATTATGGCCTATAATATTATATATTGCATGTATACTTCCTTCAGAATAATTTTTCCTTAGTAATGGTTTATTATTATCTATAGATATAAATAGAACCATATCAATTGTATTACTAGGCTGTGGAAGATGATAATGATAATCTTTTCGTAATTCTACCTATCATAAAGTTGTGTTAGGTCAACAGATAGTGTACAATTCCTGTTATATAGGATGATGAGTCCTAAAAAAATCATAGGCTAATTGTACCATCTAGGATGTGCATGGGGACAACAGGTAGGAGGAATTGGAGTGAAGTGATACTAGTTGGACAGTAATTGTGGTAGCTGTTCCACCAGGCCTACCAAGTTTTGGCAGCAGAACAGAAAGAGAGATGATTCGGTAAAGTATAAAAGACTGTGCAAGGAAGCTAAGAGAGTCGTAATCAAAGTGAAGGTAAAGGAATATGATTTCGATTGGTTGAGGTTAGAGAAAACCAATCCAAAGATTTTCATAATATATGGTGCATAAAAAGTGAAAACAAGAAGGTATTAATGAATGATGAGTATAAAAAAGTGAGATGGAGGGAGTATTTTGAAATATAACTGAAAGAGATAGTATTCAAGAGATATGTTAGAGAGTTGTTCATAGAATGAAGATCTGGTAGATTTAGTGGGAAAGGAGGAAATGTGGTGGGCTGTGAAAATAATGAAAACTAAAAAAAACATGTGCAGATAGTGTACCATTGAAAGTGTGAAAAATGTTATGGGAGCTAAGCAAATGCTGGTTAAAAATTTTTTTTAATAATGTGTTTGGAGAAAGGAAAATGCCAGATGTATGGAGGAAGAATTTAAAATACCTATTTTTAAAGGGAAGGGAAATGTACTAAAGTGTGAAAATTATAGAGGAATAGAATTGATGAGTCACATAAGATAGAAGGTATGGGAAATTATATAGTTTTGATAGTAGAAAATCTGGAAGAAGTTAACAATAGGTTTAAGGAATAGATAATAGGACTTGAATAAAAGGGAAAGTTTTGTAGAAGTAAAACAAAGTTTATAAAGTATGAGTTTGTAAGGTCAGAAAAAGAACTGACTAAGAGAATGTGTGTAGCAGATATGAAAATACTTAGGTAGATGAGAGGGTGATGAGAGAAAGTAGGATAAGGAATGAGTACATAAGAAGTAACTTAGATGTGTGGCTATGGTAGTGAACAAAATTAGAGAAAATAGAAAAATAAAATAGTTTGGGCATTTTATGAGGAGAGACAAATCAGAAGCAGTAAAAATTGTAATGAAAATAGAAATATGAGGAAAGAGAGGAAGGGGCAGACAAGAAAGGTGGTTGGATGAGATTGAGAATGATATGCATAAGATGGCTAGTATATTTGGTAATTATAATATTTTTTTAAAATTATATCCAAAATCTATCCTATGTATGTGATTACTCAAAAGTATTTTGCATAAAACCTTATATAAATTAATTTAATTTATGCTTATTCGATTTTGAAATAAAAATCTGCAACAAAAATTGCCTTTATAGTAATATATAAATTTAGACAAATGTTATATAGTTCAGTTATTACCAACTTGAAATCCTTAAATAGTAATGATAAAATAATAATAAATTTAGATAAACTATTAATTATTATTTTTATTTTTTCTGTTTTAGGTCCAATGTTTAACAGTTGTTTTTATTAAAAATAAAATATATTACTGACTTCCAGACTATATCAAATAATCAAAATATAAAATGCTTTTATGTATATCAAATATGCTACAAAGTAGTGGTGGGAGTAATGTAAACATATTGTTATATTATTTTATCCTACCATTGTAAAATAATAAATAATCATGAGACTCTCAATTTTAATTTTTTAAGGGTATTTGCAATGTTATATTAGTTAGGTTAAGTGTCAGATTTGTGTTAATGATAATTTTAGTTATGGTATTATATTACAGTAAAACTTCCATTAACAGTTGCCTCTAAAAGACTGTAACTTCTATGTAACAGTCATTTTTTGGTCTTGTCAAGTGTTATGCTTTTATAAGACACTTCTAAAGGACAGTCACCTCTAAATAGCAGTCACTATGTCCTGTTATTTTGGTGACTTTTGTATGGATGTTTTATTGTATATTATATATTCATTTTTGTTTTAACTGTAATTTATAAGTAACAGCATTTTGTTAAACTTTTTAAAAGCCGTTATAGGTAATATTTATTTTATCAATATATGTTCCATATAGTTCCAATATTATTAAAATATTGTTTTTATTAAAAAAAAAAAAATGTCTCAATAATCTACAGAGTAGTAATTTCTTATTATGCTCAATAATAATCTTATAAATATATTTATGTTCATTATGATAATATTTGTCATTATAATTTTTTTTACTTGTTCTTGTATATGGATATTTATATAACATGTAGTTAGATTTGTTCTTTTAAGTTATTGACAATATAGATTAACCAACTAAAAATGCATTGTAAATTGAGTTACATACATTTTTGCAAACTACATTGATTTTTATGTTTGTTTTATAGGGTTGCTTAGGATTAGTTGTTTTCTGTGGGGGATTTCAAATTTAATGTTTTTCAATTTAAACCACTTGGAAAATCAAAAAATGACCTTAACATTAAAATATTTATAATCATTATAATAAATTAATAAACCAATATAATCAACTACCAGTTAATTGATGTAATTGAATATTGATTAATTTGTTAATCAATATTGTTTATATTTATTATTTATTAACAATATTTGTTAAGAAACGAATGTTTCTATGTTCTATGTCGTATTGTGTTGTGACTTACAAACTGTGAAATTGGAACCATGTTATAAAATAAAAAAAATGTAAACAGAACATTTTGTTTAAGGGACGTAATATGCACATATTAAAGCAGCCCCTGCACAATCAATTATATTGCGCAATATTATTGTGTGTCTGATACGTATATTGTGCATACTGCGTAAGTATTGTGCGAAGATTGTGCTTGTTTGGAACTAATTGTGCAATATTAAACAATTTGTGCGTGTAGTCATAATATTTTACAATAATTGTTTTTGTCAGTTCAAATGAATTCGAGTCACCACCGCGAAGCGTAAATAGAGCCGCAAATTTATTATTGAACTATTGCGATCATATCATCAACGTCCAGCTTTATGGAAAGTTAAAAGTACTAAATATAACAATAGAAACCTAAAGAACGATGCATATAATGTATTAATTGCAAAATATAAAGAAGTTGGCCCAAAGGTTGACCATTATTTAGACCAACGCCTCCGTTTTGGTTCCTTTTAATGGAAGAAAAATATAAAACAATTGCGAACACTCTTTCCTTTTTTGAGACATTTTTAATAATTAATCTGCTCTCAGTGAATCATGATTTCAAACTGAGTATTGTAGAACAATGTTGAATCGTTTGTGTTAAGAAATATTGTACAATATAATATTGCGGAATATAATTGATCGTGTAGGGGTCACTTAAAATACGATGGAAACATGGCCGCATCCAATATTCATTTGGGGTGGAAGAGGTGGGTATCAATTTAATATGAAACTATAACATAATTTTTAAGAATTTGATATAAATAGTGTTTTAAATACTTATACAGATACAAATTTACCTTTATAGTTTACATTTTGACGAAAATCGTAAATAATTGTTTTCAATTTAACCACAGAGTATATAACATATCGAACGTTTTCGAAATTTATAAAATACTGAAACCTATATTGTATAATAAAGATGAAAAATAAAAACCCTCGACTCTATGGCGGTATTGTGGATAACAATAATATTACAGATGCCGAAATATATTGAATTGTTCCCATTGTTTGGACCACGTATATATATATATATATATATATTGGATTTTTAGCGCGTCCAAGAAGCTATAAATTATATTTTTTTCTTTAAACTGAAATACTGACGTGCAGGTGTTTTAACAATCGAAAGAGATTCTGCTAGCAGGGTACACAATATTGGCATTTATAAATCTGCAGAATATTATACAAAATACTATAGGGATACGAAAACACCGTTGGTTATCCGAATTTTGAAGTATTACTATATGTTTTGTTACAGCATTTTATTCATCCCCTAGCAGGTGCTTACCTATACAAAAACTATTCGATTATTTATTATTTATAACAATATGGTTTGGTGGTATCGAGGCGCTACAGTAAAATAAATCAGTCAGATATGACGGTTTAAAAATATACGTATATACTTATATAATGTGTAAAGATTTATTATAAAAGGAATTCCCGAATCAATGGCGTCGTGTGTCTTTTTGAAAAGGTTTCAAACAGAAATCTGGAACAACGCCGCCACCTGCAACACCCACCGTGCGTTACATAAAAAAAAAAAGACCTTCTACGAGTAGTATAATGGAGACGGGTGCAACCACTGCTATACGTTATTTCATAGACTCGTATATCTGTAAGCAACCACTGCTACCGAAAAAACGATTTTGAGTGCAGTTCAGTTGATAGCGATGCTTTATCAATAATATGTATGTCATATTATAGTAAAATAAATAAATAAGCATTATATATTTTCTTTAATAATATTTGTTTAATATTGGATCGATTTTTCCGTTTTTCCCGGTTTTCTCATGTTTTTTTCCCAGATTATCACATTTGCTAAAAAAACTCTTGGAAAAATCGAAAAATAAGCTCCCCAAAGTACCTTCCCAGTCAGAGTTACTTTTAGAAAAAGCGCTATCATATTAAATCGGAGCAAAATTGCTGATATAAAAGTTGTACATACTCGTAGAAAAAAAGGGTATACTAGTTTTTGATTAATATTTAACATTTCGTACATTTTACACATAATTTTTTACTCAAACGATTTTCGTCAAAATTTGATATCATAATTCCTTTATAAAAAAAACAATACTACATTAAACTCAAATTTTTTCTTTTAAAAGATTCAGACTTTTATTATACCTCTTGTTAAATTTTCATGCAGTTTTGTTTAGTCAAATTTACCATACGGTTCCTACCGAATAAAAATTTCGTATGAAACTTCAAAATTAAAATATCTATAAATAGCTCAAAAATGGCTTAAATATTTTTTAAAATTTTACCACGTATAAAAAAAGGTAAATATAAGTCATTTTCCAAATTTTAAGTTCATAAGATGAATACGAATATTTTTAACTGGATTTTAATAAAAATATTACAATTTTAATAAGAAGCCTAAAAAAGGTTGAAATGTTTGAAAATTGTACTAAGTGTAGAAAAGGCAAACATGAGTTTTCTCCATAAAGTATCATCCCAAGAAAATTTCATTTCAGAAAGAGGTTTACATCGTATACAATGGAGTAAGATTTCTGGTAGAATTTTTATACACAGTATAAAAAAAAATATAAATATCTTTGTAAAACCAATGCATTCTTCGCTACACCGAGAATCTAAAAATGCCATAAAATAAACATTTATTGTAACCTAGATATTATATAACTAAACGATAATATTATAAAAGAAAATTAAAAATCGGGAAATTATTACACATTAACATAAAAATCGGGAATAATATATTTCACAGGAAAATATTGCATCTGAAGTAAAAATAGGAAAGCTTTTGTTAGAAAAGAATTTAAAAATCCGAAAATAAAAACCCGAGAAGTTATATCTATTATCAGTACAATCAGTTATCTTACAACATCATTCCTGTATTTATCATTTCTGTGTTTTATTTTCCCGAATTTAATTGTTTCGGGGCTGATTTATGGAGGGGGGAGGCACCGGCGGGTATTTTCTCACACTTAGGTACGGAAAAATTATCTCAGATAAAATTAACAAAAATATTATATTATTTTTTAACATAATAATAATGTTGATGACGGTGATGATCGCGTAAAACAATATTATAATATTAATATTCTAACTGTGGACTGGACCATGATAAGCTTTAAAAAAATAAAAAACATGACATAGGTGTTGCTGGTTCAGCTCTATCTATTTTTGAATCTTATTTAAAACACAGGAAACAGAGGATTAAAATAAATTATGCTACTTCTATCTTTCAAACTATAAAATGTGGCGTACAAGGATACGATTATCATTAACTTTAATAGAACAAAAAAAATATGTAAAATATACTTAAATAAAAATGTTTGAATAAATAATAAAAAATACTTTTTTTCAAAAATTACAAAAAAAATATATTTCAATACTAAGTTATGTGCTATTGATTTTAAATATTGAATAAGCAACAAAACAGGTATCTTGTGATTTTTCGATAAAATCATTTTTTCTAGTAAAAAACGTCGTCCGTGTTTTTATAAAATAAAGAAATCGTGAAATTGTGAGTTTTCTTACGTTTTTTTCCCACTTAAGTACTTTTATTTACTAAATTGTATCAAAAATCAAAAAAATGACTTCTTCGAAGTACAATCTAGACAACTTGAGCTTTCAGAAAAGTTGTGGTTTTTAAAGATCGTAATCATATTATGAATGATTGGTGGGTAATGAAGGTTAATTTTTGCCCCACAATTCAAAAGACTGATGTGTAGCCTGTGTAATAGATTTGATGGTTACAATCATTTAAAGGTGATTTGGAAACGAGACGACTTTTGAAATCAATATTAAGATAGTCAACAAATTGGGTAGTTTTATTTAGAGCTATGCCTAGTGGGGTGCTATAGGTATGCACAGCCCACGCACCGGGCACTTTGACCATAGGGGCTCTAAACAGAGATCAAGAGATCAGGAAGGTAATACAAATTTCAATACTTCTGTAATTGAAGATTTTTAAAATAAATATACGAGTGCTCGTTTATGGATAGGTTTAGCATAAAAAATTATGATAACTTTTTTGCTTATTTGCCTATTAATAAATTTATCCGCCACTGGGCACTGATTTTATTAAGCACGGCATTTGTTATATTGTTTATTAATAATTTTGTATGCATACATATTGTTATAAATTGATTTAATAAATTAAAAATATTCTATTTCCATAAGTATAACTTATAAGACTATAGACACCTAATTACCAATACTGGAAACATTCCGGAGAAAGTTTTTTAAAAAAAAAACTTAATTCTGTCCTTTCGTAGAGGATATTTAGATTTTTTTTCCTGTACTATAAAATGAAAACGTTTGTTTGTTTTTTAGCAAGAGTTTAAAAAACTATTTAACCGATTTAAATATTATTTTCATCATTATTTAAAGAATTTGTTTTTGCATTTGAGTTCAAATTGAATTGAATAACGTATCCGTTTTATCCGTCACACAATTAAATACATAGTTATTTTTAAATAAAATATGAACTTTGTGCCTTAATGATAACTTGAATATATTGTTCTGTAGGTTCGGTTTTATTGATCTATGAAGTTGATCATATAACACATATAATCAAATAGTAGATATCAACAGAAAGTAAAAGAGATATTGTTTAATATTTTATTTATTTTTCGTTTATATATTTTAATAACAAACATATTAAAAAAAAAAAAAGTATAGTGAGATATCTACATTAAAACAATGATTATAAATCTTTACCTACTTTTTGCAATTATTACAGGCTGAGATTACAATACTAATGTATTATTGTACCATGTGAAGTAACAATCGCTTGTTACACCAGCCAATATAAATGTACACGAACAATCGCAAACGATTTTTAGATTTCTTTCAAATAAATACCATTGGTCCGTTGAATAGTCTCCCCCCACGACCTATATACGCTGTTCAGGGTGAATCGTAGTCTGTATTTTTTCTTCTTTGAGATGAATTTGGTGTACTGTAAAGGTGGTAGTGGGAGGGATGAATGGTTCAAAACGCTATCCTGGCCCGGCATGCTTTCCTCAATCTTCAGTCTTTCCTTGTATAGTAATCGTGTTTCATTTTACTCGCATTTTATTACCTGGTGAATAAAATCAATTTATTTTATTAAAATTCAATAAATATAATTTATTTAAATCTAAATAATTTAATTTATAAAAATTCCACATGGAAAACATAACCGTTGTTTTATTGGGATTACTGGTCTGCGTGATTGAAATTGGTAAATGATTTAATTATATGCACATTTAAAATTTAAAATTTAATTATTATATACGCTGTATAAAATGGAAAATTTAATCCTTTCGATCCTTAATTTTATTCGCCTGATGGGTAGGCTCACTAGTGTAGAAGTGAAATTAGAAAGTAGTTTCTTTACATATTGTAGGATAAAAATATAAATAATCGCAAACAAAAAACTATTCTGAGTAGAGAAGAGTGAGAGCTAGATTAATAATGTTTTGTTGCTAAATTTTAATTGAAAATTCATTAATTATAATAAACTAGATTAATTGTTTTTTCCCTGTTACTTACGTGAAATGGTTTTGCAACGGTAGTTGGTAATGCAAACTCGGTTTTCAACATGTGATCTCTGGGACGACAACATGTACGTAGGTACCACTACTAGACATATTATAAAATTGACAATATTGAGTAATTTAACATTACACATATAATATTCGTATAATATCAAACTTAAAAAAACTATAATTTCAAAATTAAGTCAGTCCCCGCAATTCTGATTTCATCATCGTGATGGTTTAAATTTAACCTTGTTAGGTACCAAATTGATTTTTATAAATATATATTAATTAATTTATATACTAGTTAATAGGCGTTTGTTTAAAAATCATGTTACTAAATTTGTAATTAGGTATACCTATACATTGTGTAATCGTTAGTTGAAAGCATTATATAAATTCATATATCTATTAAATAAATTTGAATTTTTTTTTAATGGGTTACAAACCTCGTTATAAAATTAATAAACTAGTTAAACTATTTTTATGTGATTTAATTTCACGCAAGTACGTAACAAACTGCATAATTTTTTCAGATTCTGAGTAGAGCGAGGAATGTATTGGTTTTGCAATGATCTTATTTTTAAATTTTTTTTTTTAATGTGAACACTTTTTATACTAGAAAGCATACTCCGATTATTAAGTATATCACCTTTTTTGGAAAGAAATGTTCTTTGGGTTGTATTTTAAAGAGGTCATTTTTTTCTCAATTTTAATTATCATTAATATTCGAGATAATGAGGAAAACCGGGTTAAAAATAAGGTTGTAACTGGCAACCGATTTTTTTTTATTTTTGGTTATTATTAAGTTTTTATAATTTTAAATCTTTTTTTAAGTAATCATTGTTGTCATGAAAATACATATTGTTTTTCAATATGATGCTCACGATCTTAATAAAATTGAAAAAAATAGGAAAACATTAAGGTCTAAGGAACACAATATCACAAGCAAAACATCTGCTAAAAAATTTTTTGAAAAACCCTAATATATATATATTTTAAACTTGTGTTGCTTTTTAATAAAGGGTATCACTTATTATTTATTTATCTATCTAGATTTATCTTAGTCATTCTATTTCTAGATTTCAAATGTTAAGTAAACTGAATAGATTTAGTAGAACATAAAATGAAACGTTTATTAACTGGGCTCAGAGCGTTCAAATAATATCTGGGAATGTTTAATCACTAGGTTTCAAAGTTTTTTCTTAAGAAAACTCATTTAAATAAGATAAAATTAATCTAATGTTTTAATTTTCTAATATTCGTTTTTAAAATAATAAGTTTACTAATCGGTTTGTCCAAATTAAATAAATATATTTTAAATGATCATTTTATCAATACATTTTAAAACCAAATAAATCCTAAACTATTCAATAACTGGAAAGTTTGTTCACTCTATATTTTAATTTTATTAATATGTTTATATTTGACATAATAAATATCATGACAATATCTTATGTTCTCAGTTAAATATTATTATGAAAAAATAAGAATGCAAATAAAATTATATACTTAAGGTATTAAACTAATTATTAATTGTAATATTTTTCAGTTTGTCATGCCCCAGAAATAACCTATGTCAACAAATCTATTATCCGTAACATAGGCGAGATGGCTCAATTTAGTTGTTGCATTATCGGAAATTATAATAATGTTCCAGTATGTTGGTTTAAACTAAATACTGCTAAAATGATAGAGCCATTAATGCTCTCTAATAGTGGAAATTTGAACATACCATCTGCACGCTTCACAATACAGGCTAATGATAACTGTTATAATTTAACGGTATTTGAAAGCTAGTTTTATTTGACCATCAATTTTATAATAATTGAAATGTTTAAAAATAATTTTAGATTCGTGATATTCAAGAAATTGATGACGGTGTATATCAGTGTGCGATTCAGATCGATTTACACACAAGATCATCAGCCGATATTATGTTAAAAGTGAAGAGAATTCCTGTAATATTGTACAACTCGACGAAATCTGTTTTTGTTACAGAAGGTTAAGAAATTTTACACATTAAAATTTAAAATATTAGTTTTATTTATTCAGTTTTTTTGCGTATTACAGGTGAACCTGTAAGCCTTGAGTGCTACGCAGAAGGGTACCCTAACCCGAAGATTTTCTGGAAAAGAACGAACGCTGAAATATTACCAGCTCCATATGTTGGATCAATATATAGGTACAACCTACTTACAAATTACAATAATATATTTTAGTAATTTAAACAATTATAAAATAATGAGTTCATTCTAAAAGAAAAATTTAATTTTACAGAGGAAACATTCTACAAATTAAGCAAGTAAACAGGAAGGATCGAGGAACATATAGTTGTATAGCTGATAATGGAATTGGTCGTGGTGCCCGACATAGTGTTGCTGTACATGTACAATGTGCGCCATCCATAACAATTCCTAGGCCTAAATTAGTAGAAGCATTTGGAAAAAATATAAATCTTGAATGCCATGTTGATGCATTTCCTACACCGGCCATAATGTGGTTCAAAAACGGAAACCAGATATATGAAAATCATAATAGTTACAGGTAATTTTGTAATTGAATAATCAAATATAATTAATTGTTGTAAAATATTGTTAAATATTTAATATTTATATTTAGTATATCCGAACGTGTAATGACGGATGAAATCACAGCAGGAATTCTATCCTTTGTCATTACTGCAGACATACATGGAGACAAATATGGAGACTACATTTGTAAAGCAATTAATGGCCTTGGAACTGCTGAAGCTGTTATTAAAGTGGTTCCAGTTTCTATTTGATTTAGATAATTTATGGTAAATTATTATTTCACATTGGTTATATTATGTTTTAGATTCTGAGTGAAGCGAAGATACTTATGGTTTTACAAAGATATTTATTTTATTTTATTTTTCTGTGGATAACTATTCTACTAGAAATCTTGTTCCGATATTTAAGTGTAGCACCTTTTCTGAGAGGAAATTTGACTGGGGAGGTTTATTATGAGGATCATTTATCGATTTTTCCAGGAGTTTTCACGATAACTGGAAAGTAGACAAAACGTATAAAAACCGGGAAAATAAGTACAATATTAAAGAAATATAATCAAAGAAAATGTATAATACTTATATAATTAATTTACTACCATAGGACATATATATTGTTGACAAAGCAACACTATCAACTGAACTCCGCTCAAAATCTTTTTTTTGTTAGCAATGATTTATCATTAAAGATATGTATTAAAATACCGGCTGTATCCTACCTTTTCAACTTCCTATCTACAGCAGTGGCTACACCCACGTGCGATGTATGTCCGTCCTTATTTATTCGTGTCATAAAAAAAAATTATTCTTAAAGTATTAATTTGTATAATTTACAAATTGATTACAATGCATATATTGAAAAGCACAACACATTTTACTTATCATCTATACTTGATACTAGTTTCATGTAAATATAGCAACACATATGTTTTTAAAATATCTATTAGATCTTGCCCGGATTAAGGGCTGTAGGGGTTTGGCGGCGCCCATATTAGTACAAATAAGCAACAAAAAAAAATAAAATATAAAATATTTGATTCAACTCATAATATTGTTTTTATACCCCCGCCCCCACCAAAGACGTGACCCCTTCTGAACCTCATTAATCCGGGTATATATTAGGTATAGATATATTTAATAATATTATTTATTTTTTTATAGAAGCACCAGCAAATAAGTGAACATCTCAATAGAATTTTATTACATTTTGAAGTATCAAAATTATTTCAGTGCTCATCTATTATTTAAGATTTTATTTCCCACAAACTTATAATTTAATAAATAGTTTTAGTCTACAAAAACAAATGTATTAGTCATTTATAAAGTACTTTACATTGTATTTTTATTATGAATTATACGTATTTTACCATAGATATTGTCCACATAATAATTGATTGTCATGTGATATTACATTTTATTTTATTGATTATTATTATTTATTTCATCATAACATTTTGAATAAATATTACAATGTACAAACATACTTAATATACTAATATAATGTTGATACCTAATCCTTGTGAGTTATGTTTGAGGTAATATTAGAGAGTTTTATATACAGGGCTTCAAACCGAAATGATTTTTAGTAATAAATGGTTTTAGTTCTTCCATTTTTTTCGAATACATTTTATAAATTTTAAAAACCGGTTTTAAAATTAATAAAACCGGTTAATTTTGTTATTTTCGTTTCTGATTGTAATGAAAAAGGTATTGGTTTTACCAAGATTTTTATTTTTTGTCCTGTATACAAAAATTTGACCTTACGAGATGTGGCTGTTAAATAACGAGACTGATCGTCTAGAGGGCACCCTAGATGGGTAGTGAAAAAAACGAGTAATGCGTTGGGTATCTAGATATCTTATCTATGCACGTACCAAAACACGTTTTCATCACTATTATAGTATTTGTGCAGTAGTGGTTTGAAACGAACGTGTTTTTTTCTCGTGCCGAAAACCATGTGTGACGAAAAACATGAGCAACGGATAAACGTAAAATTTTCTCGTTTAACTAAAAAAAACTCCAACTGAGTGCTATAAGTTGTTAAAAGAGGCCTATAGTGAGGATTTTCTATCTCGGGCGCGTGTTTTTGAGTGGCATAAATTATTTTCTGAAGGTCGAGAGTGCACCGGAATCCAATTCAATCGTAATCCAAATTCAAAACCGTTTTCTTCGATATCAACGGTATCGTGATGACTGAATGGGTTCCAGAGGATCAAACTGTGAACCAACATTACTATTTGACAGTTTTGGCAACATTGCGCGAATAAGTTCGTAAGAAACGGTCGATATTGTGGAAAAACAAGTCGTGGATTGCACCAGGATAAAGCGTGAAGCGTTATTTGGCCGCTTAAGGCACTCCAGTACTCGAACACGCGTCTTATTCACCCGACTTGGCACCCTGCGACTTTTATTTGTTTCCGAAGATAAAGTCTGCCTTAAAAGGATTCCGGTTTGAGTCGATGGAAGAGGTGAAACAAAAATCGGTGGAACTCCTGAATGGTCTTACGAAAACAGACTTCCAGCACTGCCTGGAGCAATGGAAGAAACGAATGAAACGGTGTGTAGCGAGGGGAGGGGAGTATATTGAAGGGGAGCATTTGAATGTAGAATAACTTTTATAATAAAACACTTTTTCGTAACCAGTCTCGTTATTTAATAGCCACACCTCGTAGATCTTACTCAGATATATACGCGGAGCATCATTTCTAAAAGGAAATGTTGTCCAAATGGTACTCTTGGGAGGTTATTTTTTTGATTTTCCTAGTGGTTTTCATAATATCTGGGAAAAACCTAAAACGTAATAAAACGTAAGAAAATCGGGAAATTTACAAAAAAAAATGTTTTTATTATTTTGAAATTTTGTTATTTGTTATAATTCAGTTATAAATATTTGTAAGGACATGAAATTTGATAGAAAACTTATTTTCATTATTTCTAGACGTGTTATTATTTGCAAAAAGTTTTAGCCATGTTTGAGATATTTATAGATATTTTAATTTGAAAGTTTTGTACTTAATTTTTATTCAGTAGGGACTCTGTGGTTTAATTATTAGACTTATCACATATGCTTGAAAATTTAACAGGATATTTATTAATTTTACGTTTTTGTCGAAAAAAAAAAAAAGTTGATATAGTATTTTTTTTATAAAGAAATTTTGATATTAAATTTTGATGAACATTTTTTGAGTAAAAAATAGTTTTTTTTTTGAACATATGTGTATTTCCTATTTAAGAAGGATGGTGAAGTCAAAATTGAGCAGACTGACTAAGTTTCGAAATTTAGTTTTTTGAAGGTCAGATTTTATGTAGATATTATGTGTTTATGTTAAATAATTCTATAATATAGTCTATATTGTCTACTTTACTATACGTTTATTGTAGTTGAATTGTCATGAGTACGTATTGTTATATTTGGGATCGTGGGTTCATACCCGAGTTCGAAAGGTAACTTTTTGCACTTTTTTTTATTTTTACCTAATTAGGGAAAAAAATAAATGCATTTTAAGTGTATCTAGAGACCTAGATTTTGCTAAATCGGACGGTTTTAATCGAAAAATACCGTTCGATTTGTTATGCAAATTTTCTACTAGAAATCTTGTTCCCGTGTATCAAGTATAGTTTATTATCTGAAAGGAAATTTTTTATCTCCATGGTTTAAAGAGGTCATGTTTGTGAGTTTTCAATCAGTTTTCTTTAAAACCTGGAAAAACCAGGATAAAATGTCGGAAAAACATTCTACTAGTAACTTTCATCTTTTCTACTAGCAATTTTGCTCAGATTTACAATGATAACAATTTTTCTAAAAGTAACTCTGACTGGGAAGGTACTTTGGGGAGCTTATTTTTCGATTTTTCCAAGTGTTTTTTTAGCAAATGTGATAATCTGGGAAAAAACATGGGAAATCAGGAAAAACGCAGAAAAAAACGGAAAAATCGATCTAATATTAAACAAATATTATTAAAGAAAATATATAATGCCTATTTATTTATTTTACTATAATATGACATACATATTATTGACAAAGCATCGCTATCAACTGAACTGCACTCAAAATCGTTTTTTCGGTAGCAGTGGTTTATCTTTGCTTACAGATATGCATTAATTTCCCTATAATAGTGGCTGCAGCTGTCTCCATTATCCTAGGACGTCTTTATATATTTTAGTTACATGTAAAACTGTCAAATATTCGTGTTACAGCACTCGATATAATAATAACTTGGAACTATGTAAGCATTAAGTATAGCATATTAGTTCATAATGTTTATCAACTACTATAAAATACTACTTGTATGAAATTGTTAATTTTATAAAAAACTAAAAATTTAGCTATTTAGTGGATGAAATACTGTGACGGTAGTCTCACCACAACCTATTTAATAATAGCACCAATGATAATACTCGGCTGTCTAATTTCTATCATAAAAGTATAAAACACAATAACCAAAAATATCATGTATATTTAATCAGCATGAAAGGTGGCAATATAAAATAACTCAAAAACGAAAAATAATGTTGGTTAGACATTTCGTTTTCGTTCATGTAAATTTTTCAATATAATCGATTTATATTGAAACTGGTTTTAACCGGTTTGAAGCCCTGCATATAATAAACTAATAAGTACCTAAAAAAAGACGTCCTAGGATAATGGGGACGGGTGCAGCCACTAAGACAAAAAATAGCCAAAGGAAACAGTAAAGTGTAGTTTTATGGTTTTTTAAATTTAATTCAAAAACTTTTGTACAAGGCATAAAAGTGTAAAATAATAGCATGTATGTAGACTATATAATTTTCTGCAAAAAAGGCTATTACAATATTTTTTGAAAATGTATGATTTTCTGAAGAAAAAAGTAAAATATGAAATATTATATTATATTTTACGATAATATTAATAAATTTGGCAACGGTTACAGTTATGGTAAAATACAATTCATATAAATTGTATGATATTTAATTTCCTATAAAAATGTACCAACCAAAAAAATGTTGGCAAATAAACCATTCAAATGTTACAGATGGATTTATGTAATGTGTAGTTAAAAATCACTAAAACAATTTCGCTGGGCACAATCAAGCGATCAAAATTATTTATTTAATTAAACTGAATAATATCATCGTAACTACTTTTATTCTGAATATTGAGTTCTTGGAATAATAATATTTAATTTTACCATTTAAAACATATTGTTTTTTTTAATAATCATCATAATAGATTAACAATGTTCTCCTTTTTTTATAATGTAAAATGAATTCATAAA